CTGGACCTGCATACGTAATTTTTTGTCATAGGCTGTAGTACCCATTACGAATTCTAAATACAAGATTGGAAACAACTCCGGTACATAATGTCCCTAAAATCGTCAAATAACGAACATCGGAATGTACCGTTGTATGTGGGCCATACGATATGGTGGACCTATATAGACATTTCTCTTCCAGGGCGTAAAGAGCTTAGAAAGAGCTTATATTATGGCTAAAATCAACAAAATACCGAATATCGGGATGTACAGTTATATGGGGGATATTCAATATCGTGGACCCACTTAGAGGCCTCAATTTTCATAATTTTAAGATCGTAAAATATTTAAAGGTCTGAAAATGAAGCAAAGATCTCAAAACGGTCATTGCAAATAAGTTTGAAAACAGATTCTAAGTTCAAAAAAAACTCAAATTGTTTTTTAAAATCAAAAAGCCTAGTACTAAGCATGGGACTCAAAAACTTCATGTAAATCTAGAATATTGTTTTAAATTTAAGGCATGAGCTGAGCTTAGGTCTTTCAATTTTGTTTTCAAAATTGCAGCTAAGCTAAGGTATTACAATTTTTATTTGAATATTGACAATTATAGGCATCCAGATTGTCTTTAAAGACTAAATTTTAAACTTCACAAATCCTTTAAAAATCCAGGGCTGCGGGGAAAATTATGGGCTTCAAGATTCTTTTAAAAATAGATATTAAAGATTCGAATTTGAGAGCCTCGCTGTTTAAGAAACGAATTCTAGAGTCTCATAATTTCTTTAAAAGTCAATGTTTTATGACAAATTTTCGGGAACTCCAAATTTTCATGTAAATTCCAACTTTAAGGCCAAATTTTAAAATTTGAAGAGAAACCTTAAAAAATTCCTTATTCATTGTCATTTTGTTTTTTTGGTCTCGGAAATCTTTTAAAAATCGACGTTTGAAAGAAATATTTTAGGACCACAATTTTTTTTTTAAATTCTACGTGTTCAGTTGCCATTAAAAAACCCTACAATAGAAGCAATGTTCGAGGTTCGATTTTTGCATACCATGCGACGTATACGTATACGTATTGTCATAAATCATACGCTCCATATATTTGTGGAATCAAATCGATCAAAGTTGTCATATTTAGTTGGACGGTGTTCCGAAACATTCCATAGAAACTGATTTATATTAATGTCAAGCCTCTTATCGATATACAAATGTCAAGGCTAGTGTAGACCAAATTGTAGTGACTCATTAAAATATTTTTTTCCAAAAATTTAAAGATAAAAATTCTTGAATTAAGAAATTGAGAAATAAGCTTCTTGAGAACCTTCGCAAAAGTCTCCCTAGCACTCCGTTTGACCTCAATGTGTTTCAAATATTTCCCGGTTTTTTATATTTTACACATGCAAATAATTGGAATAAATCAAGCACGAAGCACCACTGGCGTATACGTATTTTTATTAGTTATACGTCCCCTGTCTGCAGACCTTCAAAACCATTTTCAAGCACTGTTTCCACAGCAAATTTTTCTTATTAATATGAAACCTTGATCGACATATATACATTTCAAAACCTTGACATATATATTTGGTGTAAACAAAAATTTAAGGACCAATTAAAAAAAAATATTTTTTAAGTTGAAATAAGTTTTCGAAGAAAAAAATATTCTTCGAAACAATTGTCTTAAATAAAATACTTCAAATATGTTTAACATGAATCTTCTTGATCTTCTCTCTAACACGTCTATTTTTCTCAATTCCTTCATAATATCTTTCCTATTTTATATAAATAGTTTAAGTTAACCGGTATTGTCGTTACTTATACGATCCTTTTTATACCCTCAGCCAAAAGGTTATACATCATTTGATACGGTCAAAACGTATCTCATCGAAATATCGTTTTTAGACCCTAAGTCTCTTTGGACCAAATCCGTTTTAGGACATTTGGAGTTGATCCAGCGACGCCCTTCCCTCCCTCCGTCCGCCTTTCTCTCTGGCTGACTAGTGCTCACAATAACTCTCCAAGTGAGTTTCCGATTTAGTCTAAACTTGATACATCGTAATTTTATTATCAAAATTAAATCAAGTTCGGAGATGTACAATATCGGCCCACTGCTTTTAGTACTTTCCCCACAAATGATCGAAATTTTCAATGAAAATATGTTAATGCACAGAAAGAGAAACGATAATTCGATTTTTCTTCAACTTTGCAAATCCTAATATTTGTATCAGTGCTAGGTCAGGTGCGATATTTGACAATGTCAGTCCACTCCATCAAGTGCCTCTCCCACAAAGGGTCAAAATTTTGAATAAATATAACTCTTATAAGATGTGATATAAGAGTCCGACTGTCTTCAAATTTCACATATTCCAATAATTTTATTAACCCAAGGTATGGTGTGATGATGGAATATATCGGTAAATTCCTTCTGGTAACTCCCCCACAAAGGGTCGACATTTTGAATATCCATGAAGCCCATAAAACACGAAATTATCATCCGATTCCCTTCAGACTAAGTACATCTCAATATTTCCATCAACAGCAAATCAGTTATAAAAATGGTAGATATCGGACCATTCCTTCTGCTACTTCCCCTACTAAGGGTCACGATTATAAACTGATTATAAAATCCGAAATAAGCATCCGATTCTCTTCATATTTCACACATTTCTTTATTTCTACTAACACAAGATCTGCTGTGAAGACGGGATATATCGGCCCATTTTTTTCTAATAAAACCAGATTTCCTCCAAAAAAAAAACGCCTGGAACGATTTTTTTCCTCTCCTTTGGTCTCTCCATACTCCTACTTTCAATCTCCTTTTAATATTTCATCTTTATTATGTTTGATCCAAAATCAAAACTCTGGCGTATACGTATTGTCTTTAATTATACGCCCTACGTCATTAAAGCTTCAAAGGCATGGTTTGGAACGGAATATATATTTTTGATCGGCATACAATTCTAAGACGATTTAGCCCTAACCGTCCGTCCTTCTATCCGTCTGTTGTAATCACGCTAGAGTCAAAACAAATAAAGATAGGAAGCTAAAATTATGCACAGATCAGTATTTTGTCTGCAGTCAGATCAGGTGCGAAGATGGGCTATATTGGTCCACGATATCGTATAGCCCCCATATAACGGAAATTTCCGATTTTCGGTATTTTGAAGATTGTAACCAAATTGTTCAATAAAATTGTCTAAAAATCTACAAAAGGAGTTCCTTCTGAGTACTTTACCACCTGAAAGAATATTGTCTATATAGGTCCACGATATCGTATGGCCCCATATAACGGAACCTCCCGATATTCAGTATTTTGATAATTGTAGCCACATTTTTCAACGAAATTGTCTGAGAATCCACAAAAAAAGTTCCTTCTGAGTACCTTACCCCCTGGAAGAGAATTGTCTATATAGGTCCACGATATCGTATATCCCCCATATAACGGTATCTCCCGATATTCGGTATTATTATGATTTTGGCTATATTTTTTCAATGGAATTGTCTAAAAATCCATACTAGAAGTTCTTCCCATTTGTTTTACCCTCCTGGAAGAGAATTGTCCATAGAGGTCCACGATATCGTATAGCCCCCATACAAGGGTACCTCCCTATATTCGGAATTTGATGATTTTAGCCTCAATTTTTGATGGAATTGTCTGAAAAATCACACAAGAAGTTCTTTCCGAGTACTTTACCCCCTGAAAGAGAAATGTCTATATAGATCCACGATATTGTATAGCCCCCCATACAGCCGTACATCCCCGATATTCGGTATTTTGACGATTTTAGGGACATTATTCATCGGAGCTGTTTCAAATTTCATATTTAGAGTTCGTAATTGGTACTACAGCCTATGACAAAAAATTACGTATGCAGGCCCACGTCTTCGTATAGCCCCCATATACCGATCCCTCCCGATATTCGGTATTTTGATGATTTTAGCGACATTATTTGCCGAAGTTGTTTCAAAATTCGTACTTAGAGTTCGTAATAGGAACTTCAGCCTTTGACAGAAAATTGTCTGCGCAGGTTCAGGACTTAGTATAGGCCCCATACATCAGTACCTCCCAATATTCGGTATTTTGACGATCTTAGGTATAATTCTCACCGAAATTGTTTGAAATTTCGTATTTGAAGTTCCTAATAGGTACTACAGCTTATGACAAAAAATTGTCTATGGAGATCGAGGACTTTGTATAGCCTCCATATAACGGTACTTTCCGATATTCGATATTTGGACGATTTTAGGGACATTATTCACCGGAATTGTTCCAAATTTGGTATATGAAGTTCGCAATAGATACGGCAGCCTAAGACAGAAAATTGTTTATGCAGGTCAAGGACTTAGTATAGGCCCCATATATCAGTACCTCCCCATATTCGGTATTTTGACGATTTTAAGTGCAATATTCACCTAACTTGTTTCGAATTTAGTATTTGAAGTTTCTAATAGGTACTACAGCCTGTGACAGAAAATTGCCTATGCGGATCCAGGTTTTCGTATAGCCCCGATATAAGGGTACCTCACTATATTCGGTATTTTGCTGATATTAGCTATATTAATCATCAGTTTTTTTTTCTTCAAGTTCCGTATTGCTTATGCAGGTCTACGTCTTCGTATAGACCCAAAATATAATGGCTATATTCGGTATTTTTAAGATTTTAACAGAATTTTTTTTTTACTGGATTTTAATTTATTTATTTATTTATTTATTTATTTATTTATTTTATTTTTTTTTTTTTTTGAAAATTTCCAAATTCTTTCCAAAGAGTGGAAGATATTCAAAGTTCGGCCCGGCCGAACTTTCTGCTTTTTTACTTGTGCTTATGTTTTACCATCCTCTCTTTATATTTTAAAAAATAATTACATATTTGTTTATATAAACCCCAAGAGTGGTTGCGTATACGTGCTGTCGTTACTTATACGCCCCACACCCCAGTATTTAACTAAAAATCGATTTTTCAGCCTCAATTACAATTTTTTTTAAACATTTTTCCTAATACCTTGTATTTTTCTTTTACTTTCAGATTTTTTTTCTCCAGCAAAACATAAAATTTTCGCAAAGCTTTCGCAACAACCACACAAAAGCAATCTAGAAAAAAATGTCTCTGCTGACGGGTAGTGCAAACTGCATCAAATATGTTTTGTTTGCTTTCAATTTAGTTTTTATGGTAAGTTTTCGATTTTTGCCTGCCATTGGCATTTGACGATAACATGGAGCTGATATTCCGCATTGCTTTTTCATTATCATTTCATCCACCGTTGATAATGTGAAATGGAAAGAAAAGGCGTACAAAAAAACAGATGATTCACCAAATCACTCGAGGCCGGCCATATGTCCCCGCGTTAAGTCCAAAGTTTTAGAATTTCATTTGTCATACTTAGAAAAAATAGAAAATTTCGGTGATTTACCATTATCTATACATCAATCGATCTTCTGCTTTAAACATAAAAAAAAATTATTTAAATTTTTTTATAAATGAAAAAAAAAAAACATTTTGAAAAAGCCGAAACAGAAGCTCTATCGTTGTTACCGGGTAGTGTGTGATAAGTGGTGATTCTCTTCGGTAATCAGGGGCTTGTGGTTTTTGTAAATCGATTTTACAGTCAAATATCTCTAACGTCTACAATGCACTATCGTTTTCAATATTTTGTTGAAATCAGAAAAATTATCCAATTCATAATTTCCCCAAGATTTTGAAGAGTCTTACAAAAAATTAAATTTTAGTTGAAATTGGGGGCGTATACTTAATATCCTTCTTTGTACCCCTTAATATTAAAATCTAAGAGCCTTAAGGGACATTTTTAGGCCAAATTTGAAAGAAGTCAATGTTTTAGAAATCCCCTAAAAAATTCTGATTTTTGGCAAAAAAGTTTTGAAATTTTAGACCCTTATGGGGACACCTTAGCCTTAGGGGACTTTTAAACCAACATTTCTTCAAAAACAAAAGACGTTTAAGGTCTAAACTTAGGATTTCCATATTCATTTAAAAATCTGCATTAAAAACCAAATTTTAGGACCTCAAAATTAAAAAAAAAAAAACTCATACACAATTTTCTGTCACAGACTGTAGTACATATTTGAAATTTCAAATACGAAATTTGAAACTATTCCGGCGAATCGTCAAAATACCGAATATAGGTAGGTACTGATATATGGGGCCTATACGAAGACCTGGACCTGCATGAACAATTTTCTGTCACAGGCTAAATTATTAAATTATTATTTCCGTTTGTATGGTGGAGGTTATAAAAATAAAACTCTTGTTGAACTTCGGGCGTATACTTGTTGGTGTTATTTATACGACCTGCTATTTAATATCAATGTTTTAGGAAATTAACAGGCGTTTTATGTCCAAATTTTAGAGAAGTCGACAAAAGTCAGGAATACTCAAAAAATCTTTAAAAAAAAACAACATTTTTTTTCAAAATCTACGTTCTGAATTCTCGGAGGATATTCAAAAATTATGTAAGGGAAATTCATAAACTCCTTAAGAAATTATAAGACATTGAAAGTCTTATAGGAGCTTTAAAAATTAGACTTTATTTTATGACCCAAAAGTAGCTTCAAAAATTTCGTTGAGAATCCACATTTTATTTCCTCAAAGGAAACTCACAAATTCCAACAAAACTCCTCGTTTTAAGACCACATTTTAGAACTTAAATAGCACTAAAAATATTCCTTAAAAATCCATGACTTAAGGCCGCATTTAAGCCCTTGAGACAACTTTAAATTTTTTTTTTTTCGAAGAACCCAGAATTTTAAGTGACTTTCAGAAATGTCTAGGAAATGCCATTCGAATCAACAATTTATGTCTATCTTTAAAAACGTAGATTTTTTGATTTACTGACTTGGAATATTGCGCTGATCAAGAATATATATACTTTCTAAGGTCTAACATAAGTATTTTGAGAAGTTACAAACGGAATACCAAGGTTAATAGTCATTACCAAGGGGGCGTATTCGTATTGTCGTTAGTCATACGTCCTATGATTCTTTCTAAATACTTTTTTTATTCATTTTTTCTCTTCTTGAACACATTGACGTTTATTTTACAACATTTTTGTTTGTCTGAGAATTTTACTCAATTTATCTTAAAATTGGACCTACATAGACATCACGATAAGTTTTCGATAAGAGTCTAGTATTTTTTTTTATCTTTTTTCTTCGTTGCATAGTGACGTCAATGGAAGATAACAGGAAAAGATCTCAACAAAAAGTATTTATGAAATTCCAAAAATAAATTCTTCTTGGCTGTTTAATTCGCGCTCGCCCAACCCTCTCATCTCTCCAGATTCAGACAACTTTATTTCGATTTCTAGACATTGAATGTCTTCTGAACGACATTATCTTTTATATTCCTTTGGCATTATTAAAAAAAAAGAACTACATCAGATGTTTCACGTTGGGCGCCACTTTCAATAGAATTCCGAAAAGCGTTAAAATTGCTAGACAGGAGCGCCATACTTCTTGTGATTCCCGTTGGCATTATTTTACAAATAAAAAATTGAATAATAAATTTTCAGATGCCTCATTTTGGGGGCCAATTCAAGAGGAGTCAGAAAAGGGTAAATTTTCTAAAAGGGATCTTTCATATATTGGCCATGCTATATGAGCGTCGTGCTCCCTTCTATCCCTTTGGCATTATTTAAAAAAATAACTGCATCAGTTGTTTCATGTTGGGCGCCATTTTCAATAGAAATTAAAAAAAAGGATAACATTTTTGAACGGGACTTTTTTTATGTTTTAAGCCTTCGGATCGGTATACTCCGTTTACTCCTCGTTGGCATTATTTTAGAAAAACGGCACATGAAACCCTGCACTATTTTCCCATGTTGGGCGCCATTTTAATAAAACACATCAAATGTATAAAAGAGAACTTAAGACTTCTGAGGGCCATACTCCCTTTGTTTCCCGTTGGCATTAATTTACAAATAAAAAAATTGAATATGAAATTGTTTCAGTTGGCCCATATTGGGCGCCAATTCAAGAAGAATCAGAAAAGGGTACATTTTCTAAAAGGGGCCTTCCATATATTGGCCGTGCTTTATGAGCGTCGTACTCCTTTCTATCCCTTTGGCATTATTTAAAAAAATAACCGCATCAGTTATTTCATGTTAGGCGCCACTTTCAGTAGAAATTAAAAAGGATAACATTTTTGAACCGGACCTCTTATATAATTTAAGCCTTCGGAACGGTATACTAGCGGAACATGAAACTCTATACTATTGTCCCATGTTGGGCGCCACTTTAGTAGAACACATAAAATTTATGAAAGAGAACTTCTGAGTGCCATACTCCCTTTGATTCCCGTTGGCATTATTTTACAAAAAAAAAACGAATATGAAATTGTTTCAGTTGGCCCATATTGGGCGCCAATTCAAGAGGAATCAGAAAAGGGTAAATTTTCTAAAAGTGACCTTTCATATATTGACCATGCCATGTGAGCTTCGTACTCCTTTCTATCCCTTTGGCATTATTTAAAAAAATTACCGCATCAGTTATTTCATGTTGGGCGCCACTTTCAGTAGAAATTAAAAAAGGATAACATTTTTGAACAGGACCTTGTTTATGTTGTAAGCCTTCGGAGCGGCATACTCCGTTTACTTCTCGTTGTCATTATTTTAGAAAAACGGCACATGAAACTCTGTACTATTGTCCCATGTTGGGCGCCACTTTAATAGAACACATCAAATGTATGAAAGAGAACTTCTGACTTCTGAGCACCATACTCTGGACGGGGCATACTTCTTTTATTACTCGTTGGCATTATTTTGAAAATTGGAAAATCTGTTTCAATTTCCCCATGTTGGGCGCCACTTTAATAGTAATGGCAAATTTCTAAACGGGACGTTCTACGCATTGAATGCCTTCTGTGTGACCTACTCCTTTCGAGCCCCGATGTCATTATTTTACAAATAAAGAACAGAATATTAAAGTGTTTCAGATGCTTCATGTTGGGCGCCACTTCAATAGAAATCAGAAAGAAGTTAAGTTTTCTAAAGAAGACCTTTCATATATTGAAAGCTACTGAGCGACATACTTCTTTTACTATTCATTGGCATTATTTTAGAACAATAGCACTTGAAGCTTTGTTCCAATTGTCCCATGTTGGGCGCAACTTTAATAGAAAACAATAAATTTCCCAACCTTCAATACATTGAATGTCATTTGAGCGTCATACTCATTACGATTCCCGTTGACATTATCCCACAAAAATCATCATAAAAAATTGCATCAGCAGCCCCATGTTGGTCGCCACTTTTAATAGAAATCGGAAAAGGGTTAAAATTTCTAGAGGGGACCTAATATATATTGTTGGTCTTCAGAGTGGCATACTCCTTTTACTTCTCGTTGGCATTATTTTGAAAACAAAAATGGAGAAGCTGTTTCAAGCTGTCCCAAGTTGGGCGCCACTTTAGAAATTAGAACTAGGTTTCAATTTCCCGAAGGGGAGTGGCATATTCCTTTTACTCCTCGTTGGCTTTATTTTAGAAAAAATGAAAACCCTCTTTCAAATGCCCCATATTGGGCGCCACTTTAATTGAAAATGGCAAATTTCTAAACGGGACTATCTATACAATGAATGCTATATGAGCTTCGTACTCATTTCGATTCCCGCTGGCATTATTTAAAAAAAAGACTGCATTAGTTGCCCCATGTTGGGCGCCACTTTGAACAGAAATCAGAAAATGGTAACATTTTTAAACGGAACTTTATATATTTTTTAAGACTTCGATGCGACATACTCCTTGTTGGCATTATTTTGAAAAAAAGTCAATCTGTTTCAATAGCCCCATGTTGGGCGCCACATTAGAAATGAGCAAGAGGATTACATTTCCAAAAGGGACCTTTTATATATTGCAAGCTTCCAGAGTGGCATATTCCTTTTACTCCTCGTTGTTTTTTTTTTTTTTTAGAAAAAATGCAAACTCTGTATCAAATACCCCATGTTGGGCGCCACTTTAATAGCAAATGGCAAATTTTTAAACGGGACCTACTATACATTCAATGTCTTTTGAGTGACATATTTCTTTCGAGTACCGTTGACATTATTAAAAAAAATAACTGGAGTCTCATACATTTTTTTTCAAAAATAATAGCAGTCCCATGTTGGGCGCCATTTGAATAGAAATCAGAAAAAGGGCAACATTTCTAAACGGGACCTTTTATATATTTTTTGGAAACTTTCTGAGCGACATACTAATTCTAATTCTCATTTTACAAAAAAAAAAAAAAAACCAAAAATATTTTCCAATTGCCCCATGTTGGGCGCCACTTTAATAGAAAACAAAAAATTCTCAACGGAACCTTCTATGAATTGATGGTCTGCCCAAGCTGATAATTTCTTTTCATCCTCGTTGGGATTAATCAAAAAATAGAGAAAAAATATCTTTCAATTGCCCCTTGTTGGGCGCCATTTGAACAAAAATAATTATTTTAGTATAAAAAGATGTAGATAAATAGAAAACATTTTTTATTCATTTTTCTCTCTTTCTCTTCCTCCCTCTCTCTCTCCCCCCACACAGCTAACCGGCATTATCTTAATTGCCGTTGGTGTTGGCGTTGCCGCCATCTATACAGAATATGAAGCCTTTTTGGTGTCGAAATTCTTTTCGATACCGACATTCCTGATTGTCATCGGTTCCTTTATCATTGTCATCTCCTTCTTTGGCTGCTGGGGTGCCTTGAAGGAAAACTACTGCTTGATTTTGACCTTCTCGGTGCTGTTGGGTTTGATCTTCATTTTGGAATTGGCCGCTGGCATTAGCGGTTATGTTTTGCGTTCCGATGCCGAGTCATTGATTAAGGGTAGCCTAACGGAATCGATGAAGGAATACAATCCGACGCATACCAATGATGTGACCTTTATGTGGGACTATGTGCAGAGGACTGTAAGTAGATTGATACTAAGTTTCGGGGTTTTCTAGATGAAATAATGCATTTCTTCTTCCCCCGTAGTTCACCTGCTGCGGCGTTGAAAGCTACAAGGATTGGAACACCGTTCTCAATGGCTCCTTGCCATTGTCCTGCTGCCGCAATCCCGTTGGCCAAGTGGGCTCCTTCACCTGTACCATGAACAACGAGGATGTCAATCGTTACAGTCTCGGCTGTTTGAGTGAATTCTCCAATTACATTGCCGCCCATGCCGTGAGCTTGGGTGCCGCCGGTGTGGTCATTGCCATTATTCAGGTGAGTGAGGTACTCCATGGTCCATGTATGGCCTTTCTAATTCGGGTTTTGTTTTTCCATTTCAGTTCTTTGGTGTCTTGTTTGCCTGCTATATTGCCCGCGAAATTAAAATACGCAACGGCATTACCGGTTTCATGGGTTAAACTCGGATGCTGAAAAGAAGAGGATGAGAAGGCGGCAGGAGAAAGTGAGAAGTTTCCAGAGTTTCATAGTCATAATACGCAAACTAAGCTTTGTCTGCAAATGTTTCGCTTTGTTTAATGTTTAATTTTTCAAATGTTTTTTTAAATCAATAAAGAGAAAACAATAAAAATAACAATTTTTTTAAAATGCTCTACGTTGGAAAAAATATTTTTTAATAAATCCACGTCTGTCAATAATTGGAAAAAATATTTTTTAATAAATCCACGTCTGTCAATAATTGGAAAAAATATTTTTTAATAAATCCACGTCTGTCAATAATTGGAAAAAATATTTTTTAAAAAATCCACGTCTGTCAATAATTGGAAAAAATATTTTTTAAAAAATCCACGTCTCTCAATAATTGGAAAAACAATATTTCTTAAAAATCCACGTCTGTCAATAATTGTAAAAAAAATATTTTTTAAAAAATCCACGTCTGTCAGGAATTGGAAAAAATATTTTTTTAAAAAATCCACGTCTGTCAGGAATTGGAAAAAATATTTTTTTAAAAAATCCACGTCTGTCAGGAATTGGAAAAAATATTTTTTTAAAAAATCCACGTCTGTCAATAATTGAAAAAAATATTTTTTAATAAATCCACGTCTGTCAATAATTGGAAAAAATATTTTTTAATAAATCCACGTCTGTCAATAATTGGAAAAAATATTTTTTAATAAATCCACGACTGTCAATAATTGGAAAAAATATTTTTTAAAAAATCCACGTCTGTCAATAATTGGAAAAAATATTTTTTAATAAATCCACGTCTGACAATAATTGGAAAAAAATATTTTTTAAAATATCCACGTCTGTCAATAATTGGAAAAAATATTTATTAATAAATCCACGTCTGTCAATAATTGGAAAAAATATTTTTTTAAAAAATCCACGTCTGTCAATAATTGGAAAAAATATTTTTTAATAAATCCACGTCTGTCAATAATTGGAAAAAATATTTTTTAAAAAATCCACGTCTGTCAATAATTGGAAGAAATGTTTTTTTAAAAAATCCACGTCCGTCAATATTTGGAAAAAATATTTTTTAAAAAAATCCACGTCTGTCAATAATTGGAAAAAATATTTTTTAAAAAATCCACGTCTCTCAATAATTGGAAAAAATATTTTTTAATAAATCCACGACTGTCAATAATTGGAAAAAATATTTTTTAATAAATCCACGTCTGTCAATAATTGGAAAAAATATTTTTTAATAAATCCACGTCTGTCAATAATTGGAAAAAATATTTTTTAATAAATCCACGTCTGTCAATAATTGGAAAAAAAATATTTTTTTAATAAATCCACGTCTGTCAATAATTGAAAAAAATATTTTTTTAATAAATCCACGTCTGTCAATAATTGGAAAAAAATATTTTTTAAAAAATCCACGTCAGTCAATAATTGGAAAAAATATTTTTTAAAAAATCCACGTCTGTCAATAATTAGAAAAAATATTTTTTAAAAAATCCACGTCTGTCAATAATTGGAAAAAATATTTTTTAATAAATCCACGTCTGTCAATAATTTGAAAAAATATTTTTTAAAAAAACCACGTCTGTCAATAATTGGAAAAAATATTTTTTAATAAATCCACGTCTGTCAATAATTGGAAAAAATATTTTTTAATAAATCCACGTCTGACAATAATTGGAAAAAAATATTTTTTAAAATATCCACGTCTGTCAATAATTGGAAAAAATATTTTTTAAAAAAATCCCCGTCTGTCAATAATTGGAAAAAATATTTTTTAATAAATCCACGTCTGTCAATAATTGGAAAAATATATTTTTTAATAAATCCACGTCTGTCAATAATTGGAAAAAAATATTTTTTAATAAATCCACGTCTGTCAATAATTGGAAAAAATATTTTTTAAAAAATCCACGTTTGTCAATAATTGCAAAAAATTACTTTTTAATAAATCCACGTCTGTCAATAATTGGAAAAAATATTTTTTTTTAAAAAATCCACGTATGTCAATAATTGGAAAAAATATTTTTTAATAAATCCACGTCTGTCAATAATTGGAAAAAATATTTTTTAATAAATCCACGTCTGTCAATAATTGGAAAAAATATTTTTTAATAAATCCACGTCTGTCAATAATTGGAAAAAATATTTTTTAATAAATCCACGTCTGTCAATAATTGGAAAAAATATTTTTTAATAAATCCACGTCTGTCAATAATTGGAAAAAATATTTTTTAATAAATCCACGTCTGTCAATAATTGGAAAAAATATTTATTAATAAATCCACGTCTGTCAATAATTGGAAAAAATATTTTTTTAAAAAATCCACGTCTGTCAATAATTGGAAAAAATATTTTTTAATAAATCCACGTCTGTCCATAATTGGAAAAAAATATTTTTTAATAAATCCACGTCTGTCAATAATTGGAAAAAAATATTTTTTAATAAATCCACGTCTGTCAATAATTGGAAAAAATATTTTTTTAATAAATCCACGTCTGTCAATAATTGGAAAAAATATTTTTTAATAAATCCACGTCTGTCAATAATTGGAAAAAATATTTATTAATAAATCCACGTCTGTCAATAATTGGAAAAATATTTTTTTAAAAAATCCACGTCTGTCAATAATTGGAAAAATATTTTTTTTAAAAAATCCACGTCTGCCAATAATTTAAAAAAAAATTTTTTAAAAAATCCACGTCTGTTATTAAAGTCGAAAAAATATTTTATTAGAAAATCCACGTATGTCAATAATTGGAGAAAATATTTTTTAAAAAATCCACGTCTGTCAATAATTGGAAAAAATATTTTTTTAAAAAATCCACGTCTGTCAATAATTGGAAAAAATATTTTTTAATAAATCCACGTCTGTCAATAATTGGAAGAAATATTTTTTAATAAATCCACGTCTGTCAACAATTGGAAAAAATATATTTTAAAAAATCCACGTCTGTCAATAATTGGAAAAAATATATTTTAAGAAATACACGTCTGTCAATAATTGGAAAAATTTTTTTTAAAAAATCCACGTCTGTCAATAATTGGAAAAAATATTTTTTAAAAAATCCACGTCTGTCAATAATTGGAAAAAATATTTTTTAAAAAATTTACATCCAAATATTTTTTAAAAAATCCACGTCTGTCAATAATTGGAAAAAATATTTTTTTTAAAAAATCCACGTCAGCCAATAATTTAAAAAAATATTTTTTAAAAAATCCACGTCTGTTATTAAAGTCGAAAAAATATTTTATTAAAAAATCCACGTCTGTCAATAATTAGAAAAAATATTTTTTAAAAAATCCACGTCTGTCAATAATTGGAAAAAATATTTTTTAAAAAATCCACGTCTGTCAATAATTGGAAAAAATATTTTTTAATAAATCCACGTCTGTCAATAATTGGAAAAAATATTTTTTAAAAAATCCACGTCTGTCAATATTGGAAACATATTTTTTAGAAAAACCACGTCTGTCAATAATTGTAAAAAATATTTTTTTTTAAAAAATCCACGTCTGCCAATAATTGTAAAAAAATTTTTTAAAAATCAACGTCTGTCAATAATTGTAAAAAATATTTTTTAGAAAAACCATATATATTTTCTAAAAAATCCACGTCTGTCAATAATTGGAAAAAATATTTTTTAAAAAATCCATGTCTGTCAATAACTGGAAAAAATATTTTTTTAAAAAATCCACGTCTGTCAATATTTGAAAAAATATTTTTTTAAAAAATCCACGACTGTCAATAATTGGAAAAAATATTTTTTAAAAAATCCACGTCTGTCAATAATTGGGAAAGATATTTTTTTAAAAAATCCACGACTGTCAATAATTAAAAAGAATATTTTTTAAAAAATCCACGTTTGTTAGAATAATCGAAAAAATATTTTTTAAAAAATCCTAATACCGACAAGGACTGAAAAAATATTATTTTTAATTATGTTTTCTATGGAAATTCTAATGGCGCCCAACTTGGGGCGGAAGCAGTATGATTTTGTATATAAGTTTTTCTTTTTGATTTCAAGCAGAACTCATCATTTGTAAATTTTTTCTTAAATTTCAATTATGAAAAGCCATTTTGAACCATTTTCCGATATTTGTTGCAATTTTCCTATTAGAAATTTTGTCGAGGAAAATCTTTTTCTTTTAAAGAAAAGTTTTAGTAAAACAACTTATCAGTCATTTAAAAATTCCAGGTTTGCCTTACCAGTTCCATAAAATCAATACTCGTGGTTCATTCATGTTTTAAGTGTATCGCAAGGGGCAAGTCAAGAGCAAGGGTAGGCAAATTGTCTTGCAACCAAGGTAACCAAAAAAACCACCAGCAGGCTAATGTCAATAGGACATGTGGTCACATTTAGGTCTAACACAAACAAACAACAAAACAATCAAGGAATTCAATTAAATGCCAGTTGTTCTGAAACAATTCTCTTGACTACCTCGCCAGAGAAAGGGAATTTGGTGGAGAACCTAATTTTGAAAACTCACCCCCCTCCCTCTCCAACATTCGCTAGCAAAACAAAAGCTTTCGGAATTGTGTTCCTCTGTGTTGAAAAAAAAATACTTAGTGACCCAATAAATCGTTGGAAAAATAAATTCTGAAATATTGCGAAAATATTTCTTGGTGTTGACAGAATAGAGTTCTTATCATATCTCGCTTAATTGTTGTTATCTTTTCTGGCTGGCCGAAAGAGTGTGAGTGAGATTCCATATGCTGGTGTTGTTGTTATTGTTGTTCGTTTGTTGGTTTTACTCCCACTTCAACCCCATCATCAACAATTGTTAATTTTTTTTAGTTAAAGTAGGTACAGTTGGGGTTAGGTAAATGAAAATCCACGTCTGTCAATGGTTGGTAAAAATATTTTTTTAAAAAATCCAAGTCTGTCAATAAATGGAAAAAATATTTTTTAAAAAAGATTCAAATCTGTCAATAATTTGAAAAAATATATTTTACAAAATCCACGTCCATTGGTAAATCAAAAAAAATATATTTTATTAAATACAGGTCTATAGGTAATCAAAAAAAAATGTTTTTTAAAAAATCCACTCCATAGGTAATCAAAAAAAATATTTTTTAAAAAATCCACTTCTGTCAATGATTGAAAAAATATTTTTTTTTTAAAAATCCACGGCTGTCAATAATTGGAAAATCGTTTTTTAAAACATCCACGTGTGTCAATTATTGGAAAAATATTTTTTAAAAAATCCACGTCTGTCAATAATTGGAAAAAATATTTTTTAAAAAATCCGTGTCCGTCAATAATTGGAAAAATATTTTTTAAAAAATTCACGTAAGTCAATAATTGGAATATTCTTTAAAAAATCCACGTATGTCAATAATTGGAAAAAATATATTTTTAAAAAATCCACGTATGTCAATAATTGGAAAAAATATTTTTTAAAAAATCCACGTATATCAATTATTGGAAAAATATTTTTTTTAAAAAATCCACGTCTATCAATTATTGGAAAAAATATTATTTAAAAGATCCACGTCTATCAATTATTGGAAAAAATATTTTTTTAAAAAATCCGCGTCTATCAATAATTGGAAAAAATATATTTTTAAAAAATCCACGTCTATCAATTATTGGAAAAAATATTTTTTAAAAAATCCGCGTCTATCAATAATTGGAAAAAATATTTTTTTAAAAAATCCACGGCTATCAATTATTGGAAAAAAATATTTTTTAAAAAATCCACTTCCATTGGTAAATCAAAAAAATATTTTGTTAAAAAATCCACGTCTGTCAATTATTGGAAAAAATATTTTTTTAAAAAATCCACGTCCATTGGTAAATCAAAAAAATATTTTTTAAAAAATCCTCGTCCATTGGTAAATCAAAAAAATATTTTTTAAAAAATCCACTTCCATTGGTAAATCAAAAAAATATTTTTTTAAAAAATCCACGGCTATCAATTATTGGAAAAAAATATTTTTTAAAAAATCCACTTCCATTGGTAAATCAAAAAAATATTTTGTTAAAAAATCCACGTCTGTCAATTATTGGAAAAAATATTTTTTAAAAAATCCTCGTCCATTGGTAAATCATAAAAATATTTTTTAAAAAATCCATGTCCATTGGTAAATCAAAAAAATATTTTTTAAAAAATCCTAGTCCATTGGTAAATCAAAAAAATATTTTTTAAAAAATCCACGTCAATTGGTAAATCCAACATATATTTTTTTAAAAAAATCCACGTCCATTGGTAAATCAAAAAAATATTTTTTTAAAGAATCCACGTCCATTGGTAAATCAAAAAAATATTTTTTAAAAAATCCACATCCATTGGTGAATCCAAAAAAATTTTTTTAAAAAATCCACGTCAATTGGTGAATCCAACATATATTTTTTTAAAAAAATCATTCTGTTGGAAAATCCTAAAAGTATATATTTTTTAAATCCACGTCTGTTGGAAAATCCTAAAATTATTTTTTTAAAAAAAAATCCACGTCTGTTAGAAAATCCTAAAAATATATTTTTTTAAATCCACGTCTGTTGGAAAATCCTAAAAATATTTTTTATGAAATCCATGTCCATTGGTAATCAAAAAAAAATATTTTTTATAAAAAAAATCCACGTCTGTTAGAAAATCCTAAAAATATATTTTTTTAAATCCACGTTTGTTGGAAAATCCTAAAAATATTTTTTAAAAAATCCATGTCCATTGATAAATCAAAAAAAATATTTTTTAAAAAATGCACGTCCATTGGTAAATCAAAAAAATATTTTTTAAAAAATCCACGTCTATTGGTAAATCAAAAAAATATTTTTTAAAAAATCCACGTCTATTGGTAAATCAAAAAAATATTTTTTTTAAAAAATCCACGTCCATTGGTAAATCAAAAAAATATTTTTTAAAAAATCCACATCCATTGGTGAATCCAAAAATTTTTTTTTTTAAAAATCCACATCCATTGGTAAATCAAAAAAATATTTTTTAAAAAATCCACGTCCATTGGTAAATCAAAAAAATATATTTTTTAAAAAATCAACGTCCATTGGTAAATCAAAAAAATATTTTTTAAAAAATTCACGTCAATTGGAAAAAAATATTTTTTAAAAAATCCGCGTCAATTAGTACATTTAAAAAATATTTTTTTTAAAAAATCCACGTCTGTCAATAAATGTAAAAAATATTTTTTTTAAATCCACGTCTGCCAATAATTGAAAAAATATATTTTTTTAAAAAATCCACGTCTGCCAATAATTGAAAAAAATATTTTTTTTAAATCCACGTCTGCCAATAATTGAAAAAATATATTTTTTTAAAAAATCCAAGTCTGCCAATAGTTGAAAAAATATTTATTTAAAAATCCACGTCTATCAATAAATTGAAAAAATATTTTTTTAAAGTGGAATAAATATTTTTAAAAAAAATCCACGTCTATCAAAAAGTAGAAAAAATATTTTTATAAAAAAATCCACGTCTGTCAATTATTGGAAAAAATATTTTTTTTAAAAAATCCACGTCTGTCAATGGTTGGTAAAAATATTTTTTAAAAAATCCACGTCTGCCAATATTGAAAAAATTGGTAAAAATATTTTTTAAAAAATCCACTTCTGTCAGTAATTGGAAAGAATAATTTTTTAAAAATTCACGTCTATCAATAATTGGAAAAAATATTTTTTGAAAAATCCACGTCCGTCAAAAATTGGAAAAAATATTTTTTGAAAAATCTACATTCGTCAATAATTGGAAAAAATATTTTTTAAAAAATTCTAAAAACCAGCCCTTACTGTACTGATAACGAAAAACCAAAACAACTTTTTTTCTCCATAAAACAACACGAACAACAACACCACCACCACCACTGAGAACCTCCGCTGTCGTCAATTCCAGCCGAAGAGAACAAATACTAGCAAGTTAACACACGAAACAAAAAAAAAAGATATTATGACTGTTTTTTAAATAGAAAAAAGCTTTTCAATATTTTAGTATTTCTGTAACTTGGCAAGTAAAGAGTTGTAAGAGAAAGAGAACCGTTAATAATATTTCAATAAAAATAATCAAAGAAAATAATTAATATTTTCTTTCCATCCAATAGTGAATCAATAGAAAAAAATTCAAAACTCTTAACGAAAGGATTTGTGTCGCGAAGAAAACGTCTTCAACGAATAACGAAAGGAAAAAATGGCCACAAGGGATTTACAATTGAATTCCGGCATGCGTTGTGCCAAATATATGCTGCTCATTGTGAGCTTTATGTTTGCGGTAAGTATGATTTGATTTTAAGGGAAACAAGTTTTGAATCGAAATTTGGTCCTTCGAGTGTGAAATTTTCCATATTTTCATCTAGGGCCGTCAACGCCATTTTGTTACCTTGATTGTGGTAGTTCTCATAGTCATTCATCGTTGGCTTGTTATCTATATTTGTTTAATTCTTTTTGCTTGTGTATGTGTGTGTGAGTGATAGGAAATGAGTTTATGTGTGTGTGCGTGTGAGGTCCACTCACACACATTAATAATTCATAATTGTTGCTCAGCCGTTTTCAATATCCGTTCATGTTTCCCAATGGTATTTTGCCTTCGGGGGCCACTCAATAAAATGGAACCCCCTTTTTCCCCAACCAAGGTTAAAGGTCAATAGGAACTTCATTTTCTGGTTCGAATCTAAGGATTCCAATCCACATCCATTATTGAGTGCAAATGACCTTAATCGCTGGGGAGTGAAAAGAGCCAATATCGGTCTTCTTCCTCTACAACCTATTCTTGTGGATCGCCAGAGAATTATTTGTCCAACTGAGTCATAGTTTTTTTCTAACAAAAAACTAAAACCGAATTACATAGCATTTTGGGAAGACATATTTTTTAAAATATCCACGTCCGTCCAAAATTGGAAAAAATATATTTTTTTTAAAATCCACGGCCGTCAAAAAATGGAAAAATATTTTTTAAAAAATCCACGTCCGTCAAAGAATGGAAAAATATTTTTTGAAAAATCTACGTTCGTCAAAAATCGGAAAAATATTTTTTTAAAAAATCCACGCCCGTCAATAATTGGAAAAAATAGTTTTTAAAAAATGCACGTCTGTCAAAAATCGGAAAAAATATTTTTTAAAAAATCCACGTCCGTCAAAAATAGGAACAAATTATTTGTAAAAAATCCACGTCTGTCAAAAATCGGAAAAAATATTTTTTAAAAAATCCACGTCTGTCAAAAATCGGAAAATTTTTTTTTTAAAAATCCACGTCTGTCAAAAGTCGGAAAAAATATTTTTTAAAAAATTCACGTCTGTCAAAATTCGGAAAAAATATTTTTTAAAAAATCCACGTCTGTCAAAAAATGGAAAAATATTTTTTTAAAAAATCCACGTCCGTCAAAGAATGGAAAAATATTTTTTGAAAAATCTACGTTCGTCAAAAATTGGAAATATATTTTTTAAAATATCCACGTCTGTCAAAAATCTGAAAATATATTTTTTAAAAAATCCACGCCTGTCAAAAATCGGAAAAAATATTTTTTAAAAAATCCACGTCTGTCAAAAATCGGAAAAAATATTTTTTAAAAAATCCACGTCTGTCAAAAATCGGAAAAAATATTTTTTAAAATATCCACGTCCGTCCAAAATTGGAAAAAATATTTTTTAAAATATCCACGTCAGTCAATAATTGGAAAAAATATTTTCCGAAAAATCTACGTCCGTCAAAAATTAAAAAACAAATATTTTTTAAAACATCCACGTCTGTCAAAAATTGGAAAATTTAAAAAACCAACTCTTTTTGACTTTAAACAAGTAAAAAAGATGTAAGTTCGGCCGGGCCGAACTTTGAATTCCCCCCACTATTGAAAACGAACTTGGCAATTTTCAAAAAATAAAAAATAAAATCCGTTAAAAATTCTGTCAAAATCTTAAAAATACCAAATGTAGCCGTCATATTAGGGTCTAAACGAAGACGTAGACCTGCATAGGCAACTTTTGTCATAAGCCATTACAATATTCAAATGCGAAACTTAAAAAAAAATGTTGTTGTTGCGGAATGTTGCTAAAATCATCAACATATAGGGAGGTACTATTATATGGGGGCTATACCAAAATGTGGACCTGCACAGACACTTTTCTGTCATAGGCTGTAGCATCCATTACGAACTTCAAATATCAAATTTGAAATAATTCCGGTAAATAATGTCGCTGAAATCATGAAAATACCGAATATCGGGAGATACCGTTATATGGGGGCTATACCAAAACGTGGACCGACATGGCCTATTTTCAATACCAAAAGTCCTGTAGACATAATATACATTTGAGTAAAATTTTATCAATCTAATTCAATTCGTTCGGAAGTTAGAGTGATTTCCTCAGACGGACGGACATCGCTAAATCGCTGATCATATATATATATATATATATATATATATATATATATATATATATATATATATATATATATATATATATATATATATATATATATATATCGCGGGGTCTGAAATGTGTATTTCGAGATGTTACAAACGTAATGACAAACTTAATATACCCTCCAAGCTATGGTAGAGGGTATAAAATCCACGTCTGTCAAAAATCGAAAAAATATTTTTTAAAAAATCCACATCTGTCAAAAATCTGAAAAAATATTTTTTAAAAAATCCACGTCTGACAAAAAAAAAATTCACGTCTATTGGCCTTTGGAAAGAATATTTTTTTTAAAAATCCACTTTTTTCGTCTTTGGAAAAATATTTTTTAAAAAAATCCACTTTTTTCGCCTTTGGAAAAAATTTTTTAAAAAAACCACGTCTGTCAAAAATTGAAAAAAATACTTTTTAAAAAATCCACGTCTGTTGGCCTTTGGAAAAATATTTTTTAAAAAATCCACGTCTGTTGGCCTTTGGAAAAATATTTTTTAAAAAAACCACGTCTGTTGGCCTTTGGAAAAATATTTTTTAAAAACCACGTCGGTTGGCTTTGGAAAAATATTTTTTATAAAATCCACGTCTGTTGGCCTTTGGAAAAATATTTTTTAAAAAATCCACGTCTGTCAATAATTGGAAAAAATATTTTTTAAAAAATCCATGTCCAAATTGGAAAAAATATTTTTTAAAAAATCAACGTCAGTCTTAAATTGGAAAAAATATTTTTTAAAAAATCCATGTCCAAATTGGAAAAAAATATTTTTTAAAAAATCCACGTCTGTCAATAATTTGAAAAAATATTTTTCAAGAAATCCACGTCTGTCAAAAATCGGAAAAAATACTTTTTAAAAAATCCACGTCCGTCAAAAATTGGAAAAAATATTTTTTAAAAAATTCACGTCTGTCAAAAATCGGAAAAAATATTTTTTAAAAAAACCACCTCTGTCAAAAATCGGAAAAAATAATTTTTAAAAAATCCACGTCAGTCTTAAATTAAAAAAAATATTTTTTAAAAAATTCACGTCCGTCAATATTTGAAGAAAATATTTTTTAAAAAATCCACTTCTGTCAATAATTGGAAAAAATATTTTTTAAAAAATCCACGTCTGTCAAAAATCGGAAAAAATATTTTTTAAAAAATTCACGTCTGACAAAAATTGAAAAAATACTTTTTTAAAAATCCACGTCTGTTGGCCTTTGGAAAAATATTTTTTAAAAAATCCACGTACGTCATAAATTGGAAAAAATATTTTTTTAAAAACCCACGTCTGTCAAAAATTGAAAAAATACTTTTTAAAAAATCCACGTCTGTCAAAAATTGAAAAAAAAATACTTTTTAAAGAATCCACGACTGTCAAAAATTGAAAAAAAAAACTTTTTAAAAAATCCACTTCTGTCAATAATTGGTAAAAATATTTTTTAAAAAATCAACGTCTGTCAATAATTGTAAAAAAAATATTTTTTAAAAAATCCACGTCTGTCAATAATTGGAAATAATATTTTTTAAAAATCCAAGCCTGTCATAAATTGGAAAAATATATTTTTTAAAAAATCCAGGTCTGTCAATAATTGAAAAAAATATATTTTTTTTAAAATTCCATGTCTATCATAAATTGGAAAAAATATTTTTTAAAAAATCCACGTTTGTCAACAATTAAAGAAAATATTTTTTTAAAAAATCCATGTCCAAATTGAAAAAAAATATTTTTTAAAAATTCAAGTCAGTCTTAAATTGAAAAATATATTTTTTAAAAAATCCACGTCAGTCTTAAATTGAAAAAAATATTTTTTAAAGAATCCACGTCTATTGGCCTTTGGAAAAAGTATTTTTTTAAAAATCCACGTCTTTTGGCCCTTAAAAAAAATATTTTTAAAAAATCCAAGTCCGTCAAAAATTGGAAAAAAAATACATTTTTAAAAATCCACGTCGGTCAAAAATTTGAGAAAAAAAATTTTTAAAAACTCCACGTCAGCCAAAAATTGAAAAAATATTTTTTAAAATATCCACGTCGATCAAAAATTGGAAAAACATTTTTCAAAAAATCCACGTCCGTCAAAAATTAGAAAAAATACTTTTTAAAAAATCCAAGTCTGTCAATAATTGTAAAAATATTTAAAAAAGATTTAAAAAAAAAATGAAAAAGTATCTTTTTTAAAAAATCCACGTCTCTTAGCCTTTTAAAAAAATATTTTTTTTTTAAATCGACGCCTTTTGGAAATATATAAAATATTTACAATATTTATATATGTTTTTTTATTATTATATTAATTTAATTCCTTCCACCTGTTCCAGATCACAGCCATTCTCCTGGTAATGGTTGGCTCCACCATCCAGGCCATATTTGGTGATTTCCGTCAATTTGTCGATGATCACTTCCTGTCACCGCCAGCCCTGCTAATTGCCATTGGCTTCATTCTATTGTTCGTTGCCACCCTGGGTGCCTATGGAGCCATCAAGGAAAGTGTTATGCTCATCAATTTGGTAGGTTGGCTGATCTGTGTTAGAAAATATGAAATTGACAATTTCCTCTCTTCACCTCCTCTCTCTTTCTTCTCTCACCGTGAAGTATGGCGTTTGCCTGTTCTTGGTTTTCATTTTGGAGGTATCTGCCTCAATTGCTGCCTTTGTAATGCAAGGCCAAGTCCGTGAGATGTTGGTTCGCACCATGAACGAATCGCTGGCCAATTACGAGTCGAACGAATATATCCAAGCCGGTGTGGACTTCATGCAGTCCGGCTTGGAATGCTGTGGCGTTGACGGTCCCCGCGATTGGATCAATTTCATTCAACAGTCCAACAGCACTGACAATCGCATCGATGTGCCCTTGTCGTGCTGCGGTATGTACAGCTATGACCTGGAGAGTTGTGAGAAACAATATGAGAATGGCTGCTTTGGACGCATGGACTTTATTATCTCACAGAGTACCATGTTGATTGCCACTGGCGCCACCACGGTGGCTTTTGTGCAGGTAAGAGATCACATTTCCTTGGATATATATTTTTTGGATTAATCGAAATTTTTGTTTTTCCCCCAGCTCCTGGGTGCTCTGTGTGCCTTTATGTTGGCCAAGACCCTGAGACGTAACAAGTCGATACGCGAGGCCCGTCGCTGGCAGTTGCAGCAAAGTTTGGGCGTTCTCATCTCGGGTGGCAAAATGGCCCCACCCATGAATTCACCCATGACCGGCTATACCCAGTTGGAGAAATCTGAAAGATTCTATGAACGGGAGCCCATCGCCTATACACCCAATAGTCCCAGTGTCAACTAAAGCGGGAACGGAAGCTCGACGTTATTTAAATTATATACAGTATATACTTATATTTAATAATATGACATCTACACACACACACAAATGTACTTATTTGATTGTATTAAACAAAAAAAAATTAATTTCTTATAAAAAATTTACTTAAATAAAAAGTATTTTTTGTGGATAGCTTTTCAAGCCAAAGCTGGTCCTAAACATACATTTTTTGAAGAACTAAACATTTATTTATCCCTAGATTTTTTTTATTAATTTTTTTTTCGGGAGGCCTATGAGTGGCGAAATTTTTAAAAATATTTTTATCCAAAGGCAGACGTGGATTTTTAAAAAAATATTTTTTCCAATTATTGACAGACGTGGATTTTTTAAAAATAGTTTTTTTTTCAATTATTTACTGACGTGGATTTTCAAAAAAAAAATATTTTTTCCAATTAATGACAGACGTGGATTTTCAAAAAAAAATATTTTTTTCCAATTATTGACAGACGTGGACTTGTTAAAAAATATTTTTTCCAATTTTTAAAAAAAAAATATTTTTTCCAATTATTGGCAGACATGGATTTTTTAAAACATATTTTTTCAATTATTGACGGACGTGGGTTTTTTAAAAAATATTTTTTCCAATTATTGAAGACGTGGATTTTTTAAAAAAAATATTTGCTCCAATTATTGACTGAAGTGGATTTAAAAAAAATATATTTTTTCCAATTATTGACAGACTTGGATTTAAAAAAAATATTTTTTCAATTACCGACAGACGTGGGTTTTTAAAAAAATATTTTTTCCAATTATTGACAGACGTGAATTTTTTAAAAATTATGTTTTCCAATTATTGACAGACGTGGGTCTTTAAAAAAATATTTTTTCCAATTATTGACAGACTTGGATTTTTTAAAAAATATTTTTTCCAATTATTGACAGAATTGGATTTTTTAAAAAATATTTTTTCCAATTATTGACAGAATTGGATTTTTTAAAAAATATTTTTTCCAATTATTGACAGAATTGGATTTTTTAAAAAATATTTTTTATTGACAGACGTGGATTTTTTAAAAAATATTTTTATTGACAGACGTGGATTTTTTAAAAAATATTTTTTCCAATTATTGAATAATTATTGACAGACGTGGATTTTTAAAAAATATTTTTTTATTGACAGACGTGGATTTTTTAAAAAATATTTTTTTATTGACAGACGTGGATTTTTAAAAAAAAATTTTTTATTGACAGACGTGGATTTTTTTAAAAAAATTTTTTTATTGACAGACGTGGATTTTTTAAAAAAAATTTTTTATTGACAGACGTGGATTTTTTAAAAAAATATTTTTTCCAATTATTGACAGACGTGGATTTTTTAAAAAATATTTTTTCCAATTATTGACAGACGTGGAATTTAAAAAAAAAAACTTTTTTTTCAATTATTGACAGACGTGGATTTTTTAAAAAAATATTTTTTCCAATTATTGACAGACGTGGAATTTTAAAAAAAAAAAAACTTTTTTTTCAATTATTAACAGACGTGGATTTTTTAAAAAAATATTTTTTCCAATTATTGACAGACGTGGATTTTTTAAAAAATATTTTTCCAATTATTGACAGACGTGGAATTTAAAAAAAAAATATTTTTCCAATTATTGACAGAAGTGGATTTAAAAAAAAAAAAAACTTTTTTTCCAATAATTGACAGACGTGGATTTTTTAAAAAATATTTTTTCCAATTATTGACAGAAGTGGATTTTTTAAAAAAATATTTTTTCTAATTATTGACAGAAGTGGTTTTTTTAAAAAAATATTTTTTCCAATTATTGACAGAAGTGGATTTTTTTAAAAAAATATTTTTTCCAATTATTGACAGACGTGGATTTAAAAAATATGTGTTCCAATTATTGACAGATGTGGATTTTTAAAAAAAATATTTTTTCAATTCCTGACAAACGTCAGTAATTTTAATTTTTCTAGCGCCAAAAGGCGATTATTTAAAACATTTGTAGTAATTTTTTTTTTATTCTTCACAACATTTTACAAAAATCCAATTTTTTCAATATTTTTTCCCAAACTCTAAAAAATCTCCTCCACCTCCTTCAAGTTTTATTGCAGCTTCTTAAGACCGCTTAAAAACTCATTTAGCAGCTTCAGTTGTTCCGTCACCGATATTGTGGCTGTGCCACCAATCACATCGTACTGCTCCACATTGCCGCCATAGTCGGCCACCTTGAAAATGTCCACATCAAAGTGGGGACAAATTTGCTGCAAGTCTCCCAGCGGAATTTCATTGATGCCCAGAGACATGCGTTCGGCATGGGCCACCACAGCCCCAATATAATGATGGGCCTTGCGGAAGGGCACTCCCTTGCGTACCAGATAATAGGCCTGCCAAAAAGGAAGATAATTCCATTACAAATTCCCAAAACCAAAACCAAATTCTCTAAAACTCACCCAATCCGTGGCCAACATATCGGCCGACAAAGCCGACTCCATGTGCTGCATTTTCAATTTCATGGTTTTCACCACCCCTTGGGTTACCATTAGGGCCTGTTGCAGTTTATCGAATGCCTCAAAACAATATTGCTTATCGAACTGCAAGTCCTTGTTATACGTTGAGGGTGTACCCTTAATGGTCATCATAATGCCCGTCAGACATGAAAACAGATTTCCCGACATGCCCCTTACCAGTTCCAAACTATCGGGATTACGTTTCTGGGGCATCAAACTGCTGCCGGTGGAAAAATCATCGGCGATTTCAATGAAATCAAATTCTTTGGTGGCATAAATTATCAGATCCTCAGCCAAGCGGGAGAGGTGCAGACCCACCATGGAACAGCAGTAAACGAAGTCAACTGAAAAAAAAAATAGAAAATTATAAACAGAATTGGAATTTTTTAAAAATATTTTCTCCAAAGACCAAAAGACGTGGATTTAAAAACAAAAATATTTTCTTCCAATTATTGACAGACGTGGATTTTAAAAAATATATATTTTTCCAACTATTAACGGACGCAGATTTAAAAAAAAAATATTTTTTCCAACTATTGATAGACCTGGATTTTTTTAAAAAATATTTTTTCAATTATTGACAGACGCGGATTTTTAAAAAAATATTTTTCCAATTATTGATAGACGTGGATTCTTTAAAATTATTTTTTTCAATTATTGACGGACGTGGATTTTAAAAAAAAATATTTTTTTCAATTATTGACAGGCGTGGATTTTTTAAAAAATATTTTTTTCAATTATTGACAGACGTGGATCCTTAAAAAATATTTTTTCCAATTATTGATAGACGTGGATTCTTTAAAAAATATTTTTGCAATTATTGACAGACATGGATTTTTTAAAAATTATTTTTCCAATTATTGACAGACGAGGATTTTTAAAAAAATATTTTTTCCAATTATTGACAGACGTGGATCCTTAAAAAATATTTTTTTCCAATTATTGATAGACGTGGATTCTTTAAAAAATATTTTTTTCAATTATTGACAGACATGGATTTTTTAAAAATTATTTTTCCAATTATTGACAGACGTGGATTTTTAAAAAAATATTTTTTCCAATTATTGACAGGCGTGGATGTTTTAAAGAATATTTTTTCCAATTATTGAAAGACGACAGGATTTAAAAAAAAATATTTTTTCCAATTATTGAAAGACGACAGAATTTAAAAAAAATATATTTTTTCCAACAATTGACGGACGTGGATTTTTTAAAAAAATATTTTTCCAACAATTTACGGACGCGGATTTTTTTAAAAAATATTTTTTCCAACAATTGACGAACGTTGATTTTTTTAAAAAATATTTTTCCAACTGTTGACCGACGTGGGTTTTTGTAAAAAAATATTTTTCAATTTTTGACGGACGTTGATTTTTTTTTTAAATTTTTTGCATTTATTGACAGACGTGGATTTTTTAAAAAAATATTTTTTCCATTTATTGACAGACGTGTATGTTTTAAAAAATATTGTTTTTCAATTATTGATGGACGTGGATTTTTAAAGAAAATATTTTCGATCGTTTACAGACACGGTTTTTTAAAAAAATATTTTTTTTTTAATTATTGACAGACGTGGATTTTTAAAAAAATATTTTATCCAGCTATTGACGGACGTGGATTTAAAAAAAAAATATTTTTTCCAACTATTGACGGACGTGGGTTTTTTTAAAAAAATATATATTTTTTTTCAATCATTGATAGACGTGGATTCTTTAAAATATATTTTTTTCAATTATTGACAGACGCGGATTTTTTTAAAAATAATTATTGACAGACGTGGATTTTTTTAAAAAATAATTTTTCAATTATTGATAGACCCGGATTCTTTAAAAAATATTTTTTTTCAATTATTGACGGACGTCGAGTTTTTAAAAAAAAATATTTTTTTCAATTATTGATATACGTGGATTCTTTAAAATTATTTTTTCCAATTATTTGCATACGTGGATTTTTTAAAAAATATTTTTTCCAATTATTGACAGACGAGGATTTTTTAAAAAATATTTTTTCCAATTATTGGCAGACGTGGATATTTAAAGAAAAAATGTTTTCCAATTATAGGCAGACGTGGATTTTTCTAAAAATATTTTTTCCAATCATTGACAGACGTGGATTTTTTAAGAAATATTTTTTCCAACTATTGACCGACGTGGATTGTTTTAAAAAATATTTTTTCCAACTATTGACGGACGTGGATTTTTTTTTTAAATATTTTTTCCAACTATTGACGAACGTGGATTTTTTTTCAAAATATTTTTTCCAACTATTGACGGACGTGGATTTTTTTAAAAAATATTTTTTCCAACTATTGACGGACGTGGATTTTTTTAAAAAATGTTTTTTCCAACTATTGACAGACGTGGAGTTTTAAAAAAATATTTTTTCCAACTATTGTCCGACGTGGATTTTTTATTTTTAATATTTCTTCCAACTATTGACGGACGTGGTTTTTTAAAAAAAATATTTTTTCCAATTATTTCCCTTTTTAAAAATATTTTTCAATTTTTTTCCTTAACAAAGAACAAATCCCCTCCTCCACCTCCTCCCTTATCGCTACTCACCCACAAAATCTCGATCACCCACAGCATGCATGCTATTAGCCGTTACGGCGGCGAATCCCAGCCTTTCCGCCAGCCAAACACGATCGATTTGCAATGGATTTCCAGCCAAGGCCCCACTTCCCAGTGGCAAGACATTCGCACGAACTCTCAAATCACAGAGCCGCAAACAATCCTCCCGCAAGGCGAATGCATGCGACAACAGCCAGTGGGAGAAGAGCACCGGTTGTGCCCTCTGCAGGTGAGTATAGCCCGGCATTAGGACTTGTAAGTTTTGTTGGGCCTGTTGGCACATTGTGTCTATAAGTTGGCTCAGACTATCACAAGTCTCGCGAATGGCCTTACGCATCCATAGCTTCATGTCGGTAATGACCTGATCATTACGACTACGTCCCGTGTGCAGTTTCTGACCCACTTCGCCAATCAATTCCGTTAAACGCCGCTCGTTGACAGTGTGCACATCCTCATCGGAGGGCAGGAATTTCATCAGACCCTCAATCCAATCGTAACGGACCAATTCAAAGCCGGTCTGAATTGTGGCACACTCCTCGCTGGTCAAATAGCCAGCCTTGGCCAAGGCTTCGGCATAGGCCTTACTGCCGTCTATGTCATCGGCAAAGAGCCGCGAGTCCACGGGTAGACTGCAATTAAGGGTGGCCAGACATTCGTTGGTTTTCCCAGCATTGTTGCCAAAACGTCCTCCCCATAATTGATGTTGTTTTTGTTGCTGCGGTTGTTGCTGTTGTTGTGCCATCTTGCCGGCCTTATCTTGCTTCTTTGGCTGCTGTCGTAGCGTCTTCTTTCCGGAATTTAACTGCCAAACGATCTTGACACTTTGAGATTAAAATCACAACTGTTCCAAGCTTCTATTATTATTATCTGTCTGCCTGCCTGCCTGCCTTCTGCCGGTGTTTCGGGGAAAGGCATTTGGATTTGTTTGTTATCAGTTGGAAATTTAAATTTGTCTGTTTGTTGTTGGTTTTTTTTTCTTTTTTTTTTTTTTTTTTTTTTGTTTAGAAATTGTTTACAAAAAAAACCTCTTTGGTATATTATCTGCGGAATCGGGAGATTGATTGGGGATTCATAAAAATTAAATTTAAAAGCCTTAAAAACTATAAAACATTCTATAAAAAATTCACGTTTAAAAGCCTTTGGGAATCTCTGAAAATTAGTTGGAAAAATCCATGCTTTAAAGCCTTTGGGAATCTCTGAAATTTGTTTAAAAAATCCACATTTAAAGGCCCTTGGGAATCTCTGAAAATTTGTTTAAAAAATCGACGCTTAAAGGCTTTTGGGAATCTCTGAAAATTTGTTTAAAAAATCCACATTTAAAGGCCTTTGGGAATCTCTGAAAATTTGTTTAAAAAATCGACGCTTAAAGGCTTTTGGGAATCTCTGAAAATTTGTTTAAAAAATCCACGCTTAAAGGCCTTTGGGAATCTCTGAAAATTTGTTTAAAAAATTCACGCTTAAAAGCCTTTGGGAATCTCTTAAAAATTTGTTTAAAAAATCCACGCTTAAAAGCCTTTGGGAATCTCTGAAAATTTGTTTAAAAAATCCACGCTTAAAAGCCTTTGGGAATCTCTGAAAATTTGTTTAAAAAATCCACGCTTAAAAGCCTTTGGGAATCTCTGAAAATTTGTTTAAAAAATCCACGCGATTCATTAACAAAATTCGGTTTAAAGACCTTTGGAAACCTCTGGAAAACTGTTCCAAAAATCCAAGTTTGAGAGCCTCAAGGGTTTCCTAAGTTTTTTTAATAACGTTTGAAGTCCTTTGGGAATCTCTGAAAAATTCTTTAAAAAAATCCACGTTTCAATACCTCAAAGGTTCCCTAAAAATTCTATAAAAAATCCGGTTTCATGACCTTTGAAAATATTTAGAAAATTCTTTAAAAAATCCTGTTTGAAGACATTTAGAAATCTCTAGAAATTTCTTTAAAAAACTGTACATTTGAAAGCCTCAAGGGTTCCCAAAAACTCTTTAAAAAAAAATCCCATTTAGAGACATTTGGAATCTCTGGAAAATTCTTGAAAAAATCCCGTTTGAAGACATTTGGGAATGTCTGGAATTCTTTAAAAAAAACTCCTCGTTTGAAAGCCTCAAAGGTTCCCTAAAAATTCATAACAAAATCCACGATGAAGGCCTTCAAGGGTTCCTAAAAATTCTTTAAAAAATCCCGTTTGAGTACCTTTGGGAATCTCTGGAAATTTCTTTAAAAAACTCCACGTTTGAAAGCGGTTTCAAGACCAAGGGAATATTTAGAAAATTCTTTAAAAATACCGATTGAAGACCTTTAGAAATCTCTGGAAAAATCGATAAATAATTCATGTTTGAACGCCTTAAGGGCTGTCTAATATTTTTTTAAATAATCTCGTTGGAAGTCCTTTGAGAATCTCTGAAAAATTCTTTAAAAAATCCAAGTTTGAATGCCTCAAAAATTCATAATAAAATCCACGATGAAATCCTCCAAGGGTTCCTCAAATTTCTTTAAAATATCAAGGTTTGAAAGCCTCAAAGGGTCCCTAAAAATTCCACGATTGAAAGGCTGAAAGAGTCTCTTAAAATTCTTTAAAAAATCAAAGTTTGAAAGCCTTAAAGAGTCTCTTAAAATTCTTTAAAAAAATCAACGTTCGAAAAGCTCAGAGTCCATATATTTTCTTTAAAAAAATCCACGTTTGAAAAGCTGAAAGAGTCTCTTAAAATTCTTTAAAAAATCCACGTTTGAAAGCCTTAAAGAGTCTCTTAAAAGTCTTTAAAAAAATCAACGTTCGAAAAGCTCAGAGTCCATAAATTTGCTTTAAAAAAATCCACGTTTGAAAGGCTTAAAGCGTCCATAAAATGTCTTTAAAAAAATCAACGTTCGAAAGGCTCAAAGAGTCCATAAAATTTCTTTAAAAAAATCCACGTTTGAAAGGCTCAAAGAGTCCATAAAACATATTTAAACAAATCCAAGTTTACGAACCTTTGGGAATTTCTTTAAAAAATCGGTGCTTGAAGGCGTTTGAGAATTACTGAGAAAACCTTAAAAAATTTCACGCCTGTAAGCCTTCAATGAGCCTCGAAAAAAATGCCAAGAAACTACTTTAAAATCCCCTTGGCGATGCCTGGAAATTTCTTTATAAAATCCATATTTAAAGACCTTAAAAGGTCTCTGAAAATTCAAAATCTGGAAACTCTTTATCTGTTCCCTTTTATCTCCCAGCCATTTCGTCTAATCTCCCAGACAACTAAAAGTTTACAGAAATTCATTTTTTTTTATCTGCCGATAACACAGATCCCGAAAATTCACTTGCCATGCAAACAGACTGCGTCATAAGTTTCTCTCCCTCTCCCATTTCATTAAATACTTAATATGAGGCAATTTCAAATGATTTTCAAAACCTTATCTGCATCGAAATAATTACGTGATCATTTTGTTGTTGTTGTTGTCGTTGATTTCTTGTGATAAAGAATTGTGTTGACTTGCATCTCTGCCATAATCTTTCGTTTGTGGGGTAAGGTGTCTTTCTCAGCAATGCATTAAAACAGAATTGGAAATAGAGGTGAGGCAGAGTGGGACCTCGTAGTTAAACTACAAAATTTTGTAAAAAATGGTATGATGTAGGCTGGTAATAAACATCAGGATAAAGTCTAATCTCTTTCTTAAGGTCAAGGATATTGATTGCTTTGGCACAAAATTCTTCAGTCAATTTTTGAGCAAAGTCGTGCATATTTCGCTGCATTATCGCTGAATTCATTCGATTTCCCTTTGAAGTTGGCTTTGAAGTTCATTCTGGGAAGAATAAATGTTGCCCTTCGATGTTTAAAATATCACATATCTTGGTTTTGTTTTCTTTTCCTTCATTTCTTTTTCCTTTTCACATCCTTTCCTTTTTGCCACGTCAACTTCTCAAATATCCTCATTATTTTCATTTAGCACACAAAATATTGCTGTTGTTTATTTATGAACCTGGTAGCGGGTTTTGTAGGAATATTTGCAGAAAAAAATAGTACAATCATATAAATCTCTTAATATTACATATAAACATACATATATCAATCTATATATCATAAGTGTAATTCTATAACAATCACATGCATATCTTTGCATACATACATAATATAAAAAAATGAAAATATTAATAATGTGTGTGGGTGTTTTTTTTTTTTTGTTGTAGTTCCTGTAATAATTGCAAAAAATATGTAAATAAAAAATAATAATATTAATAATAATATCAACAACAAAGCAATGTCAAATCAAGGTCAAGCATAAACCCCTTATTCTTGTTGTTGTTGTGATGGTGGTAGTTTCAATATCCATTCGATGTCGATTCGATAATCCCCCACTAATCCGAGTCGGATGAAATATTTGTACAACTTGTCTTGGCCGAACGTTTATTCAACAAATATTGGCCATTTTGTAAATATGGTCCACGATAGGTAACGGAATTTTTATCTGTCTCATAGATTTTCACTTCGTACAATAGTTCGGGACGCTTGAGCGACTGGCGGACGTTGTCCCAGATGAAAACGGTTAGATTTTCTGTTGTGCTGGGCTGAAAAGAAAAAAAGGTGTTAAGCCAATGATGCTATTCCGTGACATATCTGCAATACTTACCGTATTCTGAAAGAATTCAACGTCTTTGTCAAGATTCTTGTGATCCAATTGCTTGAAAATAACTCCATCCATGGCCAGTTTTAGATCGGTTATATTCATGACCATACCAGTTCGGGCATCAATGGGACCACGCACGGTTACTTCAACTATGGGGCGGGATAAGAGAGAAGAGCATGATTAGAAATTTCTTGAAATTTTTTAGAGATCCGACTTAAATAAAATAAGCATCATATTTTAAAATACAGAAAAGAAACTTCTTTAGGTTCAACCTGGAAGTTACATTTTACATAAAATAAACAATCTTTTGGAAGACCACAACAGGCTTCTCATACGGGTTTCTTATACAAGTTCGCCGGAAGCCCGATCACAACGTTTTCCAAAAGAGTACTTCTAAGTGAGTCACAAGCGATTACTTGTGGAGGTATACAGAGCGAATCTTATAAAACACCAAAAGGATCTTCCTTGAAGGCCAATGGGGATACTTTAGAAGGGATTTCTTATAAGAGGTCTGAAGAGATTTCTTATAAAAGGCCAGAGGAGAGTTCTAATAAAAGGTCAGAAGAAATCCGTTATAGAAGACCAGAAATTACTTCCTTGGAGGGCCACAAGGGAAAGACAAGACAAAAAGAGGCTCTCTACTGTATATAAGGCCAAATATGAGAAAGTCAGAAAGGACTCAATGACGCTTACAGGATTAGAACAGCCTTCCAACGATGCCACAAGGAAAAGACAAGAAGAGTCTCTCTACTGTATAAAAGGCCAAATATGATTTTTTAGAAGGTCACAAGGGACTCAATGACGCTTTCCTTAAAGGATTAGAACAGTCTTCCTGTAGAGACAAAAAGAGCTGACTATAGATTATCAAGTAGGATTCGCCTACGGAGCCAGATAGAGCTCATGTAACTTATATAATGGAATAAAGACAGTTTTTGTCAGCGGAACCAGAATGTGATTCGTATAGACCAGAGAGAATTACACATTGGATTGGTAACTGATATGGCGGACCGAAGAAAGTTGAATGCTTATCTCGCTTTCTTTGAGCGTTTTCTATGTGGAGGAGGTACCAGAAGAAATGGTCCGATCTGTACCATCCTTTAAGAGATCCTGTGTTGATGTAAATATTGAGATGTACCAAGTCTGATGGAATCAGATGTTAATTTCGCGTTCTACGAACTTCATGGATACTCCAAATTTTGAACCTTTGTGGGGGACCGATATATTCCATCTTCATAGCAGATCTTGTTTTAATAGAAATAATGGAATGTGTGAAATATGAAGAGAATCGGTTGCTTATTTCGGATTTTATGATCGTTTTGGTTATTCAAAACTTTGACCCTTTGTGGGGGAGGTACGAGAAGGAATGGTCCGATCCCTACCATCTTTATAAGAGATCCTGTGTTGATGGAAATATTGAGATGTACAAAGTCTGAATGGAATCGGATGTTAATTTCGCGTTTTTGAGCTTCATGAATATTCAAAAGTTTGACCCTTTGTGGGGGAGGTATCACAAGGAGTAAACCGATATATTCCACCTTCACACCAGACCTTGGGTCAATAAAAATATTGTGCTGTGTATAATTTGGAGACAAGCGGACACTGGCATCAAATTTTATAAGAGTTATAATTATTTAAAATTTTGACCCCTTGTGGGAAAGGTACTTGATGGAGTGGACCGATATTGTATATTTTCACACCTGACCTAGAACTGATGCAAGTATTAAGATTCGCAAAGTTGCAGCAATATCGGATTATCCTTTCTCTTTCTGTGCAGTAAATTAATTTCGTTGAAAATGATGACATTTTGTGTGGGAGGTACCAGAAGGAGTGGACCGATATTGCCCATCGACCAAATCGATCTAAGTTTGACAATAATATTACGATGTACCAAGTTTTGATTAAATCGCATAATCCATTCTAGAGTTATCGTGCGCACCAGCTAGACAGACAGACGGACGGATATCGCTAGATCGATTCCAAATGTCATGATACGGATTTGGTCCAAAGAGACCTAGGGTACGTTGAGGCACGTTTTGGCCGTATCATATGATATATACCGTCCCTAGCCATATGGCAGAGGATATAAAAAGGCTAGAGGGGGATACTTTAGACGTGGCTGCATATGGGAGACCGAGGGGATATGTTTTAAAAGGTCAAATCAAAAAAAATCGTATGGGAGGTAACACAAGATGTGATTCCCGATATGGTCTATTATTGAACCTAATTTTAAGCCGGCTTTTTTGCTTTGTGTGGGCTTTACATGATATGCAAACTAAAGACCTCCGATTTTCCAGCCACGTATTACTGCCTACTTCTTCTGAGAAATCCTCAAAAACGTTTTCATGTTTTCTTTAAAATATAATCTACAAATATTAAAATATTAACAAAAAAACACACAATTTCACTGCTCTACATTAACTCACCCGTATAATTGTGGCCATGGCCATTTGGATTGTTACATTTCCCGTATATTTCAAGGTTTTCGGCATCACTCAAATGCTTGCTGTTTGACAAAGAAAAAATTAAAAAAAAAAACATTAAAAAATTACTTTGCTGGAAAAGTGTTTCTTTGGCTTGGGGAAGGGGATAGCGATAAGGGAAACACACAAACAAACAAAACAAAAAAACATTAAAAATAACCAAGACGCAAAATGAAAGTGAATGGGAGGGAGCTTTAAACGATACTATGTAGGCATCTATATGAGGTTCTTTGTTTCAAATCGTTTCATAGAACAATGATAAATCATTGCCAAGTATGGCATGTAAATATTTATATTTACCTGTGTAGACGATGGCAAGCGCTGAAGGTTTCTTTGCGGGTTAAAAAAGCAACAGGTTGTTGAGACATGTTGAAGAGAAATGAGCTACGTAGTTGGATTTGGTTCGAAGCAAAGCGAAGCGGCGGCTTGGTCCACACGCACTTGGACTTTGGAAGTTGACGAAAATCGTTGTTTGTGGATAGATCAACGCCACCAATAGTTCACAGCCAGAGATAACTTTTTATGTGTACGTAGCTAGCGTGTGGCTTTAATTTCTGATTGGATGCAGAGGAGGGGGGGGATTATTTTTCATACAGATACCTCACTCGCTCTCTTTGTCCCTCACTTGCACAATTTCTCGCTCTCCTTTGGTCTAAATAAAAAAACACGAGGAACTGTGTTCTTGTTCAAAAGCCGCTTCACAGCTGCAAATGAAAGCAGAAAAAAACATGTTTAAAACCACAATGACATGAATTCAATCTGTATTCTTATTACCCTGTTTTTCTTTGTTTAATGCACTTTGTGGTTGGTTTATAAATAAATACCGCACAAATTTGTCTGATCTGTTGTGTGTAAGCTTTTGGAGAATTTATTTACTTTGCTGCTCTACTCGATGCAATTGATTGGCGTCGTGTCAGCAGCGACGGAAAGAAAATGAACCATTGTGATTGAAATGCCCCCATACTGTCACACATTTTTGTTTACGTTCGTTTTCATACGTATCATTCACAATTGTATGCCAATGCCGGCGACTGTTTATTGGCGCCTTCATGTAGGGATCTATAGATCGATTGATGCATACCGCGTAAAATGCAAACATCTACTTAAATAAAATGTATTTATTGATATTTAGAAAAAAATTGGCTTTGCTGGCAACTCTTAGGGCGGTAGGGTAATGTATTAATTTGCTTTAAAACCTTTAACTGCTTTTACAAGACTAAGATTCATGTATGGCCTGTCAAATAAACAAAGGTTGCCTGTGCTTCGTGGGCGTCCATAAAGAACGAAAAAAATTTCTGACTCATATTATTATAAAATAAAAATGTCATGTTTGCAATTTTTTTCAACACAAAACACTGTGCTTTTTTAATAACACTAAACGACTATTAGATACTTTTTTATTTATTTTTAATTATTTTTGATACCGTTCATGCACATATTTGTTATAATTAAAAGTTTTTGCACACATATTCTTCTTTACACATGATATTTATATATGTATTGTATTTGAATACATAAACGAGAAATACAAAAATATATTTATTCATTTAAATAGTTGTTGTTTTTTTTTTTGTTTATACACACAAAGATTAAATGTAGAAAAAGAATAGAAAAAAGATAAACTAAATTTCGTTCACCTAAAATTTGCTTAATTTTAAGTTTAAAATATTCTTATAATACACATTAGTTAATAATATTATTGTTGTTTACGATCTTAAACTAGAATTATTCAATAATTTAAGAAAAATCATCATCATCACTTCAATTTAAGTTAAGTTAATTTAATCTTAATCGATTTTTCATCTCAGATGGACAAAAGAAATTGTTTAGTAAAAAAAAACAACAAAATTATATACTATGATGTATTTTTTTAAATAAATATTTAATAACATTAATTTTTCATACGTTTACTCTCGATGGTGAGTTCCTTAGACAACGGATCGGTACTCTTTCTTTTATTTGGATTTTGAGCCGAAACTTTGGTAACTGTTGTGCCACCGCCACTGTTTGGGAAAGACAAATGTGAGAAAGGAAAAAAGGTTAATAATTAAAAAATATAAATCGTTAATGAATAATGGAATGAAAGTGCGCCGATATATCCCATCTTCACAGCAGATCTTGTGTTAGTAGAAATAAAAATACTCACCTTCTGGTCGGTGCTCCTATTGCCACTTTTTTATCATTGATATTTGTCTCTATGATATAGACATTTCCACTGGCGCTGCCTCCGCCGCCGCCACTACCGCCCATCATGTTCGATGAGTTCTGTTTGGCATCGCCGACAGGTCGTATATTAACAGTATTCCGTATGCCACCAGATGAGCCTGCCGATTGTGATGTAGATGTTGACGACGATCCCACCATTGTGGCTGACATTGACGACGGCATTCGCTTTTGCATTTGAGCCAGAGTTTTGGCCACATTCATCACTGAGGGTTTGTGGACCAATGTCCCACCGGGGGAGGAGGAGGACGACAATATTTGAGGATTTGATTTTGATTTATTTAAAGTTGAGGATGACGACGACGCCGCTGCAGCCATACTGGCAGCCATGGCTGGAGATATTGATTTGACACTACTTATTATGGGTAATTTAGTGCTAGACGAGGTCACCGTCAGGGAGGGAGTCGTTGTCAGGGATGTGGGAAATTTGTGCGCTGTACCAGATTGGCTACCTGCTGCTGCTAGATTGGTTTTCTTGATAATTGCTCGTTTTAGGGTTGATATGGATGGCAGGGTGGTGGTGCTGGTGTTGCTAATTGATTTCTGTAAATTAGCCGAAGAAATTGGTGTGGCAGTCCGTTGCTGAACATTGGATTTGGCCACCGAAACGGCAGCCTGTTGTTTGGCCAGGGTGGAGACTTGACTGCCTTGACTACCACTGGCGGCCACCACTTTACTGGCAATGTTTTGTAACTGTTGTTTTATGGGCGTCTTGACATTGGTAATGATCAGACCTGAAGGAGATTTGGTGGTTATATTGACATTGGGCGTTTTGCTAATGGCCAAAGTGGTGTTGGCCCGCTGTAAGGATGGTGGGTTTGAGTTGGAGCTACTTTTGTTGTTGTGGTTGCTGTTTGCCTTAAACCTGGCCAGAATATTGCTGGTAAGTGAATTGCTGCTGCTGTTCGTTGTTTGGGATTTGGCCAAGTTTGGGCTGGAACCCATTGCTGAAGATGAAGAACTAGAGGTGGTCACAGGGCTACTATTTGTCCTTCGTATTGCGGGATTGTTTTGTAAAATCTTATTGATTTGTATACTTTGAGATGGCGCCGATGAATTTCCTCCTCCACTTGGGGTCTTAACATTTGCTGAGCCCAGACTTTTGTTCTGCGATCCAGTTTGTTTGGTAACAGCTGTCAAGGAGATACTGGGTGATAGGTCATTCAATTGCTTGGATATGCTTGTGGTACCCGGCGGTGATGAGGTTGGTATAATTTGCATTTCAGATGTAGATGTTGTTGTTGGCTTTCCGGCACCTCGTGGATACACAATGCCCATATTCATGGGTGAACTGGGTTTGGAGGAGGTTGTTTGTTTCTCTTGATTTTTGGGATATAAAATGCCCATGTTCAGGGTACGACTTGAGTCCGCACTGCCGCTTGATTTTGTGGAACCATTAGATGACATCTGTTTGTTTGCTTGACTTTGTTGAGATTTTTGATTGGCAGCCGACGTAGATGATTGCTGTTGCCCGGTGGCTGATGAGTGCTTAGAATGACCCGTTGTTGTGTGACTTTGCTGAGATTTTTGATTGGCTGCCGAAGAGGAGAAGGTGGTGGAGGAGGAGGAGGAAGAAGGTGCAGATGATTGCTGTTGTTGCCCGCTGGATGATGAGTGTTTAGAGTGACCCGTTGTTGTGGCATGGTTTTGAGCCATAGAAGATTTATTTGAGCCACCACCCATACTGTTGTTGTTATTATTGCCCTTAGATTGTTCCAAGTTTCCAGTAGTTCGTCTTGGATTTGTAACCAAATTTCCAGAAGAATTGGCAGGTTTTGAGGAGGATGTTGAGTTATTAGCGCCTCCCCCTGAAGACTCAGAGCGCCGATAGTTGATTAAACTATTCGTAGTGGGTGGTGGAGGGTCATTGGATTTTGTTGTTGTGGTGTTGTTTGCATTTGAAGGGGGATTAGTAAATGCCGATGGCGGCGAACTTGTAGACATTGTTGTACCCGATGAACTGGCAGATGGCATTAAGGAGTTTCCAGCTGAAGGTGAGGGGTTATGATTTTTCGATTTGTTTGATAAATCCGCTGACATATTCCTTGAGCTGGGTCTTGATGATTGGTGATGTTGTTGCGACTGCTGCTGCTGATTCAAATATGACGAAGCTGAAGAGTACAGGCTAACTGGGGTGGGGGTATTATTACTCTTCGAACCACCTGGTAAATTTGTGGAATTTTTACTGCTAGACGTTGAATGTTTGTTGTTGTTGTTGTTATTGCCACTTTTCCCCGTTTTCGATTTATCCAGAATTGTAGAGCCCGACGAGCCTATGCCAAAATCCCCAGCATAACTATACATGCTGGGCATTGCAGAATATGAATTTCTCAGCGACTGCTGATACTGTTCATAGCTCGAGAGCGCATTGGAATTTGTGGTATTTGTCATGCCGGCCGAGGAGAGAACCGCATTTACCATCGATGTGGATGCCGATGAGGTATACATTGAGGCAGCAGCCGATGATGAGGCAGCCGTAGACATTGCCCCGTGCTGAGGCGGCGGTGGTGGTGGTAATGCATTGGCCAAAACGCTGCTAGCCAAATTCATACTACCCGCCGAAGTGGCACTCAGTCCCTGGAGTGCACTGCTGGGTAGACCATACATGCTCAAATCTCCCAATGCAGCCAAGGGATTTGCTGCTGGATTTGCTGAGGCGGGTGGACCAGTGGGCGGCATGCGTCCAGCAGCCATTGCTGTTAGCGCTGAATATGGACTGAGATCGGCATAGGCATTTAAATTTTTATAATAGTTCAGCATGTCCAGATACTGTTGGGTAGTGGAGGGTGTGCTGTTGGGACCCAGCAGCGATTGCAGCAGATGTGGAGCAAAGCCACGCGGACCAAACAGGCCGGACATCTGGAAAATTGGAAGGAAAATTATTTAGAAAAAAATGGGCTTTAAAATGTTTTCCAAAAAAATAAAAATAAAGAGCGAATAAAAAAAGTTCTAAACAAATTTAATAAAAAATAGGTAAATACATAAAATAAACAGTACGGAAACGTAAATAAAATATAATACAATAATAAAAATTAAAAATAAAAATAGGTTAAAAAATAAAATAAATAAATATATAACAAATAAAATAAATAAATATATAAAAAATAAATAAATAAATATAATAATGCAAAGAATAAATTAAAAAAAATAACAACTTTAAGTAAACAACCAAAGGAAACTAAACACAAACTCCTTGGGCAGGAGTCCTCTTACCGAAATATTTTTTTATACCCCTCAGCCATATGGCTAGAGAGGGTGGGTATATATCATTTGAAACGATGGCCAAAACGTGTCTCATCAAAATAATGGTTTTAGACCCTAGATCTCTTTGGACCAAATCCGTTTCAGGATATTTGAAGTCGGTCTAGTGATGTCCGTACGTACGTCTGTTTGTCTGTCTGTCTGGCTGGTGCGCACAATAACTCTCCAACGAGCATTCGATTTGGTCCAAACTTGGTACATCTGGAAAATTGCACGATAACTCTCGAAGGTAGTATTCAATTCGATGCAAACTTGGTACATTGTAATATTATTGTCAAACTTAGATCGAGTTCGGAGATGGGCAATATCGGTCCACATCTTCTGGTACCTTCCCCACAAAAATGTCGAACTTTTCAAAGAAAATAATTTTCTGCAGAAGAACGAGAAAGGATAATCAGATTTTGCTATAACTTTGCGAATCCTAATATTTGCATCAGTGCTAGGTCAGGTGAGAAAATGGACAATATCGGTCCAATCCTTTAAGTACCTCCCCCACAAAGGGTCAAAATTTTGAATATTTATAATTCTTACAAAATGTGATTTAAGAGACCGATTGACCTTCAAATTACACACATCACAATATTTTTATTAAACCAAACTCTGGTGTAAACTTAGGATAAATTGGTCCACTCCTTATGGCGCCTCTCCCACAAAGGGTCAAAATTTTGAATATTCATGAAGCTTGTAAAACCCGAAATGAACATCCGATTCCATTCAGCCTTGGCACATCTCAATATTTCCATCAACACAAGATCTTTTAAAAAGCTGGTAGAAATCGGTCCACTCCTTATGGTACCTCCCCCACAAAGGATTATAATGTTTGAATAACCAAAACGATCATAAAATCCGAAATAAGCATCCGGTTCTCTTTATATTTCACACATTCCATTATTTCTACTAACACAAGATCTGCTGTGAAGATGGGATACATCGGCCCACTCCTTATGGTGCCTCCCCCACAAAGGGTCAAAATTTTGAATAACCATGAAGTTCATAAAACGCGAGATTAACAACCGATTCCATTCACACATCTCAATATTTCCATCAACACAAGATCTGCTGTAAAGATAGTAGAGATCGGACCATTCCTTCTGGTACCTCCCCCACAAAGGGTCAAAGTTTTGAATAACCAAAACAATCATAAAATCCGAAATAAGCATCGGGTTCTCTTCATAATTCACACATCCCATTATTTCTACTAACCCAAGGTCTGGTGTAAAGATGGGATACATCGGTCCACTCCTTCTGGTACCTCCCACACAAAGGGTCAAAATTTGGAATATTCGTGAAGCTCATAAAACACGAAATTAACATCCGATTCCATTCAGACTTGGCACATCTCAATATTTCCATCAACACAAGGTCTGTTAAAAAGATGGTAGAAATCGAACCATTCCTTCTGGTACCTCCCCCACAAAGGGTTAATATTTTTGAATAACCAAAACGATCATAAAATCCGAAATAAGAATCCGGTTCTCTTCATAATTCACACATCCCATTATTTCTACTAACACAAGATCTGCTGCGAAGATGGAATACATCGGTCCACACCTTCTCGTACCAAATATCATATAAAGTATAGAAAGTAGTCGATATAGTCCAAATCTGAAACGTTGTAATATTTATTTCAGTCTTAAGTCAGATATGAATTGGTCAAAATTGGCCAACTGCTTCGGAACGTACTCCATGGGTAATGAATGGTCAACAATTTGAATAATCATAACACAAGGCTGGGGGTATACATCTGTCATCTGTCGGCAAAACCGACTGATATTATTTTACTTGTTATCGTTTAAAACCTAAACCCAACTAGGGCCAGCAAGAAGTCATTGGAAATAGTCCATCCTTACAGAGGGCCAATAGGAAAACTCCAATGTCAATATTCCCACCAAAAATCTCCGTCAGGTCTGCGCCATTACCAATGTCAAGACGCCCATAAAGCAACAGTTACAAAACATGGCCAGTAAAGTGGTGGCCGCCAGTGGTAATCAAGGCAGTCAAGTCTCCACCCTGACCAAACAACAGGCTGTCGTTTCGGTGGCCAAGTCTAATGTTCAGCAACGTACTGTCACACCAATTTCTTCGGCTAATTTACAGAAATCAATTAGAAACACCACCACCACCACCCTGCCATCCATATCAACCCTAAAACGAGCAATTATCAAGAAAACCAATCTAGCAACAGCAGGTAGCCAAGCTGGTACAGCGCACCAACTTTCCACATCCCTGACAACGACACCCTCCCTGTCCCTGGTGACCTCGTCTTACAATAAATTACCCATAATAGGTAGTGTCAAATAAATATCTCCAGCCTTGGCTACCAGTATGGCTGCAGCGGTGGCGTCATCCTCTCGTTTAAATAAAACAAAATCAAATCCTCAAGCATCGTCCTCGTTGATCAATTCTCTTGAATAGCACAAATGCCTTTCAAAATATTTTCAACAAATTATAAAGGACATCCCCCAAGGTCTAGAAGTTTTTTCTAGGTTTCCTTCAGACAGAAATCTCTCTCTCCCTGACGGTGACCTCGTCCAGCAATAAATTACCCATAATAGGTAGTGTCAAATCAATATCTCCAGCCATGGCTGCCAGTATGGCTGCAGCGGCGTCGTCATCCTCAACTTTAAATAAATCAAAATCAAATCCTCAAACATTGTCGTCGTCGTCCTCCTCCCCCGGTGGGACATTGGTCCACAAACCCTCAGTGGTGAATGTGGCCAAAACTCTGGCTCAAATGCAAAAGCGTATGCCGTCGTCAATGTCCCTGACAACGACTCCCTCTCAGACGGTGACCTCGTCTAGCAATAAATTACCCTCCTCCTCCTCCCCTGGTGGGACATTGGTCAACAAACCCTCAGTGGTGAATGTGGCCAAAACTCTGGCTCAAATGCAAAAGCGTATGCCGTCGTCAATGTCCCTGACAACGACTCTCTCCCTGACGTTGACCTCGTCTAGCAACGACTCCCTCCCTCGTCTGACAACGACTCCCTCCCAGACCTCGTCTAGCAATAATTTACCCATAATAGTGTCAAATCAATATCTCAAGCCTTGGCTGCAGCGGTAGCGTCATCCTCTCCTTTAAATAAATCAAAATCAAATCCTCAAACATCTTCCTCGTTGATCAATTCTCTTGAATTTGCAAATGCCTTTCAAAATATTTTCAACAAACTATAAAGGACATCCTCCAATGTCTTGAAAAGTAGTTTAAATTTTTTTCTAGGTTTCCTTCAGACAGAAATCTCTCTCTCCCTGACGGTGACCTCGTCTAACAATAAATTACCCATAATAGGTAGTGTCAAATAAATATTTCCAGCCATGGCTGTCAGCGATGGCATCATCCTCTCGTGTAAATAAAACAAAATCAAATGCTCAAACATCGTCGTCGTCCTCCTCCTCCCCTGGTGGAACATTGGTCCACAAACCCTCAGCGGTGAATGTGGCCAAAATTCTGGCTCAAATGCAAAAGCGTATGCCGTCGTCAATGTCCCTGACAACGACTCTCTCCTCAGACGGTAACCTCGTCTAGCAATAAATTACCCATAATAGTGTCAAATCAATATCTCCAGCCTTGGCTGCAGCGGTGGCGTCATCCTCTCCTTTAAATAAATCAAAATCAAATCCTCAAACATCGTCCTCGTTGATCAATTCTCTTGAATTTGCAAATGCCTTTCAAAATATTTTCAACAAACTATAAAGGACATCCTCCAATGTCTTGAAAAGTAGTTTACATTTTTTTCTAGGTTTCCTTCAGACAGAAATCTCTCTCTCCCTGACGGTGACCTCGTCTAGCAAAAGAATAACCCATAATAGTGTCAAATCAATATCTCCAGCCTTGGCTGCAGCGGTGGCGTTATCATCTCCTTTAAATAAATCAAAATCAAATCCTCAATCACGTCCTCGTTGATCAATTCTCTTGAATTTTCAAATGCTTTCCAAAATATTTTCAACAAACTATAGAGGCCATCCCTCAATGTATAGAAAAGTAGTTTAAAGTTTTTTCTTCTAGGTTTCCTTCAAACAGAAATCTCTCTCTCCCTGACGGTGACCTCGTCTAGCAATAAATTACCCATAATAGGTAGTGTCAAATCAATATCTCCAGCCTTGGCTGCCAGTATGGCTGCATCCTCTCCTTTCAAAATCAAATCCTCAAACATCGTCCTGGTTGAATTTACTTGAAATTTCAAATGACTTTCAAAATATTTTCAACAAACTATAGAGGCCATCCCTCAATGTCTAGAAAAGTAGTTTAAAGTTTTTTCTTCTAAGTTTCCTTCTGACAGAAAGCTGAGTGAGGAAAGAGCGATTCACAATATCCACAATTGATTTTGGGTGTTGTTTAGGTTATTTTTTTTATCGAAATTACCACCTGTATACCTTGAGAATATTCGGTGAAATATCTTAAAATTTATATCCATTTCATATAGCTTATCTCCTAAGTAAAGCTCTATATAACTTAAAAACGAAACGATTAAAGTAAAATAACAAAAAACCGAAAAAATAATACTCACATTTTTGTTATTATTGTTAGTGTTTGTATTAGCTGTACTCACGTCTAAACCTGAATATGGCGACATATAATTGGCCAAATTTTGAGCATTGAATTTGTTTTGCAAACTAAAAAGACAGAGAACGGAAAACTTGGTTTTAAAACTCTTCAAAAAAAACCCGAATTTGTTATACTTACTCTTCAATATTTGGTTTTTCATTTAGTTCTGAGCTTATTTGCAGATCCCTTTCATAGGCAGTCCAGGCCTCATTCTTTTCCTGTTCACTTAGCTCCTGTTCAACCTTATTCTCCAAAAGACTATCGTGTTCATGATATTTGTAAACCAATTCGGGATAGGAACGCAACAATCTGGCCAATATGCTATCCTGGGGCAGAATTGGGGTGGGTCGTTTACTTTTATCGGGTACGGTTAGGCTGGGAGATGGCAGGAAAATAGAAATAATCAATGGTGGGGGTAAAAAAAAGAAGCATGTATAGGGTGAGATGAAAAAACTGCAAGCAACTGCAAAGCCACTCATCCGACAGCTGTTAACATTTTATCCAGTGACAGCTCATAATATTTTTTACAAGCCTACAAAAGCATTTTGGTGAGGATTTTCCAGAAAAAAAATATTCGTGATGGAATGCAGGCCTGATAGTGTGTTCCCTTTGTATTTGGTTCGGAAAACCACAAGTGGCTATCGTTAGAGCACTCCAGCATTTAAATGTGAATAAATCTCGTGTCTGTGTCTCGTACCATCACTTGTTACCGTGATACTGGTAGCATAGCCCGACATATGTCAAGGAAGTGAAGGCAAGAAAATAGCAACATCAGCAGAAATGGTTCGAAAAGTAAAAAATGCGACTTGATGGAAACCCGCGTCGCAGTGGCCGAAAAATGGCTCGTGAGCTGAACATATCGCAATACTCCATTCGGCAAAAATTGAAAAATCGGGGGGGGGGAGCTCGGAGTAAAGCCATTGAAATTCCAAAAAGTGCGAGAACTTTCCCCGCACCAGAAAGAAAATAGACTCAAAAGAGCTAAAGAGTTGCTTCGCTGCTTGGCCGAAAGTGGTGAACTGCCGAATTTGGTTTTCATCGTCTCCGAGGAGAAAACATTCGTTGTACAGCAAAAGGCGAACTTAAAATCTACACCTTCGCTTGGCCACCAAAACTCAAGCGCCGGCCATGGTGATGCTGTGGGCCGCCATAACAGCCGAGGGTCGCCCTCCGCTCGTATTAATCGGCCGTGGCATCAGAATAAATGCCGAATATTATGGCGAAAATATTCTGGAGGGTGTATTAAAGCCTTGGGCACGCAAACATTTTGGACGCAAAACCTTGAACATTCCAAGAGGACTCAGCACCATCGCACTCAGCACACGCCACCCAAGTAGGGTTACAATATGAGGTTCCTCGCTTCATTTCCAGCGCACAATGACCACTTAGAATGCGCCACCCAAGTAGGGTTACAAAATGAGGTTCCTTGCTTCATTTCCAGCGCACAATGGCCACCAATATCTCCGGATACCAATCCGTTGGACTATTGTGCCGAGAGTATTTTGGAAAGTGACAACCTTCACTAAAAATACCAAAGTGTCGATCAACTCAAGCAAGCGCTTCGCCGGGAATGGGCCAAAATACCGCAAAGCAACATTTGGGCAGCGTGTGACGTTTTCATTGGCCGTTTGAAGGCCATAATTCGTGCCAAAGGTGACCACTTCCAACAAATCTAAACTTATTCTAAAATTTGATGCTATTTCCGATATTTTTTCTTTCATTCAAAAAAAATTTAAAAAAAAATCTCAAAACTATGGCGTTTGACTTTGTTGCAGTTTCTCTTTATCTCACCCTTCTTCAAATTGAGACTTTTTAAGGCCTTCCTTTTACTTACATATATAGTTCCGCCAATTCCGCCATATTATAATGACGATCGATTTGTTGTTCATCCACAACCCTAAAACTCATGGCCTGCTTTGTAACCGAACGTGAATACACCTTTTCCTCCATGGTACCCTGAAAATGGAAAATAACATAAAATTTTTGTAGGTCCCTAAAAAATAAAACTTTTAAAAATTCCATGCCCACCATTGCCAATAGCCGATAGATATAACAATTTCTTTTCTGTCCCAGACGAAAAACCCGAAATATATTCTGTTGGTCATTGGAGGGATTCCATGAGGTGTCCAAGATAATGACACGATTAGCACCAATCAAATTAATACCCTGGCCACCGGCCTTGGCTGAAATCAAAAAGACTCTGGCCCGTTCGTTAAGTTGATTATTGAACTCATTGATCATGGCATGACGTATGGACTTGGGAGTCTTGCCGTCCAAACGATAATAGTCCTTGCCCAGGTGCCATTGCGTGGGTGTGGTAATATCTAAAAGCAAAATGAAAAGAAAATAATTTTTTTCCAACTTCCCTTTACACTTTCTTATCGCGCCGCGAAAACTCACTCAATTCCTTGCGCACGGTTTCATCATTTTCGGTGATTTTCTTAAAGAAATACTCCACCACATTTAGCACGGCCACAAAGGCTGAGAAAATTAAACTGAAAAAATTTTAAATAATTATTTATATTGAAATAGATCTCTGCAAATTTCATTCATACCATTTCTCCCGCTTCTCCTCACACATTTGTAGGATTTTAAACATTGTTCGCAACTTATTGCTGGGCATTATGGATTCCAAATCGGTTTTCGTTAATAGGCTACGCCACCAGTCGTTTGTCACCGACATTTGTCCCGTTTGACTGTCATAGATATCATCGGGTTGATCATCGTCGGAATTATGATCCTTTTGTTTTTGACGCACCACTTCTTTTTTGTTGCGTTGCTGAAAAAATATTGAAATAATTTATTAATTTTTTTTTAAATATAAAAAAATCCTTTAATTTTTTTAAGAAATTCGAAAATCCATTTCTAAAGATGCGAAAGGCTACCTTAACAATTTCTGAAAAAAAATCAATAAAAATGTCTTTAAGAACCCCCACTAATTTTTTTAAAACAAAAAAAAAAGGCTGGGAAATCTTTTTTTTAATTTTCTTAAAAAAACGTTAAAAGGCATGGAAGCCTCCTATAAAATTTAAATTAGAAAGCGTCAGTCTGTATAAATCTCCTAAAGATGCGAAAGGCTCCCTTAAAAATTTCTTAAAAAAAAATCACAAAAAATGTCTTTAAAAACCCCCACTAATTTAAAAAAAGGCTGGGAAATCTTTTTTAAAATTTTCTTAAAAACACGTTGAAAGGTGTGGAAGCCTCCTATAAAATTCAAATTAGAAAGCGTCAGTCTGTATAAACCTCCTAAAGATGCGAAAGGCTCCCTTAACAATTTCTTGAAAAAAAAAAAAAAAAATCACAAAAAATGTCTTTAAAAACCCCCACTATTTTTTTTAAAACAAAAGAAAAAGGCTGGGAAATGCTTTTTAAATTTTTCTTAAAAATACGTAAAACGGTATGGAAGTCTCCTATAAAATTCAAATTAGAAAGCGAGAGTCTGTATAAACCTCCTAAAGATGCGAAAGGCTTCCTCAACAATTTCTTAAAAAAAATCACAAAAAATGTCTTTAAAAACCCCCACTAATTTTTTTAAAACAAAAAAGGCTAGGAAATCTTTTTTAAAATTTTCTTAAAAACACGTTAAAAGTTATGAAAGCTTTCTATAAAATTCAAATTAGAAAGTGTGAGTCTGTATAAATCTCCTAAAGATGCGAAAGGCTCCCTTAACAATTTCTTAAAAAAAATCACAAAAAATGTCTTTAAAACACCCCGCTTATTTTTTTAAAACAAAAAAAGGCAGGGAAATCTTTTATAAAATTTTCTTAAAAACACGTTAAAAGGTATGGAAGCCTTCAATAAAATTCAAATTAGAAAGCGTGAGTCTATATAAACCTCCTAAAGATGCGAAAGGCGCCCTTAACAATTTCTTAAAAAAAAAAAATCACAAAAAAATGTCTTTAAAAACCCCCACCAATTTTTTTAAAACAAACAAGTAAAAAAGCTGTAAGTCCGGCCGGGCCGAACTTTTAATACCCTCCACCATTTGGCACAAATTTAGCAATTTCCAAAAAAAAAAAAAAAAATAAAATAAAATCCGTTAAAAATTCTGTTAAAATCTTAAAAATACCGAATGCCTATAAGACGACGTGGACCTGTATAGGCAACTATTGTCATAAGCCATTACAATATTCAAATGCGAAACTTGAATAAAAAATCGGTGAATAATGTCGCTAAAATCATAAAAATACCGAATATCGGGGGGTACCGTTATATGGGGATATACGAAGACGTGGACCTGCACAAACACTTTTCTATCATAGGCTGTAGTACCCATTACGAATTTCAAATGCCAAATTTGAAATAAAAATTCCGCTGAATAATGTCGCTAAAATCATAAAAGTACCGAAAATCGGTAGGTATTGTTATATGGAGGCTATATGAAGACGTGAACCTGTACTAACAATTTTCTGTCATAGGCTGTAGTATCGGTTACGAACTTCAAATACCAAATTTGAAACAATTCCGATGAAAAATGTCGCTAAAATCCTCCAACTACCGAATAATGGGGGGTGCCGTAATATGGGAGCTATACGAAGACATGGACCTGAACAGCCATTTTTCTGTCACAGGCTGTAGTACCCATTACGAATTTCAAATAACAAATTTGAAAAAAAAATCCGCTGAATAATGTCGCTAAAATCATAAAAGTACCGAATATCGGTAGGTATTGTTATATGGAGGCTATATGAAGACGTGAACCAGTACTGACAATTTTCTGTCATAGGCTGTAGTATCCATTACGAACTTAAAATACCAAATTTGAAACAATTCCGATGAAAAATGTCGCTAAAATCCTCAAAATGCCGAATAATGGGGGGTACCGTAATATGGGAGCTGTACGAAGACATGGACCTGCACAGACAACTTTCTGTCATAGGCTGTAATACCCATTACGAACTTCAAATACCAAATTTGAAACAATTCCGATGAAAAATGTCGCTTAAATCCTCAAAATACCGAATAATGGGGGGTACCGTAATATGGGAGCTATACGAAGACATGGACCTGTACAGACAACTTTCTGTCATAGACTGTAATACCCATTACGAAATTCAAATACCAAATTTGAAATATTTCCGCTGAATAATGTTGCTTAAATCACCAAAATACCGAAAAAGGGAGGTACCATTATATGGGGGCTATACCAGAACCTGGACCTAAATGACCCATTTTCAATACCAAAAGTCCTGCAGACATAATACACATTTGAGCAAAATTTTATCAACCTACTTCATTTTGTTCGGAAGCTAGAGTGATTTCCACAGACGGATAGACGGATTGACAACATCGCTAAATCGACAAAGAATTTTATGCTGATCAAGAATATATATACTTTCTGGGGTCTAAAATCTCCTTTAAAATTTTCTTAAAAACATAGTAAAAGATTATAAAATTCAAATTAGAAAGCGCGAGTCTGAGTAAGCCTCCTTCAAAATTCACATACAAAAGTGAGGTTTCCTTAAAAAAACAACTAAAATAGTATCAGTCGGTTCTACTGACAGACGTATACCCCCCAGCCTTGATTTATGATTATTCAAACTGTTGACCCTTTATGGGGGGAGGTTCCAAAGCAGTTGGCCAATATTGAGCAATTAATATCTGAACTAAAACGGATATAAATATTACAACGTGGCAGATTTGGACTATATCGACTACTTCCTATACTTTATATAAGATATTGCAAATTGGACGGAAAATGTAAAAATATGCATGATGTAACAGATATAGCAAAACGAAGAAGTATTCAATTTTCATACTTCATCTAATATAGGTAAAAATATTGGTATGCGCAAAATTTGAAAGGAAATCCAACATTTATCTTCAATTTTATGCGAAATCATAAATTCCATATTCATCTCAGGTTTCTGGTGGAGAGAAATATTTAGATATACCAAGTTGTAAAGAATCGCCGACTTGTTTTGCAAGTTATGGCAGATAAAGGTATTGGAAATTGTGACCCTTTGTAGGTGAGCTACCAGAAGGGGTTCGCAGTTATACAGGGCGAGATAAAAAAACTGCAACAAAGTCAAACGCCATAATTTTATTTTTTTTTTAATTTGACTGAATGAAAGCAAAAAATGTCGGAAATAGCATCAACTTTTGCAATAAGTTTAGATTTTTTCGAATTGGTCACCTTTGGCACGAATTATGGCCTTCAAACGGTCAATAAAACCATCACACGCTGCCCGAATGTAGCTCTACGGTATTTTGGCCCATTCCCGCGAAACGATTGCTTGAGGTGATCGACACTTTGATATTTTTTAGTGCCAACCTTGCTTTCCAAAATATTCCAGACACAATAATCCATCTTATTGGTATCCGGAGATTTTGATGGCCATTGTGCGCTGGAAATGAAGCGAGGAACCTCATTTTGTAACCATTCTTGGGTGGCGCGTGCTGAGTCCTGTTGGAATGTCCAAGGTTTGCGGCCAAAATGTTTGCGTGCCCAACCAAGGCATCAATACACCCTCCAGAATATTTTCGCAAAAATAGTCGGCATTTATTCTGATGCCACGGTTGATTAATACGAGCGGAGAGCGACCATCGGCTGTTATGGCGGCCCAAACCATCACAATGGCCGGCGCTTGAGTTCTGGTGGCCAACCGAAGGTGCACATTTTCAGCTGACCTCTTAGGCAAGAATACACGATCATTTTGTTTGTTTACAAACTGCTGGACAACGAATGTTTTCTCATCGGAGACGGAGAAAACCAAATTCGACAGTTCACCACATTTAAAGTTGGTTTAAAGTTGGGAAAGTCTCCTTTAAAAATCCAAGTTTAAAGTTGGGAAAGTATCCTTTAAAAATCTCTTTAAAAATCCACGTTTAAAGTTGGGAAAGTCTACTTTAAAAATCTCTTTAAAAATCCACGATTAGAGTTGGAAAAGTCTTCTTTAAAAATCCAAGTATAAAGTTGGGAAAGTCTCCTTTAAAAATCTACGTTTAAAGTTGGGAAAGTCTCCTTTAAAAATCTTTTTAAAAATCCACGTTTAAAGTTGGGAAAGTCTCCTTTAAAAATCTTTTTAAAAATCCACGTTTAAAGTTGGGAAAGTCTCCTTTAAAAATCCACGTTTAAAGTTGGGAAAGTCTCCTTTAAAAATCTTTTTAAAAATCCACGTTTAAAGTTGGGAAAGTCTCCTTTACAAATTTCTCTAAAAATCCAGGTATAAAGTTGAGAAAGTCTCCTTTAAAAATCCACTTTTAAAGTTGGGAAAGTCTCCTTTACAAATTTCTCTAAAAATCCAGGTATAATGTTGAGAAAGTCTCCTTTAAAAATCCACGTTTAAAGTTGGGAAAGTCTCCTTTACAAATTTCTCTAAAAATCCACGTTTAAAGTTGGGAATGTCGACTTTAAAAATCCACGTTAAAAGTTGGGAAAGTATCTATTAAAGCCCCAAATTTAAAGTTGGGAAAGTCTCCTTCAAAAATCCACGTTTAAAGTTGGGAAATTCTCCTTTAAAAATCCACGTTTAAAGTTGGGAAAGTCTCCTTTGAAAACCTCTTTAAAAATCCACTTTTAGAGTTGGGAATGTCTCCTTTAAAAATCTCTTCAAAAATCCAAGTTCAAAGTTGGGAAAGTCTCCTTTAAAAATCCACGTCTAAAGTTTGGAAAGTATCCTTTAAAAATCCACGTTTAAGGTTGAGATAGACTCCTTTGAAAAATCTTTAAAAATCCACGTTTGAAGTTGGGAAAGTGTCCTTTAAAAATCCACGTTTAAAGTTGGGAAAGTGTCCTTTAAAAATCTTTTTGAAAATCCACGTTTAAAGTTGGGAAAGTCTCCTTTACAAATTTCTCTAAAAATCCAGGTATAAAGTTGGGAAAATCTCCTTTAAAATCCACGTTTAGAGTTAAGAAAGTCTCCTTTAAAAATTCACGTTTAAAGTTGGAAAAGTCTCCTTTCAAAAATCCACGTTTAAAGTTGGGAGAGTCTCCTTTAAAAATCCAAGTTTAAAGTTGGGAAAGTCTCCTTTTAAAATCTGATTAAAAATCCACGTTTAAAGTTGGGAAAGTCTACTTTAAAAATCGACGTTTAAAGTTGGGAAAGTCTCCTTTAAAAATCCAAGTTTAAAGTTGGGAAAGTCTCCTTTAAAAATCTGATTAAAAATCCACGTTTAAAATTGGGAAAGTCACCTTTAAAATCTCATTAAAAATCCACGTTTAAAGTTGGCAAAGTCTCCTTAAAAAATCCAGGTTTAAAGTTGAAAAGTCCCTTTAAAAATCCAAGTTTAAAGTGGAGAAAGTCTCCTTTAAAAATCCACGTTTAAAGTTGAGAAAGCCGCCTTTAAAAATCTTTTTAAAAATCCACGTTTAAAGTTGAGAAAGTCTCCTTTCAAAATGTTTTTAAAAATCCACGTTTAAAGTTGGGAAAGTCTCATTTAAAAATCTCTTTAAAAAACCCACGTTTAAAGTTGGGAAAGCCCATTAAAAATCTCTTTAAAAATCCAAGTCTAAAATTGGGAAAGTCTCCGTTAAAATTCTGTTTAAAAAACCAAATCTTAAGTTGGGAAAGCCCCCCTTCAAAATCTTTTTATAAATCCAAGTTTAAAGTTGGGAAAGCCCCTTTAAAAATCCACGAAAAGTCTCCTTTAAAACAGGTTTAAAGTTGGGAAATTCTCCTATAATTTTTTTTTACATTCAAATTGAAATTTGAGGAAGTTCTAATTTAAAAATCCACATCTAATTTAAAAATCCATTTTTAAATGCGTGATTTCCTAAAAATTCCGCCAATTAAAATTTCTTTAAAAATCCGCGTTTAAAGGCGGGAAATTCTCCCCCAAAAATAAAAATTTAAAAGCATGAAAGTCTTCCCATAAAAATCTTCTTTTAAATCAGGGAAAAAAACATCATAGAGGGTGAAAGTCTCCAAAAAAATCCAAATTAAAAAAGACACAGTCTTAACTTAAAATGTCTTTAAAAATCCGCATTTGAAGATGTGAAAGTCTCCCCTAAAAGATCTAATCAAAAAAGGATTAATTCTTCATTAAAAGTTCGTAGAAAGTCTCTATAAAAACCTAGTTAAAGAGGGTCAAACTATCCTTAAAAATCAACAGTTAATGTGTGAAAGTCTCCTTAAAAATCCACGGTTAAGGTGTGAAAGTCACCCTTAAAAATTTCTCAAAAATCCACATATAAAGTCGTACACATCTGCTTTAAAATACACATTTAATGGTGTAAAAATCTCCCCTAAATATTATCGTAAAAACCCCATGTTGAAAGGTGTTCAAAGTCTCTCCTAATAAGTCTTAGAAATCAAGGATTAAAGTTGTTCATAAAATACAATCAAATACATACCGAAACAGCATTCTTCCAGGCATCTTCTAAAACCTTTGGATGTGTCCAAATCTGCAAAGAAATTTGCAAAATCATTTTAAGCTTTACACTCGAAAAATAAAATGAATTAAACTTACTTTACGCAAACATGTGTAATCGGTAATCAGACCCTTTCCGCGATAATGTTCATCACGATTCTTGATGGCATTCAATATGTGTTCATAGAGATTATTTTGTACCTCTGTCATGGGTATAAATAATACGTATTCGAATTTCTGTGGCAAGAATGTTTTCAGCAATTCGGCTTCTTTGCGCTAGAAGAATAAATAAAAAAATGAATCAAAAGGTTTTTAAATCTCTAATTTTTTTAAGATTCTACCTGTACAAATTTCGATAGTTTTTTGTGTAAAACAAACGAACGTTGTTTCATAATTTTAATATCTGTCTTTCCAGAGTCCTTGTGCTGGCCGTTTTTAATGGGATTTGCATAGAGATTGGCAAATTCTTTTTCCGTACCCAAAAACAGGGGTTTTATGAAATTCACCATGCTATAATCTAAAAAAAGGGGGTATTAGTTTTGAATATTTTTTTGAAAACGCTCTGCTACTCACATTCTTTCAGATTGTTTTGTATGGGCGTACCGGTCAGCACTATACGCCTCGGCGTTACAATCTGAGCCACAGCCATGCTAATGGCCGATTTGCTATTCTTAATAATATGACCCTCATCACAGATCACTAAATCAGCACCTGAAAACAAAGAAATACCAAAAATTATTTATCTTCCCAAGATCCAATTTTCTAACAGATATATCCTCCTTACCAGGCTGCAAGAGATAGTTATTAACCTTCTGCCTAATTTCTTCCAAACGATGAGCACTAATATTGCCACGATTCTTATAGGAATGATAAAATACCAAGGTACGAAATGCCTCATAGCCAATTAGTAGACAACCTGCACGATTGTGATTAGCCTGGGACCATTCGTGCAGAATGCCCAGTTTTTCATTTATATCCGAGGTGTCATTAAACGTGTAGACTTTTAAATTCTTTTGCCTCAGTGGACCCAGCCAGCGTATGATTTCATCGGCCCAATTCATGACCGTACTCTTGGGACATAACACTAAAATTTTTGTCGTTTTCAATTCCTTATAGGATATCACAGTATGTAGGAGGGCAATCAATTGCAGTGTCTTTCCAAGACCCATACAATGTGCCAGAATACAACCAGAACCGGGGCTCTTTTTGAGAGCATCCACACCACCATAACAGGAATCGTACATAAAACGTACACCATCAAATTGATGGGGTTTGAGCAGCTTGACAATGCTTGGATCTACCCGAATGAATTGTTTTGTCTCCTTGATGTAGTCCAAAATGAGATCTTTATTTTTATCCACATCGGGACGATCTTTGAGCACCTTATCCAACATATTGTGTTTCTTCTCGAGGCGGGCGATTCGTTCATTTTCTTGTTTTTGGGCCTTTAGAGTTTCGCCAGCCAGCTGATCGGGTCTTAGCATGGGTTTTATGGCCCTTGGCTTTGTTGACTGGCTGGGCTCGGCATCGATTTCTTCCACATCGGAGTTCTCACTTTCAGAACTTAGGCATATGAGCTCTTCATCAATTTTACTAATACGTTTGCGTTTTTCGGCATCCGAAAGCATTTTGTCCAATTTCTGGGGACGAGAACCTCGCTTGCGAAACAGCAGATTGTCATTTAGTAGTTCAATTTCAGTGGCCGTTGGAGGATCACCATCACCGTTTTCGGCATCTGCCTCAGTGACATCTTCATTTTCCTTCTCCTTTAATGACAAATCCGTGGCCTCTTCCTCATCGCCTTCCTTATTACCATTTTCCTTGGGCTCCTGCTCCTTGTCACTGTCCAAATCGATTTCATCATCTTCATCCATTACTCCCTCATTGTCACTGTCATCGACAACAAATGTTTTCAAAAACTTATCCACCAAAGGTGAATTTTTGCCACTTTCATCATCCTCCTCAGAGGCGGCACCCAGTAAGAGATCTTCATCTTCCTCCTCCAGTTCTTCCGAGTCTGTACTGGATTCATCCAACATTTGACGTTTGATGTCCTCATTACAACGTTCCAGAAATTGTTTTTCCGTAATCACTTCTTCCTCAGCCTGGAAATGTGGAAGACAGCGAAAGGGAGATAGGGAGAGAGAGAGAGAGACATTAGTCCAAAATACATTGAGGGTAATCATGTAGTTCCTTCTTGTCTTTTATTGTCATTTACATACTCACTTCACTTTTCACTTCATCATCCGAACCAAATTCCACATCCATAAAATCAAAGCGATCATTTTGACTTTTGGTCGATTGAGCTTTGGTCTTGCTTTTGTCACTGATCTTACTGCTGCCACTGTTCGCCACACTCCTCTTTGCCAAACCATCGATGTTTAATAGACTGAAATTGAAACAAAAAATTACGATTATTAATTATTCGCTGAAAAAGAGCCAATTTGTTCTAGAGAAGTATTTGAACAGACCTCAAGGGCTCTCTTGAAAGTTCTTTAAAAAAAACATAAATTTGAAGATTTCAAAAGTTGTCCGACAAAAATTTATGTTTGAGGACCTCATAAGTTCTTTTCATTATTTTTTAAAAAATCCCCATTTGAACACCTCATGGCTTCACTAAAAAACTCTTTAAAAAATCACCGTTTGAAGACCCCAAAGGTTCTCTAAAAATTCTTTAAAAAATACACTTTTGAAGTACTCAATAATTCTTAAAAAAATCTAATAAAAATCCCCATTTTGGAGACCTCAAAGATTCTCTAAAATATTTTCCAAAAAAAACTTTATAAAACTTATGTTTAAATACTCAATATTTCCCTAAAAATCTGCTTTTTAAGTCCTCAATGGTTCTGAGAAAAATTCTATTAAAAATCCACGTTTGAAATCCTCAATAATTCTTAGAAAAATTCGAATAAAAATCCCCATTTAAACACCTCATGGCTTCACTGCAAAATTCTGTAAAAAAAATCACCTTCGAAGGACCTCAAGGGTTCTCTGAAAAATTATTTAAAAATCCACTTTTGGAAATATTTATAAAATATTTTCCAAAATTATTTTGAAATATTTTCCAAAAAATATTTTCCAAAAAAAATCTTTATAAAACCTAAGTTTAAATACTCAACAGTTCCCTAAAAATCTGCGTTTACAATTCTCAATGGTTATGAGAAAAGTTATTAAAAATCCACGTTTGAAGCCCTTAATAATTTTTAGAAAAATTCTAATAAAAATCCCCATTTAAACAACTCATGGCTTCACCGCAAAATTCTGTAAAAAAATCACCTTCGAAGGACCTCAAGGGTTCTCTGAAAAATTATTTAAAAATCCACTTTTGGAAATATTTATAAAATATTTTCCAAAATTATTTTAAAATATTTTCCAAAAAAAAAATCTTTATAAAACTTAAGTTCAAATACTCAACAGTTCCCTAAAAAGTCTGCATTTGGAGTCCCAAATGGTTCTGAGAAAAATTCTATTAAAAATCCACGTTTCAAGACCTCAATAATTCTTAGAAAAATTCTAATAAAAATCCCCATTTAAACACTGCAAAATTCTGTAAAAAAAATCACATTTGAAGGACCTCAAGGGTTCTCTGAAAAATTATTTAAAAATCCACTTTTGGAGACCTCAAAGATTCTCTAAAATATTTTCCAAAAAAAAAAATCGTTATAAAACTTATATTTAAATACTCAACAGTTCCCTAAAAAATCTGCGTTTTAAGTCCTCAATGGTTATGAGAAAAAATCTATTAAAAATCCACGTTTGAAATCCTCAATAATTCTTAGAAAAATTCGAATAAAAATCCCCATTTGAACACCTCATGGCTTCACTGAAAAATTCTTTAAAAAATCACCGTTTGAAGACCTAAGGGGGTTCTCTAAAAAATTCTTTATAAATCCACTTTGGGAGACCTCAAAGATTCTCTAACTTATTTTCCAAAAAAAAAATTTATAAAACTTATGTTTAAATAAGTAAAAAAAGTTCCATAAAAAGTCCTCGTTTTAAGTCCTCAATTGTTCTGAGAAAAATTCTATTAAAAATCCACGTTTGAAGCCCTAAAAAGATCTTAGAAAAATTCTAATAAAAATCCCCATTTAAACAACTCATAGCTTCATCGAAAATTCTGTAAAAAATCACCTTTGAAGGACCTCAAGGGTTCTCTGAAAAATTACTTAAAAATCCACTTTTGGAGACCTCAAAGATCGTCTAAAAAATTTTCCAAAAAAAAAAATATAAAACTTATGTTTAAGTACTCAAAAGTTCCTTAAAAATCTGCGTTTACAGTCCTCAATGGTTATGAGAAAAATACTATTAAAAATCCATGTTTGAAATCCTTAATAATTCTTAGAAAAATTCTAATAAAAACCCCCTTTTAAATAACTCATGGCTTCACTGCAAAATTCTTTAAAAAATCGCCGTTTTAAGACCCCTAGGGTTCTCTGAAAAATTGTTTAAAAAGCCACTTTTGGAGACCTCAACAGTTCCCTAAAAAATCTGCCTTTGTAGTCTCGAATGTTTCTGAGAAAAATTCTATTAAAAATCCACGTTTGTAGTCCTCAATGATTCTTAGAAAAATTCGAATAAAAATCCACATTTGAAGTCCTCAATGATTTTTAGAAAAATTCTAATAAAAATCTACGTTTGAAGGCTTTAATAATTCCTAGGAAAATTCCAGGTTTGAAGTCCTCAATGATTCTTAGAAAAATTTTAATAAAAATCCACGTTTGAAGTCCTCAATTATTCTTCAAAAAAAAATCTAATAAAAATCCACGTTTGAAGTCCTCAATGATTTTTAGAAAAATTCTAACAAAAATCCACTTTTGAAGCCTTGAATGATTACTAGAAAAATTCTAATAAAAATCCACGTTGGGAGTCCTCAATGATTCTTAGAACAATTTTAATAAAAATCCACGTTTGAAGTCATCAATGATTCTTAGAAAAATTTTAATAAAAATCCACGTTTGAAGTCATCAATGATTCTTAGAAAAATTCTAATAAAATTCCACGTTTGAAGTCTTCAATGGTTCTTAGGAAAATTCTAATAAAAATCCACGTTTGATGTCTTCAATGATTCTTAGGAAAATTCCAATAAAATTCCACGTTTGAAGTCTTCAATGGTTCTTAGGAAAATTCTAATAAAAATCCACGTTTGAAGGCCTCAATGATTCTTAGGAAAATTCTAATAAAAATCTACGATTGAAGACTCTAGTGGTCCCTCAGAAAGTCTTTAAGAAATCCACGTTTGAAGACTCAAGTGGTCCCTGAGAAAGTCTTTAAGAAGTCCACGTTTAAAAACTCAAGTGGTCCCTGAGAAAGTCTTTAAGAAATCCACGTTTGAAGGATTCTCAAAAAATTTTATAAATATCCACGTTAGAGGACTCATGTGATTTCTGATGATGTAAAAGATTCGTTAACATTTCCTGGCATTAAATCCCTATGGGATGTCTAAAAAATGTCTAAAGTTCAATGGGACCTTTAAAAAATTCTTTATAAGGTCCACGTTTGAAAACCCCAAATCTTCTCCCTTACATTGCCAAGTGATCTAAAAATTATTCTGATCTTAATGCACAGATCTCACGTCTTACCGTTCTATCTCCTTATCATTTCTCTCATCCTCATCCATAGACTGATGTGATTTCCTTTCTTTACGTTCCACGCTAAGATTCTCCTTGTCACTCTCGCTGTTATGCGAAACATCATCATTCGTGTGACTTTTCCTTGATTTCTTCGAACTATTGGCGGCATCTCCATCGGAATTTCCATCGCCCGCTGAACTTTTCTTCTTCTTTTTGGGTTTGAAAAAGATATCGGCATCGCTATCTTCGTCGTCACCAACACCATCTTCATTGTTATTGCTCGATGTTTCAATGGCCACCTCATTATTTTCTCCCTTATCACTGTCTTCCTCATCCAAGGAGGAGTTGGGCGACGAATTGGTTTCTCTTTCGAATATTTCCGATTGGACATATTGTGTCAGATTTATGCCATCATCATAGTCTAGATAAAAATTGCCAGACAACAGCTGGGATTGCTGGTTTTCGAGGGGAGAAATTTTGAAATTTTCCTCAGAACGATTTGTTGTTTCATTGTCTGATGCGGAAGATTTTTTAGGAACTCTATTCCTTTTTGGTTTATCAACGCCTTGACCTTCTTCATTTTCCGAACTTGTCGCTAACTCACTACTAGATCCCGATGATCTATCCGAGGCATTTAGAATACTCTGCTTAGACTCTTGATTCAGTTTACGACGACGTCCTTTGGAAGTTTTCTTAAAATCCGTTTGGATTTCAATGCTGCGGGTTTCCTCATAACAATAGGGTTTGAATTGAGTTTGAAAATGCCTATACTGTTGTTGTATATAGTCATGTAGCTTCACCTCAATATTCGTTGTAGCCGTGGAGAAATGTTCACAATCCCGCTGTAAATTGATGGCAAAATCTTTAAGTTTTTGCACCAGCTCCGAGCAAAGATCGTCTTTCACTTTATTTTTCGCTACAAGATTGCCGGTTTTACATAGAATTTCAAATTCTTCTTCGAAAATACGATGTTCCAGGGGTTCCGAACAATTATCGGGCAGGTGTCTCATTTCACTGGTCACTTCCTCCGAGGTGGTTTCTTTGGTACATTGTGAACTAGCCTGGGTTTCCTGTGATAATATTTCGGTATTTTGACTGAGATTTAGATTTTCCACATTTTCTTGGGGTATTTCCCTAATTTCTTGATTTTCACTTGGCGTCTCTAATCGTTGTGGCATTGCTTCGATGCTGTTATCTACTATTGGCTGAATATCTGACTCATTTTCCCGATCACTTATTGACTCATTTTGCTTTTCACTCTCCCTTTGTTTGCTGGCTTCATCGACAGTTTCATTTTCCATTGAAACATCCAATGAATTGCTTTCATTTTGATTTGGATTCTCATCCATTCCGGAATCCCTTTCTTCTTCTATTGACCCCCCGTCCGGCACCGTTTCCCCCATGCTCTCATCGCTCCCCTCCTTCCCTTCCTTGTCGCTTTCCAGACAATGATTAATTTGTTGAACTAAATTTGCGATTTTCTCAAAACTCTTTGAGGAACCCGTTTGCCGAGCATAGTTCAGGAGACTTCGTTTCAACACCTCCACTTCATTTTTGCCCACTATCTCTTGGGAATAACAATGATCACTGTTAATAATGGACAGGGAATTTGTTTCATTCTCATCCGAGGCCTGTTGGTCGTTTTCTTGATCTGGCATCTCCTCATTTAACTGGCTCTCAAATTCCTCTAGATTTCCCATGGAAATCGATGAGGCATTGCTGAGAACATCGCCCTCTTCATCGTCGTCGTTGGGTTCATTTTTTATATTTGTTTTTTCGCTATTGGAAATGTCTTGTTTGACATTGGTTTTAGTGTCGCCAGTGGAAGTGGTGGCATAAACCTCGACTTGACACAACTCATTATCGTCGTCATCATCTAAATTAATTGTCTCGTCATAAAAGCAATCTGGTTGGAGATTTTGGCTTAACATTATTTCACTGCCGATGGACAGCTCTTCCTTTATTGGCAGGCTATCATCTGAGCTTCTTACTGGTGACACAACATTTTCATTGGAATTCTCAGCATTTTCTTTGCCAACTTCGCATGGCACTTCAGCCGGCGTTGATTCTTCACATTTTTCAGCAATTTCAGTTGTGTCATTTAATGGCCTTGTTTCCTCTGGTTTATCAGAACTGCTTCGATTATTTTCCATTTCAGGTGGTGGTTCCCCTGGCAATTTGTCTGTTGTAGCTGCAGGTTCTATTGGCAAATCTGTTCCCGGCCTCCATTCTATGCCAGATTCCATTTCATCTTCCATCTCCTTTTGGAATATTTCCAAAATCTCTGATTCCTCATGTGCTAGCATAGATAAGTTATTATTTCCTTGCGCCTCCTGTTGTGCTTGCTGTCCAATCAAAGCATCCTGAGTTGAGGTATCATCCAACACACTTTGTATTAACAGATCCCAACTAGTTGGAGCTTTCTCATTACTGTTGTTGTTGTTGCTGCTGCCGTTACCACTGGTTGTGGGACAATCTGTGGAGAGGTTTGCCTCCAACTCCTCTTGGGTCACACTATTCATTTCATCATCCATTATATTGGGTGTTCTATCGAATGGATTTAGACAACTTATTGAATTCTGTACATTTTCCAATACCAAATCCAGATTGGTAGTGGCGGTGTTGTTTTGATTGATTGTTTCTTTCTCCATGGTTTGTTTGACGTCGTCGCCGTCGTCGTCTTTCGTTGTTTATTCACAACGATGAAACACTGAAAAAGAAAAAAAGAATATAATTATCATAATCACAAAATTATAAATTTATTTTGTCTTCCTCAGCGGCCCCAAACAATAATATTTTGGCGCATTAGTTAGTTCCCCCTCCTCCTCTTCCAAATACACCACACACACACACTTTTTTCCAACTTGGCTTAGTAAACATCGACGACTCCCTCCCTCCAATGACTATTCCACGTTCCAAAGACAAAGTGCAACATCAATTCTCATTACCTTCCACCATCAAATTAACAAATTTTCCATTTTTTGCCTTCAAATTGTGTGAATTTCTTGGATATATACGATGTTTAAAAAAATATTATTGAGTCCACGAAATAAAAAACTACTACCGAAAAAAAATTTACGCCATCTTGGTGAAGAACTACCAATCATATTTAAAAACGTTCCAATCGATACGAATGGGGAACGCAAATAAAAATGATTGATAAAATAAAGCACAAAACAAAACAAAGTTACACACAGATTCTTTTGATGTTTACGAAAGTGTGTGAAGCGTAATGGCCAAAAAAGGTATCAGATGTTTCTTTGGCGGGCAGTTCCCATTGTTAATCACTGAAAATGATAACACTCACTGCAAAATGGTATCCTGTTAATGAATCGCTCAATTGAACCATCGTAGAAGAATACAGGTGGGGGTATTAGCACTTGTGAACAGCAATGAGTAAAATATATATTTAAAACACTCTCCAAAACTTAATTGATTTTTCTACGATTGTCTTCAGAGTTAGATAAATCCAATTTATACTCACGACAAGTCCCTGTTTGTTAGGGGGAGGAAAAAGTAAGAGAAAAATGAATTTTTGTTTTTTTTTACTCTTATAGGCCAATTATAAATAACAATGCCAGAAAAGGAAGCAAAAAAAAAAACAATTATGTTCTTTTTTAAAATGTATTGATAATTTGAATCATTTTTCATTCAAAATTTTAGGTATTAAATATGTATTTGTTCAAAGTCCATTCATTGTTTGACCAGCTCTCTTTCGCTGTGCGAGAATCCAACTATAAGGTTTTCCGATTTCCAATTGTCAATCATGAATCATATGAAAACTTAGGCTAATATTTTAATGGAAATTATAAAAAATATATTTTTTTACCAAGGAATAAAAGTGTAGTTGATAAACGTGTGAAAAAACAGGAACTAGTTCTGAAGCCTCCTTTTACAGAATAGTTCAATTGAACTAGTTTGTACATGCATTCACATGCCAAGCGTGCCGGGAAATCTTCCAAGGAAAATGAATGTACCTGATGTGGAAAACACGGTAAACACCAATGGCTGCAATGAGTATGAAAGTCCCAATGATTCAAGGAAGCCAGCGAAAAGAGGCAGACCCATGAAACGAAGAATGACCATTGATTGCAGATCATCACTTAAGGAAGACACCGAAGAAATTGTACCCAAGCGTGGTCGAGGTAGACCTGTTGGATCTAAGAACAAAAAGAAACTACTGCAAACTTATGAGTTTAAGGAAAACTCTGAAGAAAGTGAACCTGTTAGAGAGTTTTCCACATGGAAGAGGCGATACACTGTGTGCGGGGATTCATACGATGAAATATTCAGATCGGGAAACGATGATGATAAAGATTTGGTGAAAACACCTCGTGGCAGAGGTCGTCCAAAGGGTTCAAAAAACAAAAGTAAACTTCCCAAGGCCATAGAACCATTTATAAAATTTCCACTTAAAATCCGAGAGGTGAACGGGTCAGAACCTAATAATGATGACAATAAACCCCAGATAGATTCAACGGAAAATGATGATGAAGATAGAAATGTTAGCAAAATATCCTGCGAAACAAAACACAAGGAATCTGAGGGTTATCCAAAAACATCTGTTGTGGAAAGAGGAAAGGAAATAGTCGGAAAAAATAATTTACTAAAAGAGAGGAACAATTGTGGGAAGGAGAATGGTAAATGCCTAGGAGAAAATAATGAAATTCCTTTAAGTAATAGGCAAATGAAAAGCTTGGATGATATGGAGGCCAAAGCTGATCTAAATTCCAGCGATTTTCTAGATACAAGTCTGAAGAGTAAAAGAGGTAGACCCAAAAAAAGCGAGTCAATAGGTTTTTCCGATCTACAAGAAAGTTTTAATGCTATGTCCATTCGTAAGAGACGTTACACTGTCTGTGGGAACGAGAATCCTTTTGAAGAAATTCAGAAAATCGAGCGTAAAAACGATGCGACGACACCCCGTGCCAGAGGTCGTCCAAAGGGTTCTAAAAATAAACCCAAATTAGAGGGTTTCCTAAAATTGCCATTTGATGGTAAAAATGAAACTTTGAAGAAGACAAAGGCCAGGCTTAACAAAAATACGGACCCACAATTAAATGGTACAATTCGGGAAACATTAATGTCGCCCATTCGAAAAGAAGAATCTGCAAAGAATGGAGTTCAAATGGTTTCTGCGGATGTGAAAAAGACAGACACTTTTAGCGCCAAAAGAGAACGACGGAAAAGTGTTTGCTTTCTTTCCAGCAAAGAAAAGAAAAGCATGGTTCTGGAAAACTTTTTTAACAAAAATTTTAAAGTCAGTGGTAGTGTTGCGAAACTACCACCCATTGGCAAGGAAAAGAAAATTAGAGATCCAATGAAGAAAGGGAAAAATTCTCCAGTAAATACGAATTTACTTGAGTCCAGCGACCTACAGCCGACCACTGACAAAAGAACTTTATCTTCTCCAAATCAAAGAGATTCGACTGAAAAAGAAAACATAGAAAATCTGGATATTACACTGTCAAACATAAGTAGCGAGACTAAGATTAAATCAAAGAAAAAACCCAACATTCCAGATGCTCCTGACAAAGGCCAAAATAAATTAAAAATGCATGAGATATCATCGAACGCTCCCACTACAAATGAACCGAGCAGACCTGTTACAGAAAATGATATGCAAAGCCTTAGAGGTGAAGAAATAAAGCAACAGGTTAGTTCGGGGAAGGAACTTGGGATTGCCACAAATTCCAATTCTTTAAATAACGAAGTCGGAAACAGCGAAGAACCAGTCCAACAAAGCAATGACTTTGTGCTTCATAGTTTAAAGGAAAAAGCAAGGAGGACAGGAAACGATTCTGCAGAGTCTGACTCAACCGCAAAGGAACGACAACAATCCATAATTTACAACATGTCCACGCCAACTCCAAGCAAAATAGGGCGAAAGAAAAAGGATGGGGGAAACCAACTCCCCGATAATCAGCGTTTTAGGGAAGATCAATTAAGGGCCTATTCCGAAAAAAGTACAGCTCAAATTGACTCCATTCACACTGGGGCTGAGCAAATGCCCTCTCCAAGAAAAAAGAAAAGAAAGAAAGAATCTGAGGAGAATTCATCATTGGAAGACAATAATTCTTTAGAAAATCGGAACAAGGCACGTTGGAATGACGAAGAGCAATATTCAATAGGGAGAGAAATTAAACAAAACTTTTCTATGGAAGAGGAAAACCGATCAGTTATTAACCAGGAAGAAAAAGCTGGGCATAGTAGTGGAAATATTGCTGGAAATTTAGAGAATAATAGAAACATATCTGGGAAAGATACAAATGAAGACGAATCGCCGCCAATTATAGATTGTGAAAAGTCTTCGACGTCTGCAGAAAATACAATTAGAGAGAAACAAGCACGGGAAAATCCACTATCAATGGAAGGAATGGACGAAAAACAATATCCGATATGCTGGAGAATAAAGCAAAACTCTTCTTCCCAAGAGGCTGATGCAACCGCATTTGAAACAACTGAAAATGGACCCCTGCAACCTGCTCGAGAAATGTTTTCACCGTCTCCAAGGAAAAAGAAAAGCAAGGAAAATACCAAAGAAACCCATTTCATAAGGGAAGAGAATATAAATGGAAGAGAATCATATCTGAGCGAAAGCAACAGCATCGGATTGAAGAAAAAGCGAAAGAAAAGACTAGAAATTTCCCATGATCCATATGAAGCGGAAGACCAAAATCAAACAAAAAGCAATGAATCCCCCCTTAGAAAGGAAGGACCGGAAAATTCCCTAGGAATCGGACTCTCTGAAAGCCAGTTCTATTCCAAAAGAGAAATGAAAGAAGCAGAATCGCCACTTCGTGAGGCCCAGCAACCAACAAGCGAAAGCCAAGAACCCGACTTAAGTTCCAAGGCCGAATGTGGTAAGGGAAGAAAATCTCCAAAGAAAAAGGAAAGCAAGAAAAACATCGGAGAAACCCATTTCAATGGAGAAGAAAATATAAATGGAAGAGAATCATATCCGAGCGAAGACAACAGCATCGGACTGAAGAAGAAGAAGAAGAGAAAGAAAAAACCAGAAATTCCCCACGAGCCATGTGAAGCAGAAACCGGAAATGAGAGCAACATCAATAAATCACGTTCAATATCTCCCCTTAGAAATGAAGGGCAGAAAAATTCCCAAGAACACGAGCCCTCTGAAAGCCAGAAGTATTCCAAAAACGAAATGAAAGAAATAGAAACACCACTCCCTGAGGCCCAGCAACCATTAAGCGAAAGCCAAGAACCTGACTTTAGTTCCATGGACGAACGTGGTAAAGAAAGAGTATCTCCTTCATCGGAAAGCATATGGAAAGCTGTGGAAAATGCATTTAAAGATTGGGAAAATAGTGATTGTGAAGGCGACAACATAAGTGATCATAGCCACAGGAAGAGAAATCAAACTCCCGTGGCAGAGGTAAATTTGAATAACCTCAACGAACCTGGCGAAAATCCATGTCAATTATCAAATCAGCCAGCAGAGAACGTTTCCCAAACACCCGCATTGCCAAATCGAAATAACCCGATTGAAGAGAATCAAACTGGTGTAAAACGGAAAAGAGGTAGACCCCGAAAACATCCCCTTCCAGAAGTAAATGAGACGGAAACAAATAAAACACCCAAATATCGCGGTGGACGACCCAAGGGAGCTCGAAATAAAACTCCAGCCGAAAGAGCTTTAGACCAGCAAATGAAGATGCAACGCAGAAATATCTTACCCAGATCCGAAGAAGGTTTGTTGCTGAGAAAAATTCCCCGTGAACGTTTAGATGAGTCGCTGGCCATACTCAAAGATAAGAACAGTCCCGTTTGGGAAGAACGCAATACATCGTGTCTGGTTTCGATACATCGCCATTGGGAGGACCCACTTAAACAAGCCTGCCAACAAAGAATACGCTTGAAGTATGCTCGGCAATTTTTGTTACGCCGAGATTGGGTTAATTTGTGCAAGGTTTTGTGTATCTCTGCCAAACAAAAAATGCATTACAATATCAGCTTTTATCCGATTTTGGCTAAGGTAGGTTCGAATTGATTTCTTTGATCGATTTTAAGGAACAATTAAATATCCTTTTTTTTGTATTTTTTTTTCCAGTTTGGAGCAATGTGTTTGGCCCACAACAACGAGAAGGAAGAATTTGATGCCTTTATGCAAATGTTGGCCAATATAGATGATGGCAAAAGGGTGCTGAAAAAAATTACCCAACTTCCGGTACAACAAAGCGATGAAGAATGAGATGGGATGTTCTTTATTTATGGTCTGTTTCTCAAATCGAAGCGACTCCAAAGCCACAGGCTGATATGTATGGAAATGTGCATTGATTTTCCAACAACTGAATGAGTTTTGTTGTTGGTATGTAATGAATATGTTATCACATAGGGTTCATCCCTAGATGTAAATAAAATAGAAAAAATATTTGTATATAAGGATATGCAGGAGTTTCCATATTTTATTTAAGGGCAGAAAATTTGGGGGGCTGAAAATCAAGGGGCCAAATTCTCGCAATAGATCGGAAATATCGCACACATTTTTATCAAAAAAAACACACACACAGAAAAATTCATTTCGATCGACATCGATTCGATATCGAATGCAAGAATTTGACACTTTGTTTTTCCCTTTCAATTTTTAGGTAAATGGGGGTTTTATGAAAACTGTGAGAAGTAAACAGACCATATCCGTTCAGAACAAGTAAAATAGTATCAGTCGGTTTTGTCGACAGATGTATACGCCCAACCTTGACTTATGATTATTCCCGAAGCAGTTGGCCAATATTGACCAATTCGCATCTGACTTAAGACTGATAAAAATATAAAAACGTGCCAGATTTGGACTATATCGACTAATTCCCATACTTTATATGAGATATGTGCAAATTTTTGAAAAATCTGGAAATATACGTGAGGTAACGGATATAGCGGACCGAAATATTCCGTTTTCATACTTCATCTAATACAGATAAAAATATTGGTATGGGCAAAATTACAAGAAAATCGAACATTTATATCAAATTTTATGCGAAATTGAATATTGAATTCCATATTCATCTCAGGTTTCTGGTTAAAAGAAATATTTAGATGTATCAAGTTATAGAGAATCGCCGACTTGTTTCCCAAGATATGACTGATATATGTATTGAAAATTGTGAACCTTTGTGGGTAAGGGACCAGAGGGGGTTGACAGATATATATCATCTTCACAACAGATCTTGCGCTAGCAAAAATATTTGTATGTGTGAAATTTGAGGAGAGAGTCTAAAATCTTGAACCCTATGTGGGGGAGGTACCAGAAGAAATGATTCGATCTCTACCATCTTTTTAACAGATCTTGTGTTGAGGGAAATATTGAGATATACCAAGTCTGAATGGAATCGGATGTTAATTTCGTGTTTTATGAGCTTCTTGGTAACTCAAAATTTTTTACCTTTGTGAGGGAGGTACCAGAAGGGGTGGGCCGATATATCCCATCTTCACACCAGACCTTGGGTTAAGAAATATATTGTGATGTGTGCAATTTGAAGAGAACCGGTTGCTTATTTCGGATTTTATGATCATTTTTGTTAATCAAAACCTTGACCCTTTGTGGGGAAGGTACCAGACGTAATGGTCCGATCTCTGCCATCTTTATAACAGATCTTGTGTTGATGGAAATATTGAGATGTGCCAAGTGTGAATGGAATCGGATGTTAATATCGTGTTCTATGAATATTCAAAATTTTAGACCCTTTGTGGGAGAGGTACCAGAAGGAGTGGACCCATACATTCCATCTTCACACCGGACTTTGGAATTATAAAAATATTGTGATGTGTGTAATTTGAAGAGAACCGGATGCTTATTCCGATTTTATAATAGTTTTTGTTAATCAAAATCTTGTGTTGATGGAAATATTGAGATGTGCCAAGTGTGAATGCAATCGGATGTTAATATCGTGTTCTATGACCTTCATGAATATTCAAAATTTTGACCCTTTGTGTGAGAGTTACCAGAAGGAGTTAACCCATATATTCTATCTTCACGCCATACCTTGGTTTAATAAAAATATTGTGATGTGTGCAATTTGAAGAGAATCGGATGCTTATTTCTGATTTTATGATCGTTTTTGTTAATCAAAATCTTGACCCTTTGTGGGGGAGGTAGCAAAAGTACTGGTCCGATCTCTACCATCTTTATAACAAATCTTATGTTGATGGAAATATTGAGATGTGCCAAGTGTGAATGGAATCGGATGTTAATATCGTGTTCTATGAATATTCAAAATTTTAGACCCTTTGTGGGAGAGGTACCAGAAGTACAGACCTTGGATTAATAAAAATATTGTGATGTGTGTAATTTGAAGACAATCGGACTCTTACATTACATTTTATATGAGTTATAATTATTCAAAATTTTGACCCTTTGTGGGGGAGGTACTTGATAGAGTGCACTGATATTGTCCATTTTCGCATCTGACCTAGCTCTGATGCAAATATTACGATTCACCAAGTTGTAGCAAAATCGGAATATCTTTCCCTTTCTGTGCAGTAAATTATTTTCTTTGAAAATGTTGACATTTTGGTTATTGAGGTACTAGAAGGAGTGGACAGATATTGACCATCTCTGAACTCGATCTAAGTTTGATAAAAACATTAGGATTCGCTAAGTTTGTATCAAATCGGATACTCCCTTCGAGACTTATCGTGCGCACCATCCAGCCAGGCAGACAGACGGACATCGCTAGATCGACTGCAAATGTCCTGAAATGGTTTTGGTCTAAAAAGACCTAGGGCCTAAAACTGTTATTTCGATTAGACACGTTTTGACCAAATAATATATTTAGTTTTTACATTTTTCTCAACTAATAAACGTTGTTTTTTAATAAAAAATACTTTTTTTTACCACATTATTTTTTAAATTATTATTTACTTTCCACATACATATGATTAAATGAAAACACTTTCAATGATGAATATTTGTTAAGCTATTATTTCCGTTTTTTTATTAATTTTATTTCAATAATGTTGTTCTTAATTAACAGAAGAGAAAAAAATATATATTTATATGACATTGGTTGTTCGTTTAAAAATTAAGTGCAATTATAAAATATTTTTTTTTTTTAATTATATTTTATTGCCTGTCAAGGCATTTGTTTGTATGCTTTTCGCCATGAAAAAAAAAATATCCTTTAAAGTTATATCAAAAAGAAAAAAATGAAAAGGAAATACAAAATAAAAGAAAAAAATGGGATTAAATTTTTTTTTATAAGCTATCAAGAGGAAAAATTATGAAATATTTAAACAAGTACAAATTGTAAAGCTTTGCAAAAGGGCAAAATAAAAAAGAAAATATTATTTTTTACTTGCTTTAAGATAATTTAGTAATATTTTTTTTTGTTTTTAAATTAAAATATCCAAATATTGGGGGCCATTGTGAAATGCCAGGAAGAAAATAGTTCACAAAATCACCATTTCAAATGGCCTACAATTTTTAGGATATTTACAAATACAAATATGTAAAGAGGAGCAGCAGACATTTTGTGAGAAACATTTCTTGCCTTACTTAATGGGAAATATTGCTTTTCGGTTATATTTTTCCGCAATCTGCTGGAGAAAACTATTTGCTCTACATATATTTTTTTTAATTTTGTAAATCTAATTGAAAGAAAACTTGAATTAATGTAATGTATATTGTTGTTGTTGTAATGTTAATATGTTTTGCTATCATCATTATTCTCTGCAAACAAAAGTATGAAGAAGAAGAAGAAGAAAAAAAATCTTAAAACTAATTTTTTATTGTTTTGTTAATATTTTGTTGTTTCTCTATTAAAGCAAGAGATGAAAGACAAATTAAAATGATTCATTCGTTCTTTTCGTTTTCATTAATAAAATTTTTGTTGATTTTCAAAAGACAATTAAAATTGTTAACATTACTTCTCCTCTCTTCTGATCATGATAGTACACAGTTTTGTAGTAGGTTTATATAGATCGATAATAGTTGATATAATAATAGTTGTTACAATAGTTATGATAATAATAATAATAATAATTGAATTTACTTCAATTGGGCATCGCGTGTACTTAGAGGCACGAATTCTCACACCGCAGCTCTCACCTGCCTTCGAGCCCCATAAATACACTTAACAAGTTAAAGATTTCAAACATTTTGGGATTATTTTTTGTTTTTTTTTTTCATTATTTCACGTTGTGTGTTGTGTTTGTTTTTGTTTTGTTTCGAATGTCAAAAACTAAAGTGCATTTATATTCTGAGCAAATTAATTTAAGACAAGACAAAAATTGAATTTGAGTTCATTGCCTGGATGATGGATGGATGCTGATTTCAGGGCATATTTTTCTGTATAGTTCGATTGACTGGTTATTTGTTTATCATCAGCATGTCATCGTCATCATCATTAGGCTTTTTGTGATACGGCTGTCTTTGTTGGGTATTTTAAGTTTTCTTAATAGACTTCTTCCTCCATGGAGAAATCCGAGGTGTCGCCAGCATATAGGGAACTAGAAGAAGAAAAAAGAGAAAAACAAAATTAATATAAAGTTGAACAAGTAAAATATGATCAGTCGGTTTTGCCGACAGATGTTTTTTTTTTCGCGTTTTTTACCAGAAAGAATGGTCCGACCTCTATCATCTTTTTTACAAATCTTGTGTTGAGGGAAATATTGATATGTACCAAGTCTGAATGGAATCGTATGTTAACTTTGTGTTTTATGAGCCTCGTAAATATTCAAATTTTTGACCCTTTGGGGGGGAGGTACCACAAGGAGTGAACCGATATATCCCATCTTCACACCAGACGTTGGGTTAGTAAAAATATTGTGATGTGTTTAATTTTGAGAGAACCGGATGTCTATTTCGGATTTTATGATCGTTTTGGTTATTCAAAACGTTGACCCGTTGTGGGGGAGGTACCAGAAGGAATTGTCCGATCTCTACCAGCTTTTTAACAAATCTTGTGATTATGGAAATATTGAGATGTGCCAAGTCTGAATGGAATCGGATGTTAGTTTCGCGTTTTATAAGCTTCAAGAATATTCATAATTTTGAATATTTGTGGGAAAGGTACCAGTAGGAGTGGACCGATATATTTCATCTTCACACCAGACATTGGAGTAATAAAAATATTGTGATGTGTGGAATTTGAATAGAACCTGATGCTTATTTTGGATTTTGTGAGCGTTTTTGTTAATCAAAACCTTGAATCTTCGTGGGGGAGGTACCAGAAGGGATGGTCCGATCTCTACCATGTTTTTAACAAATCTTGTGTTGATGGAAATATTGAAATATACCAAGTCTGAATGGAATCGGATGCTAATTTCGTGTTTTATGAGCATCATTGTAACTCAAAATGTCGATCCTTTGTGAATGAGGTACGAGAAGGAGTAGACTGATATATCCCAATTTCACACCAGGCCTTGGGTAAACAAAAATACTGTGCTGTGTGTAATTTGAAGACAATCGGACACTTACATCACATTTTATAAAAGTTATAATTATTCAAAATTTTGACCACTTGTGTGGGAAGTACTTGATGGAATTTACCGATATTGTCCATTTTCGCCCCTGACTTAGCACTGGTGCAAACTCTAGTATTCGGAAAATTTTAGAAAAATCGGATTATCCTTCCTCCTTCTGTGCAGTAAGTTATTTTCTGTGAAAATGTTGACAATGTGAGGGTAGGTACCAGAAGGAGTGCACCGATATTGCCTATCTCCGAACTTGATCTAAATTTGAGAATAATATTATGATGTACCAAGTTTGGATAAAATTTGATACTCCTACGAGAGTTATCGTTCGCACCATCCAGACATAGGGACGGACATCGCTAGATCGACTCCAAATGTCCTGAAACGAATTTGGTCCAAAGAGACCTAGGTTCTTAAACCGTTATTTTGATGAGGCATACGTTTTGGCCCCATCAAATAATATATACCTTATCTAGCCATATGGCTGAGGGTATAATGCCAGGTAAGTTAAGGTTAAAGGAACCGTAGTTGTCATGAACTGTCTGTACTCTAGTAGAAGGCCTCCCAACTTTGTTGCATTCCAAAATCGCCATGGATTTGATGTGGAGTTCCGTGAGAATATGTTCTCCTTTTTCCTTTTTTGATATCGCAACATAAAAATTGTTCACCAGCAAAAATTCCGAAGATTCAATTGTCCCCTTATTATATCCATATCCCTTAACACCCATACTTACTTAACAGCACGACACGTAAAGAAGACAATACGTTTCAATTTCTTGTTGTAGAAGAAATAGTTGAACGACCAAAGACAGCCGGGTTCACCAAAGGGATCTGAACTCAAATCCGGATTATAGCTGTAAATGTCACATTCCTGTAAATTGATTTCATCATCGATGGCCGACCATAAGGGTTGACGCAGCGCCTGATACTGATCGCCAGCCAGTGCAGAGAGATTTGAATGTACCGAATTCATAACCCATTGCAGGGAGGGTTCTTTGCTGAACTCGTGACTCTGGAAAGGAAAAAATAAAAAATAAGGAGCAATTAATAATTATGAAAAAACCAGTCAAGTAGTATCTGTCGGTTTTGCCGACAGATGTATACCCCCCCCCCCCCCCCCCCCTCGACTTATGATTATTCAATATCTTGAATTTTTATCGCTTATATCGCTTTCTTGGAGCGCTTTGTTTTCCAAAAGAAATGGTGCGATCTCTACCATCTTTATAAATTGAAGGAAATATTGAGATGTATCAACTCTGAGTGGAATCGGACGTTGTTTTCGGATTTTATGATCGTTTTAGTTATTCAAAATTTTAGCCCTTTTTGGTCCGATCTCTACCATCTTTATAACAAATCTTGTGTTGATGGAAATATAGAGATGTGCCAAGTTTGAATGGAATCTGATTTTTAAGCTTTAAGCTTCACCGATATTCAAAATTTTGGCCCTTTATGGGAGGGGTCAAAATAAGAAGTAGACCGATATATTACCTTAGTTTAATAAAAATATTGAGATGTAAGCAATTTGAAGAGAAACGGATGGTTTTTTCGGATTTTATTATCATTTTTGTTAATCAAACCCGATCCTTTGTGGGGGAGGTACAAGAAGGAATGGTCGAGATCTCTACCATTTTTATAACGGATCTTACGATTATGGAATGTGCCAAGACTGAATGAGATGTGCCAAGACTGAAAGGAATCGGATGTTAATTTCGTGTTTTATGAGCTTCATGAGGATTTAAAATTTTGACCCTCTGTGGGGGAGGTACCAGAAAGAGTGGACAGATACATGCCATCTTCACATCAGACCTTGGGTTATAAAACTATTGTAATGTGTGTAATTTGAAGACAATCGAATACATACATCACAGTTTATAAAAGTTATAATTATTCAAAATGTTGACCCTTTGTGGGGAAGGCACTTGATAGAGTGGATCGATATTGTCCATTTTCGCACCTGACCTAGCACTGATCCAAATATAAGGATTTGCAAAATTGGAGCAAAATCGGATTATCCTTTCTTTTTTTGTGCAGTAAAATATCTTCTTTGAATATTGATATTTTGTGTGGGAGGTACCAGAAGGAGCGGTATTGTCGATATTGCCTATCTCCGAACTCAATCTAAGTTTGACACTAATTTTGCGATGTACTTAGTTTGGATTAAATCGGATATTCCCTTCAAGAGCTGTCGTGCGTACCAACCAGACAGACAGAAGACGGACATCGCTAGATCGATTCCAAATGTCCTAAAACGGATTTGGACGTATGGTCTACAAACGTTATTTCGATAAGCCAGGTTTTGGCCGTATCAAATTATATATACCCTCTCTAGCCATATGGCTGAGGGTATAAAAATTGTTTGTGAGCGCCTAAAAATATGTTATATAAATGGTGAATATTAAATGTTAACAAGTCACTTTACACATGACGCCAAAATATTATGTAAACAGGCCTTTTGGGTGAATAAAATCGACCATTGTTTCCCAAATAAGACAGCTGCCTTACAACAAATATCAACTGCGTTTCCCATAACCTAAAAATATACATTTTTACCTCATCCCTAAGGGTTATGGTGGCCAATCAGAATTCGTGCCAAATGTGACCAATTCGAACAAATCTAAACTTATTCTAAAATTTGATCCTTTTTCCGAAATGTTTTCATTCAATAAAATTAAAAAAAAAAAAAAATTATGTTGCAGTTTTTATTATCTCACCCTGTATCTATAGAAAATCTCTCCTTTACATTTACAATTTGATCGTAAATTATGTAAATTTGTTTTCCTGTTGCCCTGTGTTGTCCGAAAGTAAACTTTCTTTCCAAAACAAACGCGCGCACACACATACACACACCCACCCACCCAACTCACAAAAGCCAGTCAGTCGAACAATTTATGATTGTGTTCTTGGGTAAATATACACAACTACATTCTTATGTAGGTTAATGTGCGTTTCTCGAAGACGAAAACAAAACAAAAAATATACCTCTGCGCCAAAAACATAAAAGCTAACATAAAGAACCCAAAAACATACCATACAACACAGATGTATGTAGCTACATACAAAGTAGATGTTGTTGGTTGATAATTTGTTTGTCAATATTATTAACAAAAAAAAAGAAGCGAAGAAGAGCAACCACAAAAATATTATTATTCTTGGCAGACTAGACGCACAAACACACACACTCAACTGCTACATCTTGTCAAGCAGTGGCTATTTGTGTATTTCTATGGCTGTTATATTTTTTTGACATTGAGTAAAGGCATATAGCAACAAAGAATAAAAACAAACACACGTATGTACGTCAGTGTGTGTGACGATGATGAGTAAAAACAAAATTTTGCCAAGTTCTCAAAATAACAAATGGTTTGTTTTTCAAAAACAAAAATCCATTTTAAAATTGTTTTCAAAACAACGAGTGTAGATAGTATAACCATTAGTTACGCAAAAGTGTTTTGCCTCTAATTCGACTAAAATCCATTCCTTAGCCATTTCAATTGATAATCCAATTACTTGTTTCTTATACCTATTTGCATGACTTATGTAATTCATTGATTTTGCTGGACGAAAATCATTCACATCCTCCATCTGGGGAAAAAACGGTTCATTTACCGCCCTTGTTATCAGACTCAAAACAAATAAAGAATGACAACAAAAGAAACAATCGATCAGTAAATATTGGCCGCATATTGTCATCGAATTAATATTCCCGCCATTAATTGGCTTCACCTTCATTTTTTTTAATATCCCTCCCAAAAAACACATAGTCGCTGTATGTACAGTAGAAGTCAAAAAGCTTAGGCAGTAATTTGTCGTCTAAACAAACACGTTTTATTTTTTTGGGCACATGTAAACAATTTGATAAGAAACACGTGACTTGGGGCCAAGTGAGGGAAAATTTGTTGATAATATGTAAGTCATGTAAAGGCAGTGGAGTTAAATAAGAAATTTGTAAAATAGCCACTATCTTGACCCGAAAGTAGGGTATATCTCTTGGGCATAAAGCAGGCCTTCATATGTAAAAAAGCTATATGGTATTTTATTAAAAAAGCATAGATGGTCTTCTCTAACCTTCTGGACTTCTAAAACAAAAAAATTAAAATACAATTCTTGACAACGGAACTGGTTGTAGGGAATCGGAATAGTAACCAACACCGTATAAAATACCCTTTTTTTAAATATTTATCACGTATTTCGTGTTGACCATATTTGGGATTACTCATTAGATGGTCTTCTCTAACCTTCTGGTCTTCTCTTCTCATAGATGGTCTTCTCTAACCTTCTGGACTTCTAAAACAAAAAAATTAAAATACAATTCTTGACAACGGAACTGGTTGTAGGGAATCGGAATAGTAACCAACACCGTATAAAATACCCTTTTTTTAAATATTTATCACGTATTTCGTGTTGACCATATTTGGGATTACTCATTTGTTTTTTTCAAGACGATTTCCTTATCTATGTTTATGTCGTTGTATTCGCCATAAAGTTTTCTCAATACAAAGAATTGTTTTTGTTGTCAAGTGTAAATAGATGATGACTCAGGAGAGTTGTGAAGTCTCATAAATCGCTTATCAGTCTGTTGGACATTGGCAAATAACGATTATGATTGTCTTTGTAAGTTTTGAGATAATTAGTTCATAAGAGAGATATGTTATGAAATTTAAATGTTGGAGATTTTGATTTATCTTAGTGCGGAAAGCCCTGGTAGTTATATACTGGGTAGCCCTGGCGTCTAAGAGGAAAGTATTTTTTTTTCGAATAACGAAGTGCCAGTGAGGCCTTGACTTAGTAAGCGACATTTGGCGACCCAAAAACCAGTAAAGAAAGTCTAAAAGTCGGGCGGGCCGACTTTATGATACCCTACACCCCTTTGCATATTTAGTAGAGCTTCATATAAGAAATTAAAAATATAGCAAATCGAATGAACAAAATATATGGGAGCTATAGCTATATCTGAAACGATTTTCACCAAATTTGACATACCTGTTTCTATGCCCAATTTGGTCGTAAGTCTCAAATATCATACCATTTGGTTTAATATTACACGTTTGGTGCGCAGTAAAAGACTATATTCAAATCTGAACCGATTTCGATTAAATTTTTGGGAAACGTATTTCTGTGCTGTATTTGATAAATTTCCCCAAATGTCGTTGTTACAGAGAGCATATTACGGCAGCGGAGGACAAAAATATCAAATCGGATGAACAATATATGTTGGAGTCATAGCTATCTTTGAACCGATTTCGATCAAATTTGGCATACTTATTTCCAGTTTTAATTTGGTCGTATATAACGAGTTTGGTGCACAATAAAAGGCAAATCGGACGAAGATATATGTGGGAGCTATATCTAAATTTTGTCCGAATACCTCCACTTTCAATAGGGTTCGTCCTTGCGTAAAATAAATGATTGATGCAAATTTCCTCTAGATCGGACAATAACTGCAACCTGTACATTGTTTCCAAAATTCATGGAGAGACAGACAGACGGACGGACATGCATAAATCGACTCAGAATGTGATTCTATGCAGATCATCAAAAGGAACTATGGGTCTATCTCGTTTGTTTTTGCCTGTTACAAAGGAAAGCAAACAAGACATAATACCCTGACCACCTTGTGGTGTAGGGTATAATAATCTAGTGGTGTTGGTACCTTTCCGAATTGGACTCCCTAGGCAGGGTGTAATGTCAGCAAGTGTCCATGGCACCCACTGTATTCTAAAGTTTATGCCTCCATTTCCTCCTTTAAAACTTCTCCACATTTAGGAAAGGAATTTGAGTACCACGGTGATCAACACGCTTACCTCTAAACATCCTGTACGCTTACCTGCCGAGTACGGAAGATTTGTCAGTCTAAAGTAACGTTAGATGAAGACGGTGCTATTGCTGAGGCCAGAACGACCAAAGATGAGAAGGTACATTAAAGGACAATTAACTGCTAGAGTCGATAGATACATCGACGTAGACCCATTCAAAATAAGGAACAAACAAACTTATATTCATAAGAATGTCTCAAGGAACAATCCGAATGAGGTCTTGTCGCAAGTTCTGGCAAACAGGATTAATACTTGGCTAGACCTCGAATATTAAATCCCTTAAAAAATAACTCTAAAGTGTCCGCTGAAACACCATTCATAAGGGTTATGTCTGTGTCCCTATTGCTAAGTTAGGCCAAGATTCCAAATAAATAGTTTTTACGAATTGAAAGGCTTGAAATTCTAGTGTGACATGCCCTGATCCCGATTAGTGACTGTAGAGGATGAGATCAACAGAGGAAAAGCCACAAAGCGGGCCATCGAAGACTGTCAGATTGTTTGCTTTGAAAAGAAAAACCTTTTGAAGAGTTCTGGTAATCAGGTTAAATACCTGCCCAGACCTCCAACATTAAATCCCTTAAAATAACTCTAAAATGTCCGCTCAAATAAGGGTTATATATGTGTTCCTGCCGCTACGTTGGGCCAAGATTCCAAATAAATAGCTTTTACGAGCGGACGGACGAATTGAAAGGCTTGTGGCGTACCCTCACGATTAGCGTCTGTAGAAGATGATACCAACGTAAGAAAATCCACACGCCACAGGCGGACCAAAAATTCGTCAAATTCATGTAAAGTTATTTATTCCACCAAAGACCTTTAGATTTGTTTTCTTTGAACAGAAGACCTTTTGAAGATCTTCTGTGTATGGGATACCTTTAAACTATTGAAAGGCTTGAAAGCCAAGTGTAGCTTACCCTCATCACGATTAGTGGCTGTAGAGGATGAGATCAACGGAGGAGGAGCCACACGCCACAGGCGATCCAAAAATTCGTCATGTTCGTGTAAAGCCATGGGCCATTTCCGAACTAAGTCAACCTAAAACTCCTTTGTTCCTCTACGAAGAAGCCAGCAAAATATGCCCTTTATGTATTCGAAAGTCGTATATAATTTTTTTTTGACAATGGAAGACCTCTATGTATTTTACGTTCAAAAGATCTCTATAGACCTTCCGAAAGCATTCGCCTATGGTAGACCTGTGAATATTAACAATGTGCCTTTAGATTGTCTTTTAATGCCTTTAGATAGTCTTTTAAATGTACAAATCCTTTCCTATTGCCTTCGACAATGTTTTACAAAAAGATTTTCTGAAGCTCTTCAATCAAGAAGTGATCCATAAACATTTATAAGTTCTTTAAGGGAATAACTTTTGAAGGCTTTCTGTGAAGGAACAAAACATTGCCTAAAAGTAGGTAAAAATTCATTTTAATTTGAATTCCCATAATGTCCCCCAATTTTAAAGATAGATCGATCTCCACCATATCTTCAATAATTTCGATCCTCTCAATCCTTTCATTCTTCTTTTTAGATCTTAAAATGAAAATTCCTTTAAAAAAATTCTCTTGCGCCTAAAATTATGCAAACATTTTTGAAAATTAAATATCATATCTTCACCCTACTCACCTTGGCATCCGAGAAATCATAGTCCGGCTCAAATGAAGCATTCAGCGTAGCAATTAAATGGAATAGAGTTTTACGCGATATGGTGTCACACAGAATTACACCCTCATCTCCCGACTGGCTATTGTTGCGATGGAAATTTGGCGAGAGATCAGCCAGTGTTTGTGGCGGCGATAGGGCCTGCAAATCGTGCGGCCCATAGCCATGCGTTTCCGATGTAAAACGTTTGTATAAACTTTTATCGGCTGCAACCATTTTGCATGAGTACGATTCAATGCGTCCAAATATGGTGCTGCTACCCGAGCCAATGGACAGGGCATTGTTGATGGCCTCAAAACGTGAACTTTCCAAGAGTTTCATTTTTGGGTGTGTGTGTGTGTGTGTGTGATTTGAAAGCCAACAAGCGTCTGTGTCTAATATTCAAGTTATGAGATTTTACGTTCCAGGCAAAATCTTCTTTGGCCGTCTCAACTCGACTCGACTCTATTAATTGTCTATTCAATGACAAATTGAAAGTTCTTCTTCCTTATGGATGGCGGTCCTTTCTTTTTGTATGTGTCTGTGGAAATTGTATTCCTATTGAGTAATATTTTTCTGTAACTGTGTGTGTCGTTCTGGGTTTGAAATCTTGTTTGTTTTAACGATGCATATAACTTAACATTCCTAAGTTAAGAGGGGACACACGACGACCTTTTTTCGATTAAGGTTTTAATTCTTATTTAGAGTTTGAATGCTCAAATTTCAATTAAGACTTGAAGTTTTAAGGTCGCTGGTCACACTTCTTAAGCTTGGAGACATATAAATATCGGCTTTGGGCAAACAATTCTTTGTCTGGCTGAGATGCTGCTGTTCATTATTGTCGGTTGGCCGGCTGGTGTCGTCAATTGGCAATTGAAGTTTCTGAACATGGTCGAGGGATGTACCAGAATTCTTTTCTTCACACCGGCTCTGTTGTCCTTTATGCTACAGGTTCTGTTGATGGCTACTCTTTGTTCTTGTTGTTGTTGTTGCTGCTGCTGTCTGATGAGTTGCTGTTGTTGTTGCTGATGAAACATTACACTAATACCACGCACCGAATTATACCGGAATATTTCTAATACAAATTCTGATTGGGAAAATCTAGTTTTGTTTTCTTTTGTTACTTTTGTTGTTGTTGCTGTGTTGTGTTAGTGGATATGGTATGGTTGCTTGGTAGGCTTTTTCAAAATGGCGTCAACTGTATTTTTTTGTTTTGTAGTTTGCCTGCCTTTATGAAGAAACACAAAGTACAACTGCCCTTGGTTTCACTTCAGGAAAAAGATTTTAATATTTATTTCCAAAGGTATCTTTTCGTGTTGCTGTAAAGCTGATGCTTTGCTTTTTTAATGGCTTTGCTTTCTTTGTTTGGTGAACAAGTGATTATTCAATCAGTTTAGTTTTCTTTTGTGTTTTCGTTTTGTTGGAGAAAAAAATCGAAAACACTCAGCGCCTTATATTTCACTTATTTTTTTTTTTTTTTGTATCGCCACACTTTTTTCACTTTATTTATTGAAACACTATCACTGTGTTTTATAAACGTTCTTCAAAATCCATATCAAACATATTTGCTAATAATCGTAATAAATACATTCTCGTAGCTTTAATGAAATCACCCAATTATGTAAAAAATTAAAATAGGAGATATTATGCCGTTCTCGCTTCCAAAGATTCACTTCCGTCTTGCGTTTTGCATATACTATGTATATATATGTGGCCCAAATAATTGATTTCGTTTTGCTTCCTTTTTTTGTGATTAATTTATTTTTAGCTTCTTGCTTTGGATATCTCGTTGATTGTGTATTGAACAGAGCTGGTTTACAATTAAATTTTTTGTGTGTATAGCACTGAAAATGTCAAATGCGAATGGTAGATAGAGGTGGTAAAACCAATCGATGGCAATATCGATTTTTTATTCTGAATATAGTTATCGATATTATCGGGCGAAATGCCAGTACCAAGGTAGATCTAACAGGTAACCGCATCGGCGAATTGCTACAACAAAGCAACTTTTGTGGTCCCCTCAAATGTCAAAATTGGCATCTAAGGCGAAAAACATAGATTCGCCATGACATTTAAAAGTTGCGGCAAATTTGTTTCAACCAATCAGAAACGAGGTGTTTGTTTACATTTTATTTTGTGTCCCTCTCGTCGTAAACGAACGTCGCAATAAAAGTTTTTATTGTAAAACAAATAAGAGTAAAATAAGTATTAATTGTAGTATTGCGATTTTTTTAAACAAAGAAACTTATAATGACTATATTTTACTGGTTTAAACCGAAAGTTTTCCGGAACTGCAAATGACAAGAGTCTAATTCTTGCACTACTTCCCGTGATGTGCTTTGGGAATCTTAGATGTTGAGGCTAACTTAATTCTTAAAGCTGCACTCCATTCTAACCTCCTTCCTTCATGTTCTTTTAATTTTTTACTGGTTTCACTCTTAACTTACTCTTAAATTATTTGAAATATTATAAAAAGGTACTTTTAGGGAAGACAACATAAACAAATTTGTTGTTGCATTCATTTAGGGCGAATTCTTCATTACAACAATTCGTTTTGACATTTAATGGTGCCGTCAGCTGGGCTGATGCGATTACCTAGTACATCTACCTTGGCCAGTACGAAACAACAAGGGGAAATAACGGCAATCATAAATAATTGGGGAGACCTAACTTCTGAATATGGCAACGGCAATTGATATTTTTTGCACCTTGTGATCCCTATTAAATAAAATACAAAAATATTTAAAGCTTTTTGTTTGTTTGCGAGGTTTTGAGACTTTTTAAACAATCTGAATTAAAAAAATTATTACAAATGCTTTGAATACATGTGAAACTCTTGTTATATCTGGGGAGCGACAAAGAAAATCAAAAATGCACTCCTAAACTGTCGATTTCATCTTATTTTTTGGTGTGATTTTGTTGTTAAACAATGAAATAAAATTTAAAGAAGGTTATTGTTGATAATAAATTGGAAATGTGGTACGTATAGACATTTTGTTGCCAAATTCAAAATGACTAAATCTAATTTGTTCTCAGTGAAAAACTGGACCATATGTCTTTTGGGGCTTAACTCTAGTTTGGTAAAACCTCTAGAGTTCTTTTTTTCTTGAGGTACGTATTTGCATCCTGATTCCGGGAAGATATTTTCTCTTGGGGACGGACCCGGGAACCCAAATATTCGATTCGACTTCGAGACCCGGTTTAGACCCTAAGCGAGATTTGAAAGATTAGGATAGCTCCAACCCACATTTGAAAGCTTATGATAGACCCAACAAGCAAATACATAAATTCTTGATCAGCGTAAATTTCTAAATCCATTTAGCGATGTCCGTCTATCTGTCTTTTGTAATCACGCTATCTTTGGAACGAATTGAAAAGTTATGTACGTAAATGGGCCAAGGTGGACCGAACCTTTTCGTATATACCGCGTATAACAATACCTCCCAATATTACTGTTTCAAATTTCGTATTTGAAGTTCGTAATGGTAGGTGCTAGACCTATGACGGAAATTTTTCTATGCAGGTCCACGTTTTCGTATAGCTCCCACATAACGATACCTTATGATTTTAGCGACATTATTAATTGGAACTGTTTCAAATTTCGCCAGGCCAAGTCTTTATATAGTCCCCATATTGAATGAAAAATTGAGCGTTTTATTGAAATTTTGAAATTCCTTCCAAATGTTGGAGGGTATTGTATTAAGTGTTTCTATTATCACAAAAAAACAAACATCTTCAGAATTAACTTCTGCGATGCTAATCATTTCTGTTTCCCCAACTGTTTTGACCTATCCCATTGCATTCTCCACAATCCAGCATATTTTTCCAACGCTAATTACCTTGCCTACTACGAATACATTTTGTATATTTATTCTCTGTGCTATTTTCCATTCGAATAATGTTGTAAAAAGAAACGATTCTTGTAAAATGTAAACATCTACATAGTTCTTTGCACTGTTATTGGTAGAATTGTTTGAATTTTCTTCAATTAAACAACTTCATACGTTAATGGGAAGTAAATTTATTTCTGATGTTATTGCTGTCGGGTGGAAAAGACAATGTACTTCTGTAGGCATTTCAAAATACTTTGGAAATGTTATTGTTTACATTACGTGAAACAAAAAAAAGAAAAATAATTTGTAGTTGATTATCGCCAATTAAAAAAAGGTGTATAAATTGAATCTTTTGTTGTTGTGGTAAATGTGGAAAGAAGGTGTGCAAAAGAAATGTTTGGCTGGGCCATGACCTTTGATAAAAGTACAATGGTTTAAAAAAAAACATTAAAGGTAATTTTATATTTAGCTGCTCTGATTTTTAGGGAGATATTCTAAAGGGAATAGGTTAGAGAAATTGAAAAAAAATGAAGACAAAACTTTTTCAAATCAACCGTACAAGGCCTCACACTTCGCATATATTGGAAAAAGTAACAGCTTCCATTTAACAGTAATGATGGTAAAAGTATTTATATATACAGAGCATGGTGGAAGGATACAGGTAGATACATCAACGCTTTGGAGCATTGATATGTCAAAAATTTTAATTTTTTTTTGTAAAAAAGGAGATTTTTATAATTTTTCTTATACGACAGGATTCGGAGTTTCCTCTAATATGAATTTTTCAATAATTATTTTTACAATTTGATTAATTTTTCAAATTCAAATTCAAAATTTTCGTTTTCAAAATTGGGTTGACAGTTCATTGTCCCAGCAGCTGTATCGATGGGACTGTCTGTATTCTTCTACCATAATACAGAGACAAGTGACGTTCCCCAACTGCTTTTGCTATTAACGATAAATTCAGAAAATTTCAAACTAAAAATGTTCATAAAGAAGAAGCAAATGCTGAAGACTTTGTTACTTATCGGTAGGGCTTACCCATGGTAGAAGAATACAGGTAGTCGCTTCGACACAGCTGCTGGGAACTGTAAAACCGATTTTAGAATTGAAAATTTTGAATGAAAAATTATTGAAATTAATAAAAACAACATCCAATTTACGTCGTATAAGAAAACATATAAAAATCAACTTATTTTTGACAAAACACTTTAAAAAATTTGACATATCAATGCTCCCAAATATTGATGCATCTACCTATATTCTTCTTCCATGGGCTTACCGTTATATTTCGTTAATTACTGAAAATGTAAACCAGCTATGAGCATCATCCAACGAAAAAGTATAAACAACGCACATGTATTCTCTTTCGATTTTCAGTTGTCATTGATTTGATAAGCCGAGAAAGTCTCTTACCACTACTAATGCGTATATTATGAGCAAGGTTGATGTAAACAATTAAGAAATTGCTGTTATCGATAAATACCGTTAATTTGTCTTTTGGTGAGAGTATATACAAGGTTTTTTGACTGGATTAAGTCATAGCATAGACAAATAAAGGTATAGACTAAAAAGTTGTCTCATCTGTTATCTCTGAAAAAAGTACTTCAATAGATGTCGTCCTTTATTATTTATCAATTAAAAAAGAAACATCGACTTTCTTTACTTTTACATTATCCAAATATGTCGTGAAATATAAAAATATAGAACTTAAATAGCAGAAAAATGAATAAATTGTTTTCGAAGTCGAGTGACTTCACTAGCCCTGAGTGACTTGACTGGCCCAAGATCAACAATAGTGACATCTGCCGGAAGGGAAAATTTAAAAAATTTTTAGTCTATACCTTTATTTGTCTATGGTCATAGACTGGCTTGTTCGTAGAGACAGACAAGAGAAGTTTTAGGTTGATGTAGTTCGATTTTAGCCCTACGCTTTTTTGTTAAAGCCAGTCGATGATTTTAGCGGCATTAGTCATACGAACTGTTTCATCTTTCGTATTTAGAGTCCATAATGGGAACTACAGTCTATGCAGGTCCAGGTCTTCGTATAGCCCCGATGTAACGGTACCTCCCTATATTCGGTATTTTGAAGATTTTAGCTATATTATTTACCGGATTTTTTTCAAGTTTCGTATTTGAATATTGTAATAGCTTATGAAAAAATTACCTATGGAGGTTCACGTCGTCGTTTAGACTCTAATATAACGGCTATATTCGGTATTTTTAAGATTTTAACAGAATTTTTAACGGATTTTATTTTTTTGAAAGTTGTTAAATTCGTTCCAAATGGTGGAGGGTATACAAAGTCCAGGCCCGGCAGAACTTGCAGCTTTTTTATTTTTTTTTTAATTTTATTGAATGAAAGCAAAAAATGTCGGAAATAGCATCAAATTTTAGAATTAGTTTAGATTTGTTCGAATTGGTCACCTTTGGCACGAATTATGGCCTTCAAACGGCCAATGAAACCGTCACACGCTGCCCGTATGTTGCTCTGCGGTATTTTGGCCCATTCCCGGCAAAGCGCTTGCTTGAGGTGATCGACACTTTGGTATTTTTTAGTGGCAACCTTGCTTCCCAAAATACTCCAGACACAATAGTCCAACGGATTGGGATCCGGAGATTTTGGTGGCCATTGTACGCTGGAAATGAAGCGAGGAACCACATTTTGTAACCATTCTTGGGTGGCGCGTGCTGAGTGCGATGGTGCTGAGTCCTGTTGGAATGTCCAAGGTCTGCGGCCAAAATGTTTGCTTGCCCAAGGCTTTAATGCATCCTCTAGAAAATTTGCGCAATAATATTCGACATTTATTCTGATGCCACCGTCGATTAATACGAGCGGAGAACGACCAACGGCTGTTATTACGGTCCACACCATCACCATGGCCGCCGCTTGAGTTCGGGTGGCCAACCGAAGGTGCACATTTTCAGCTGACCTCTTTGGCAAGTAAACACGATCATTTTGTTTGTTTACAAACTGCTGGACAACGAATGTTTCCTCATCGGAAACGGAGAAAATCAAATTCGGCAGTTCACCACTTTCGGCCAAGTTAAGCAACTCTCTAGCTCTTTTGAATCTATTTTCTTTCTGCTGCGGTGTAAGTTCTTGCACTTTTTCGAATTTCAATGACATTACCCCAAGCTCATTTTTCAATATTTGCCGAAAGGAATACTGCGATATATTCAGCTCACGAGACATTTTTCGGCCACTGCGACGCGGGTTTCGATCAAGTCTATTCTTTACTTTTCGAACCATTTCTGCTGATGTAGCTGTTTTCTGCCGTCCACTTCCTTGACATATGTCGGGCTACGCTATCAGTATCACGGTAACGGGTAGGAGACGCAAAAGATTTATTCACATTTAAATGCTGGAGTGCTCTAACGATAACCACTTGTGGTTTTCCAGCCAAATATAAAGAAATCACACTATCACGCTTGAATTCCATTGCGAATAAATTTTTTCTGGGAAGTTCTCTCCGAAATTCTTTTGTACGCTTGTAAATAATATAATGAGCTATCACTGGAATAATTGTAACAGCTGTGGGTCGAGTGGCTTAGAAATGACAGCAGTCTGAAGTTGCTTGCAGTTTTTTCATCTCACCCTGTATTCTTCTACCATAATGAATAATTTGAAATTTTTTGAAGCTGTATGGCATTGTGAATATATATTTATATCTCAATTTAAATATTCATAAAAAAGCACGTAAAAATATATGTAACAATAAACAATCACAATCGATTGTATCTTACCTTTTTACCTGAGATTCAGTTCTATTCTATTCCGCACTAGATGTTGTTGTATTGAAAATAAACAATTTAATTGTTTATATTAATGAAAAAAAAAGAAAAACAAAAGAGATCAGGAACTTCGACTAACAAATTCTCGTTATGGTGGGCCTTTAACAACATCTAAATGAGCGGAAACATAGCGCGCTAATGTCAAACGGAAACCATTTCGTTTTTCAAGGTGTGAATATTTAAAAGAGTCCGCCACGAACATGAAAGAATAAGAAAGAACAAGAAACGCACCTAACGAGATTCATTGAGTTGTCAAATGCATTCTTTAAATACTTAGTGTTCCATAAAGGCTTGTTTTTTTTTTTTTTTTTTTTTGAAAGATGTCATTATACCACATTTATCCTACCCCAAAATGTTTAGTTTCTAAACAATTACTTGTATTTGTTTATACGAAACGTTAACAATTTGAAAATCAGAAACTAAATTTTGTGATTCATTTACACACACGCACACACACAACAATGCATTTTTGCCTTACTCTTGTTGTTTGTTGTTGCTTACTTACATGCACCGTTACCGGTGAGTGCCTACGTCAATTAACAACAAAGGCTCACAACAAAAAATGTTTTGTTTACAACGCGTGGGTTTCGTGGGTTGTTTGCTTTGAGGTGTTAAACTAGAATCCATTGATTTTTTTTATTTTATTTAAGGAATAATAAATTAAGGAATCCACACAGTTCGTTTATATTAAACAGAGAGTTTTGCTCAATTGTGCCTCTCTGAAACTAGAATAATATTTAAGCTACTAGACAATATGTCGTTTTTCTTTGGTTTGTTGTTTTTTTTGTAGGGAAATGTTTTAAAATCGTGGTATTTTTGTGTGCAAGTACCGGCCGACATTTTACTCTTGCTCAGGAATCAACTCGGATGCCCATACATCTTGGGGCCAGCCAGTGCGTCCTTTGCTTTGTCGATTTGCTGCCTGAAACGAAAACGGAATTTATTAGAATTATTAAGGATGATGGCAATGTTAATGATTTAGATAGTTTTATTTAAAAAAATATATATATCAAATAATTTATGATAGAGATCAGATAGTCATGATATGAGATAAATTATATGAACACTTATTTCTATCAATAGACTAAAAACTACTTAAATGTTGTCTCCTCGTAGTTTTTAAAAGCAAAACTTGTTAAAGAGAGAAATCTGCTCTGAGAGAACAACATAAGTGAGAAAATACGGCAATGAAAATTGGATGACAATACTTCAAAATCAATCTCTCTCTCTTTACAGAAGCTGACATTGAATTTATTGTTAGGTCTGCCTGGAGAAGAATTGCCCATGATCTTCTTCCTCAGAGAGAAAGGTAGTTAGTTTTCCCGTGGGTAAACAGACAAATTTCTGGAAAATGTGGAAATATGCGTGAGGTACCAGATATAGTCGACCAATTTATTCAATTTTCATATTTCATCTAATACAGACTAAAATATTGGTATTTGCAAAATTTGAAGTAAATCAAACATTTATTTCCAATTTTATGGGAAAGAATCGAAGAATATGTTTCGCAAGTTATGACAGATAAAAGTATTGAAAATTGTGACCCTTTGTAGGTGAGGTACCAGAAGGGGTTGGGCAGATATATATCATCTTCGCAACAGATCTTGTGTTAGCAAAAATGTATGTGGATGTGTGAAATTTGAAGAAAGTTAGATGCTTATTTCCTATTTTTGAGCTTATTTCGTGTTGCTGGAAATATTGAGATGTACCATGTCTGGAATGAAATCGGACGTTGATTTCGCTTTTTATGAACTTCATGGATATTCACCATTTTGAGCGTTTGTAAAGGAGGTACCAGAAGTAGTGGACCGATATTGCCCATCTTAACACCAGAACTTGGGTTAATATAAATATTGAGATGCGTGAAATTTGAAGACAATCGGACACTTACATCACATTTTATAAGAGTCGTAATTATTCAAAATTTTGACCATTTGTGGGGAAGTACTTGATGGAGTGGACCGATATGGTCCATTCTCACACCTGACCTAGAACTGACGTAAATATTAGAATTGGCAATATTGGGATGTGTGAAATTTGAAGACAATCGGACACTTACATCACATTTTATGAAAGTCGTAATTATTTAAAATTTTGACCATTTGTGGGGGAGGTATTTGATGGAGTGACGCAAATATTGGGATTTGCAAAGCTGGAGCAAAATTTTTTTTTTGTGAAAATTTCGACCTTTTGTGAGGGAGGTACCAGAAGGAGTGGACCGATATTGCCCATCTCCGAACTAGATATAAGTTTGACAAAAATATTACGATGTATCAAGTTTGGACCAAATCGGATTCTCCGTTCGAGAGTTATTGTGCGCACCAGCCAGACAGACGGACGCACGGTCATCGCTAGATCGACACCAAATGTTTTGAAACGGATTTGGTCCAAAGAGACCTAGGGTCTAAAACCTTTATTTCGACTAGGCAACTTTTGCCCGTATCAAATTGTATATACTCGGATACTCCCTTCAAGAGTTATCTTGTGCACCAGCCAGCCAGATAAACGGTCGGACTGTCGGAAATCGCTAGATCGACTCCAAATGCCCTGAATCGGATTTGGTCCAAAGAGACCTATGGTCCAAAAACGTTATTTCGAAGACGGTGTTCTGCATAAATTATTTTCCGTCATCGGCCGTGGCACTCATTACGAAATTTGAAACAATTCCAGTGAATAATGTCGCTAATATCATCAAAATACCGAATAAAGGTAGGTGCCGTTATATGTGGGCTATATGAAGACGTGAAATTACATAGACAATTTTCAGTCATAAGTTGTAGTACCCATTATGAGCTTAAAATACGAAATTTGAAATGATTTCCCTAAAATCATTAAAATACCGAATATCGCGAGGTATTGTTATATGGAGGCTTTACGGAGACGTTGACCTGTATATGCAATTTTTTTGTTATTGGATGTAGTACCCATAGTACCCATTACGCACTTAAAATAGGAAATTTTAAACAATTCCGGTAAATGAAGTCGCTAATATCATAAAAATACCGAATATCATGTGGTACTATATCGTGGACCTATATAGACAATTCTCGTCCAGGGTGTGAGGTACTCAGAAGAAACTTCTTGTGTGGATTTTCAGACAATTCTATTGACAAAATTCGCTACAATCATCAAGACATCTTATATCGGGAGGTACCGTTATATGAGTGATATACGAAATCGTGGACCTAAAGTACCCACAAAGAACTCTTTGTGTCGAATTTCGCACAATTTTATCTAAAAATGTGGCTATGATTTATCAACAGATTTGAAACGTTTATTTGATAAAATAATTAGTATTTGACAAATATTCCAAACATTCACGTTGGGCGCCACTTTGTGATGCAATCTTAAAACAATTCAACAAGATATTTTTTATAGTTAATAGAAAAAATTAGAGGTTCAAAAACAATTTCGTCAAAGTTCAAACAAAAAAATACTCCTTATTGGGCGCCACTTTTGTTATTCATATGAGTCCAACCAATTATTTTCCACAATTTCCAAAAATTGTTAGCCTAAATTCCAAAATGGTTATCCTAAATACTTCATTCCAATCATCTACTCTGTCAACTTTGGGCGCCTGCATTATTTCATGCGTTAAGGTGAAAGTACATAAAAGGCTTTTTTGACTGGCTTCTTCGTAGAGAAACAAAGGAGTTTTAGGTTGACATAGTTCGATTTTGGCCCTACGCTCTTTTTGTTCTTTTCCCAAGAAGCCAGCCAATGGCTTATGCAAGTCAGAAAAGCGAAGGCTAGCAAAGATATTTTTCTCCTTAAAGGTGAGAATATATAAAACGCTTTTTCGACTTGCTTTAGTCATTGGCTGACTTCTTGGGAAAGAACAAAGAAGCCTAGATCCAAAATCGAACTAATTCAACCTAAAAATCCTTTATTTATCTACAAAGAAGCCAGCCGATGACTTAAGGTGAGAATGCATAAAACGCTTTTTTGACTGGCTAAATCTGTGGAGGGGGGCTGGCTAAGGGTGGGAATACATAAAGCGCATATTTGGCTGGCTTAAGTCATCGGTTGGCTTCTTCAAAGAGGAACAAAGCAAAGACATAGAAGTATAAAGATGGGACAAGACAGAGTCAAGATATGGCAACCCTGTGAAAATACCACTGTTGTTATGATATCGTAACAACATAGTTAGCAATGTTATGCGATTTAAACCGCTTAGGCAATATGCTATTAATTTGAAAAGTCTATGGAATAGAATTTTGAAACCCAATTTTTGGATTTTTCAAACTTTTGTTTGCCATTTTTTTCTATAAATGTGTTTTTAGATTAACATGGTCCTGTCATGAACTGTTATCTAGATAGTATAGACACAAACCATTTGCTCAGAATGCATTTTGTCTAGTCTTTACCTTTTTAGGTCTTTGAACAAAGGAGTTTTAGGTTGACTTAGTTCGATTTTTTCCCTAGGGCAACCTGATAAGCGTTTTATGTATTCCCACCTAAAGTCAACAGCTGGCTTCTTTGTAGAGGAAGAAAGAAGTTTTAGGTTGACCTAGTTCGATTTTGGCCCTATGCTTCTTTGGTCTTTGCCGAATAAGCAAGCCGATGACTTAAGCCACTCAAAAAAGCGTTTTATGCATTCTCACATTAAGTCATCGGCTGGCTTCTTTGTAGATGAACAAAGGAGTTTTAAGTTGACTTAGTTCGATTTTGGATCTAGGGTCCTTTGTTTTTTGTCCCCAAGAAGCCATCCTCCCCAAAAAGCTAGGTGAGTATAGATAAAACGCTTTTTCGGCTGGCTTTAGTCATCGGTTGGCTTCTTCGTAAAAGACCGAAGGGTTGTCTTCAATTTCTAGAGGATTACTGAAAAGCCTTTTTGTAGAAATACTCTAAAACCTCTTTAAACTATAGGTGATCTTCCATCTGTCGTCCATGTCTTTTTTCATCCAAAAATCCACTTCAATCAATTGTGGCACGCGTCTCAACTCTTCCAAAAAAGTTTTGAGTTTAAAATCCAGCTGATTAAGTTTTCTATACTCCCCCTATTTTTCAATACGGGCACACAAAAAAAAACGAAAACAAAAACAGAACACAAAGATAACATTTTAATGCAATTCAGTAATTATGGAAGATTAGAAAACCAGAAAGAAACATTCTGAAATAGCCATGTGTTTTTTACCCACAAACACAGCATCCGCCAGAGCACTTGTTCGTTTGGCCAATTCAAAACAGTGTTGTGCTGATAAAAAATGCTTTTAGAATTCATTACATTCAATATTGCAATATAAAGTCATTATGGTTGAGGTTATGTTCTGAAACACATATACACACGCACACACACAAATGGACAGATGGATATATTTTTATGATTTTGATACGCTTTTGTTTTTGTTGGTGTTGGGAAAACACTTGGCTGAATTAAGTCAACCAAGAAAAGCAAAAAAAAAGCCAGACACCACTTGATATTGGCCACACACAAAACAACAAATTTCAAAGACATGGACCAGTAAAATATCAAAACCAACAACAACATGACATGGGAACACTTCATGTGAAGGCATAACGGAACCGGCACCTTATTTCTCCCCCTCCCCAGATGTCATAACCCAGCCAAGTAATTCAATTCAAAAGTTAAGTATGATACAACAGGAACAACAACATCCAACAATAAAAGGGCAATCTCTCCCTCTCGCCGCCAATTATGTTAATGGTTTCAATATAAAATATTGTACATACTTATCTACTTAGAGTTCCGAAAAATTATTATTGACGGGTAATTGTGGTTTTTTCGGTGTTTGCTGTTGCGGGATTGAGACATAAATTAAACACCATACACATTTTGTTTAAGTGTCATTTAATGAGCCATCCCACCCTTTTGCCTATAATTGCTAACAAGGACTCAAACCACCCCCGAACTTCTGCTTTACATTTTGCTACTCTGTTCTCTGTCAAAATGGGCATGCGGTTTTTCGTGTGTTTATTATCTTTCCAATTTTCGCCACTTTTTTGAACATCGTCGTTAATCGTTCGCCCGCTTAACTTTTGTGTACATTTTTTGTGACAGCAGGTCCATAATTCTTAATGGCATTTGTTTGTTTTGTTCATTTTTGCCAAGTAATTTATAAATGTAAGTTGTGTAAACAGTGTATTATTGCCTCACCCCAACGCCCATGGTAGAAGAATACAGGTAGATGCATCAACGCTTGAGAACATTGATATGTCAAAAATGTTAAAATGTTTTGACAAAAACAAGTAGAGCTTTATAGGTTCGATTATTTGACCCAAATCGTGGCTTGTTATGATATGCATTTTTCAACAATTTTTACAAATTTTAATAATTTTTCATTCAAACGTGCCAAACGCCTCACACTTACCTTGGCCGTTTCACTGCGTATATACGCCCTCTTTTCATGGGAATTTTTTCGATGCAAAGGTTTGAGATCAGCTCGAAACCCATTATTGGGATCCTGATCACCATCCAGCACTTCGACTAGATATCTAATATAGAGTATGGCTAATTTAAGGGTTTTAATCTGAAAAAGAAGAAAAATAGAGGGGAATTAGAAAAATTGGACAAGTGGTTTGTAACAAAGTTTTTTTTTTTTTTTTTAAAGCCAGGTCAATAGGGTCAATACATTATTTGTAAGACTTCCAAAATGTGTCTTACAGTACGTTTATATATATGAGGGTTAACCCACTGGGTTTGAATTTAAATTGTCATATCCATTACTTCTATTTCAAATAAATCCTCTCAAAGTAGGTTAACCCTACAAAAAGTTCTAACGTAAACATGGCATTAGTGACGTAGAAACCCATAAGGTTAAAAAAACAATTTCGTCAAAGTTCAAACAAAAAAATACTCCTTGTTGGGCGCCACTTTTTTTATTCATAATAGCCCAACCAACTTTTTTCCACAATTTTCAAAAATAGAACAGTTTTGGTTTGTTTGTTCGGGATACCGTAGTCTTTTGTTGTTGTAAAATGGTCAGACTTTATCCCTTTATTGTTTTTTTTTTTTTTTGTAAAAACAACGTTTGTTTATTAGTGGAGAACGGTGGTAATTTTTACCAGGGGGGAAGGCAAAAATTGTTGGCCTAAATTTCAAAATGGTTAGACTAAATTCCAAAATACTTCAATCCAATCGTCTACTCTCTCAACTTTGGGCGCCTGTATAATTTCATGCGTTAAGGTGAAAGTACATAAAAGGCTTTTTTGACTGGCTTAAGACATTGGCTGGCTTTTTCGTAGAGGAAGTGCCTCTTTGTTCTTTTACGAAGAAGACAGCCGATGACTAAGGCTGGAAATACATAAAGCGCATATTTGGCTGGCTTAAGTCATCGGCTGGCTTCTTCGTAAATGAACAAAGGAGTTTTAGGTTGACCTAGTTCGATTTTGGCCCTAGGCTCCTTTGTTGAGAACGGTGGTAATTTTTACCAGGGGGTAAGGCAAAATTCCAAAATGATTAGCCTAAATTCTTCAATCCAATTATCTACTCTCTAAACTTTGGGCGCCTGCATAATTTCATGCGGTAAGCTGAAAGTGCATAAAAGGCTTTTTTGACTGGCTTAAGTCATCGGCTAGGTTCTTCGTAGAGGAAGTGCCCCTTTGTTCTTTTACGAAGAAGCCAGCCGATGACTATGGCTGGAACGACTGGCCTTAAGCTGGAATATATAAAGCTCATATTTGGCTGGCTTAAGTCATCGGCTGGCTTCTTCGTAAATGAACAAAGGAGTTTTAGGTTGACCTAGTTCGATTTTGACCCTAGGCTCCTTTGTTCATTTCCGAAGAAGCCAGCCAAATAAGCGCTTTATATATTCCCAGCTTAAGGCCAGTCGAAAAAAGCGTTTTATGTATTCTCACCTTAAGGCTAGAAAAGAAATTCTTCTGCTTAAAGGTCAGAATACATAAAACGCTTTTTTTACTTTTTTACAAAGTCATCGTTTGGCTTCGAAGGAGCATAGGGTGAACAAGTATTAATTTTGGGCCAAAATTGAACTAAGTCAACCTAAAACTGTTATTTTTTTTTTGTAAAGAAACCACCGATGACTTAAGCCAGCCAAAAAGCGTTTTAAGATGAAAATACATAAAGCGCTTATTTGATTGGCTTAAGTCATCGCCTATCTTCTTCGTAGGGGAACTAAGCAAATACCTAAAATGGTAAAAACTAGACAAAATGCATTTTGAGCAAATGGTTTGTGTCTACAATACATAGAGTAACAGCTCATGGCAGAAACATGTTAATATAAAAACCACAATTACAGAAACGAATAGTAAATAAAAATCTAAAAAATTCAAAATTTTGGTTTCAAAATTCTGTTCCATAGACTATTCCAAATATTTTCATATTTTCTTAGCGGTTTAAATCAGTTAACATTGGTAACTATGTTGTTATGATATCATAACAACAGAGGTATTTTCACAGGGTTGCCATATTTTGATTCTGTATTGTCCCATCTTTACAAACTAAGGTGTTTTTGGTTGATTTAGTTCGATTTTGGCCCTAGACTCCCACAAAAGCGCTTTATGTATTCCCACCTTTATGTGTTCTTAAGGTGAGAGTACATAAGATGCATTTTTGAGTGGCTTAAGTCATCGTAAAAGAAAAAAGGAGTTTTAGGTTGACTTAGGTCGATTTTGACCATACGTTCCTTTGCCAAATACATAGCGCATATTTGGCCGGCTTAAGTCATCGTCGATTTTGGCCCTATGCTCTTTTATTCGTTTCCAAAGAAGCCAGCCAGATAAGCGCCTTATGTATTCCCACCTTGAGACTTTTCAACCTAACAAGTTTAAGAACATTCGTGATGGAATTCAAGCGTGATAATGTGATTTCTTTATATTTGGCTGGAAAACCGCAAGTGGCTATCGTTAGAGCACTCCAGCATTTAAATGTGAATAAATCATTTGTGTCTGGTACCATCGCCCGTTACCTTGATACTGGTAGGGTTGCTTTACGTCAAGGAAGTAGACGGAAGAAAACAGCAACATTAGCAGAAATGGTTCGAAAAGTAAAGAAGCGACTTGATCGAAACCCACATGGCAGTGGCCGAAAAATGTCTGGTGAGCTGAACATATCACAATATTCCATTCGGAAAATATTGAAAATTGAGCTCGGGGTAAAGCCATTGAAATTCCAAAAAAGTGCAAGAACTTACACCGCGACAGAAAGAAAATAGACTCAAAAGAGCTAAAGAGTTCCTTTGCTTGGCTGAAAGTGGTGAACTGCCGAATTTGTTTTACTCCGTCTCCGATGAGAAAACATTTGTTGTCCAGCAGTTTGTAAACAAACAAAATGATCGTGTTTACTTGCCAAAGAGGTCAGCTGAAAATGTGCACCTTCGATTGGCCACCAGAACTCAAGCGCCGGCCATGGTGATGGTGTGGGCCGCCATAACAACCGATGGTCGCTCGTATTTATCGACCGTAACATCAGAATAAATTCCGAATATTATCGCGAAAATATCCTGGAGGGTGTATTAAAGCCCTGGGCACGCAAAAATGTTGGCCGCAGACCTTGGACATTCCAACACGACTAAGCACTATCGCGCTCAGCTCGCGCCACCCAAAAATGTTTACAAAATGAGGATCCTCGCTTCATTTCCAGCGCACAATAACTATCAAAATCTCCGGATACCAATCCGTTGGACTATTGTGTCTGGAGTATTTTGGAAAGCAAGGTTGCCACTAAAAAATACCAAAGTGTCGATCACCTCAAGCAAGCGCTTTGCCGGGAATGGACCAAAATATCGCTGAGCAAATTCGGGCCGCGTGTGACGGTTTCATTGACCGTTGGAAGGCCATAATTCGTGCCAAATGTGACCATAATCGAACAAATCTAAACTTATTCCAAAATTTGATGCTATTTCCGACATTTTTTGCTTTCATTCAATAAAATTTTAAAAAAAAAATCTAAAAATTATGGCGTTTGACTTAGTTGCAGTTTTTTATCTCTCTCTGTATTTTTGACAGCGATTTGTGATTTGACTCTCTTTGAATTTCAAATCACAATTATTGTTCTGTTCCAGAACCTGCAAGAACTTATTATTTTTCGATATCGTAAAGGAAAAGTTGGTAATCGTATTAAAAAACTTTTACATTCTTGCAACTCTGGAACAGACCATATGTTTTTGACAGCAAACTTGGTTGTCAGATAGGCTTTGGAAGGGGTATGCAAACACACTTAAGGTGAGAATACATAAAACGCTTTTTGACTGACTTAAGTCATCGGCTGAATTTTTTCGTAGAGGAATAAAGGAGTTTTAGGTTGACTTAGTTCGATTTTGACCCTACGCTTATTTGTTCTTTTCTGAGGAAGACAGCCGATGACTTAAGCCAGTAAAAAGCCTTTAATCAAACTGAGAACAAAAATAATGAAATATCACTCTACTCACCTTTGACAATTTCGTATCGGATGGCACATTTGGAATCTTATCGCGCAAACACGAAAATGCATTGTTGATGCTCTGCGTTCGCCGTCGTTCCTTTTTATTTGCCGTGTTCCGTTTCTTTACAACACGCACTGGAGGAACAGAAATAGTTGTATGAGATTTCGGTGAGTCATTTGTAAACAAACTATCATGAAATTGGCTTTCCACATCTTAAAACAACAATAATAGAAGAAAATTTTCACTTGGATTACAAAAATTAAATGGCTGGAAAATTTATGATTGGCAACAGAAAAATGCCACGAAAATGAGAAATTAAATTTGTAATTCTGTTGGGAAATTGTTGTGAAAAATTACCTTCTAAATCGGATGAGGAGGCAGGACAATAACTGCTGGGTGATCGATAATAAGGATGGTTATTACTGGCATTTATGTTGGCGGTTAGCGTGCAGGTTGTGGTAGTTGGTTGACAACAGTCTTGGGTTTGTTGCTGTGGCGACGGCTGATGCAATTGCTGGTGGTGATGTTGATGATCCTGATGATTTGTTATTTGATGTTGTTTGGTATCCACACAATATGTGGGTGTATTCCAGGCATCTAGAAAATCAGAAATTGATATTTTTAAAACTAGGAAATAAATATATGGTTTATTCCAGAACTGCAAGAATGTAACAATTTTTACAACGATAACCGATTTTCCTTTTAATTTTTATCGAGACGCTCTCCAGTGCTCCCGTACACAAAAAATGCAGCACAATTCTTAGAAGAGTAGTTTTTAGAAATTTCCATTTTTAAACTTTTATCGGTTAAAACAGTGAGTGGGAAAGCAGATATTGAACGCCACCGATGTAGTTAGGGGTGTGAGTCAAGTTTTATACATTTCCATGGGCTCATGGAGTGGTTTTGAAAGGCATTTCCAATGACGTCGGTGTTGGGCCCCCATAGTATGCAGATTCGTGTGTTATTAACGGCGGCAAAACATTTATTCATTAATTTCACTTTTTGAAATATTTCAGATTCCTTCGGTACCATTACTGGCTTAAAACTATATATATATATGGATGGAAGCACGAGCCAGATTAGTATTGTCATACAAAATTCATGTTTACATATTCCAATGACATTTTTCATTCAATGACATATTTTTATTTAAATTTCACCTCCACATAAAGTTATTACAATTTTGATATCTTGTTATTTTAAATATTATTTTCGTATTTTTTTTCTTCTAAAATAAATTTATAACCTACGTTCAATTACATTCATGTCGATCAAACGATAACTATCATTATTATAATATAAATGATTATTTTGAAAGAACGGCGTTGATTCGCGACATATTTGTTGTGTTTCATATTTCGACATATCGATCTGTTGTTGATTACTTCTTCTATTAGACAACTGTTATACTTTCACTCAATACAATTTTTTTGTTTGTTTAGTTTTTTTTTCTTTATATTCAACACTTTAATTTCTCATGTTTCAAAAGTAAACCGTTACTCGTTTGTGTTCGAACAAGATTTGTATCAATACTGAAATCAATTCAATTCTAAATGTTTTCATTTCAATGAATGTTTCTTTTTGCGCGGAACAATAACAATTTCAATGTTATTTTCTATAAACACACAAGCGAACAGAGGCAGGTCTTTATTTTCCACCCCCCAAATGCTCTCAACCAATGAGAAGAGAGCAAAGATTATTGTCATGATTTCTAATTGGTCCATTAGAACTCCATATTGTTTTCATGTCATTTGTAGTAGTTGCCACTTTACTATAGGGTTCATTAGATCGATATTCACATGGGGGTAAAAATGAAACAAAAAACATATTTTTACTTTGTTTCTCTTTCTTTTACAGGCCTGTTTAACACCGAATACAGAATACCTCACCTGCCCGGCCGTATTGGGTAAATACGCAAGGTCACATCTTCAAGCCAACCAAGTAAAAGAAGGGTAATTTAAAATATTAAATTCTTCCAAATATAGCCCAACAGTACGGTTACAAATAAATGGGTTAACCCGCTGGAGTTAGATTAAAATTGTTATATACATTACCTATACTTCAAATAACTGGCTTAAGTCATCGGCCGGCTTCTTCGTAGAGGAACAAAGGAGTTTTAGGTTGACTTAATTCGATTTTGGCCCTACGCTCCTCTGTTAAGCCAGCTGATGATTTAAGTCAGCCAAAAAGCGTTTTATGTATTCTCACCTTAATTCTTCTACGTATCTGCACTTTGCTTATCTTCTTTATCTCTTTTCCAGTCTTATTTGAAACTTCGTATGATATAAACAAATTGATGCAAAAGCTCGGGTAACCTAGTCGTGAACCCACGAGAAATGCTATAATAAATTTCATAAAAATGTGCGTGTTTGCACTAAAAATGCATAGCTTTATAAGAGTTTCATGAAAATACTCTTTTGTCTCTGTAATATGCTAAATTATCGACGAACCGATTATTAGAAGCTACTCAAATGTCGATTTTAATTCATTAGATTAGTATAAAGTCGATCTACGTGACCCTATTACTCAGCTACTTATTATAAAGTCGATATACGTGACCCTATTAAGGGCTAAGTACATAAGAAGCTTGGAGTCATGGCTAGGCATGTTTTGTGACGTTTCATAAAGGGATTACAGAGCCGCACTAAAATCCTGCCGTCGTTTTCCATTATAATTTGACTTTAATATGCCTAGCCATGACTTCAAGCTCTTTATGTATTTGCAGCTTTACGATAACTACAGCTAGAGCCGACGGAGAAATCAAACTTTCCTATTTCGTTTCATTTTGTTCTTCCCTACTTTTCATTTTTTTCTGCAGGCCTTTGCATAGATTTTATTGCTCAACTTCTCCTTACAATCAATTCATTATACCATTTTACGTTAAACAAGTTGAGACCCAAGACCGAGTTGTACTAATGCTAAGTTCACATGGCACGTGATTTGCTCTCTATTCGTTGTTCGACCATTAATTAAGAAATATCTACTTAATTCCCAGAGCGAACAACGTGATTGAAAGTGCAATGAGAACATAGCATAAAAACACCAGATGAACGAAACGCCTGGAACTAGTTCCGATCGTTCATTTCACGAAACGTTCATTTGAACCATTTAACTCTTGGACGACACAGCTCTAAATTTGGCCACACATTTGGATTGGATTTCTTTAATTTCTTTCTCGGCAGGAGCGTTTGTGTGGCGTTTGACAGGATTAAAATACGGACATGGAGGAGACAATTAGCAACGAAACAATAGAAAGCAATGACGACGAACTGTTGGCAAAAGAAAAACTAAATCAAAGACGTGAAGCCCGAAGACGTAAGATTTTGGAAAATGCCAAAAATCGTTTGGAAAGGTTAAATGGCCGAACAGTTTCACTCAATAAAGACGAAGCTCCTCCTAGCACCGAAAGACGACAAATTAAAATAGAATATGAACATTCAAATGGTAAGTAATTTACGAGTGACATGATGTCATAAGTGGGTCGAAGGGAAAAAGGATGGGTGGTCATAAAAAACGGCGCCGGTTTTGAGGCAATTGTAAACAAGTTGAGTTACACAATGGAAGGCATGGTAATTTGATGTCAGAAACGATGTGGCCGTTTTAAGGTATTTTAAATAAAAAATTATCATCTTCGTGGTGGCTCTGCCTACATTTTAAACCAAAATATTTGGCCAAAAGTATACTTTGTTCTCAAATGGAAAGCTAGTTTTATTTATCCTAAATAATCTTTATATTTGCTTATAGGTCCAACGACAACAGCAAATGAAACTGCTGACTTTTCCGATCCTGAAGTAGAACCAGACATTTTACCTCATGAAATGAGTAAGTCTTTCTTCAACCCCTTCCCATATATTAAAAAATTGCTAACCTTTGGTTTTTCGTTTTTGCAGGACAATTCATCAGGAACAGTGGTGGTTCATTACCCTACAATAGCTTTGACTTGAATACTGCAACGCTGCAAGATGAAACGCCTACCAATGAATTAAATGACTTATTGAATATGTTCCAAAACGTCCCGACTGTCAAAGAACGCCACGTACTCGTAAAGGCACGCTTACATCTAATTGTATCAGCTTTAATCTCTACAATATTTGCAATATTTTGGCCTCAAACTGGTTATAGCATTTTCGTTTTACCCGGCCTGTGTGTTATTACCGACTTGCTATTTTTCCGAGAACAAAAACCTTTGCACCCCATATTGAATATGATATTTATGGTATTTAGCAATCATTTGCCACCGCAGGCACAACAATGTTTACACATCTTCACCATTGTACAGAGTATAATTGTCGATTTGGGTGTCTTCGTTTTTAGTTTCTGCACGCTTTTCTATTTGATATCGCTTTGTACAAATAATCAACTTACCGGTCTCATGGTAATTAAATAAGAATGGTGTTTTGAGCTTTTTAATTTTCTGTTCACATCGATTTCATTTTGTGTTATAATTTACGTACTTTATTATATTTTGTTTCGTATCAAAATAAATAATGCATAAAAGACATTTATTAAGGTAATGGACTATATGACGTCTCTTTTTAACTTTTTAATATTCGAAGGGACCTGTGTTTTGCTTGGTTGGGGGCATGGTAGAAGAATACAGTAGATACATCAACGGTTGGGAAAATTGATGTGTCAATATTCTTAGAATGTTTTGTCAAAAATAAATAGATTTTTATACGTTTTCTTATACGACGCAGATCTGCGGTTGCTATTACATGCATTTTTCAACAATTTTCTATAATTTTTCGTTCAACATTTTTAATTCCAAAATCGATTTGACAGTTCATTATCACAGCAGCTGTGACGATGGGAGTATCCGTATTCTTCTACCATGGTTGGGGGCTGCAACTTTATATTAGTCTGTGAGAACCGTTAGGTACAACAACTTTTAAAAATGGTTACACAAATACTAAGTGTAAACACGGCTCTGCATTTTATGTTCTGTATCATGTAAAGAGTAGCAAAAGCTGAATAATCTTAACCCTTTCGCTCCATTGTATCCATATGGATACATTGAACTTTAAACTCATCTTGCAATTTCGGAATCGATGTTTTGGCCTAAGTATATACAAATACTTGTTATTTGAGGCTTTCTTAACAAGTTTCAAAATAAATTGTAGTTATTCTTAACAAAACTGACAAAAATATAGCAATTTAATAGAAACAATTTTTTCCGTATTTTTTTTTTCGTAAAAATGGTTATTTTATTTTGCAAAATACATGCATAAATACCAATATTATTTTTTCTACAACTTAACAGTTATAAAGAGCAACGTTTATTTTATCTTTCGCCATTAATAATTTTTGATTTTAAAACAAAGGAAAGCTCTGCCGATTTTTTAAAATTGTATGTATCCATATGGATACAAACGAGAGTTGTGGTAGTAAACATTATCCACGCAAATCATTTGCGTTTGATGTTGATACGATACAGACGTTATTTTTCTGCACTCATACAATATTAAAACATAAAAAATGGCAAACAGGCTTAAAAATTCTGAAATTGAAAAAAATTTAACCAATTTTGATGATTCGGATATTTCGGATGAAACGGAAAAATCTGAACTTATAAGCAACTTGTACAATGCTTTTGAAAATAATAACAGCTTTTTAGTAGAAGAACTTTCATGAGAAGGTCCATATGAAATTATCTTACAAGATATCAATGTTGATAACGATAACGATGCAGGCGATGGAATTATTGAGATCGAGGAACGTCTTGTAGGAGAGGTAACCGTTCAAGAGAGTCCAATAATTTCCGAAACTCCACGTGTTCCACATTAAAAGGCTGCACAATTTCGCTGGAAAAAAGATAATTTGGCTAACCAAGATACTTCATTTTCTGAAACATATCCCAAAAAAATATGAAATCGCCTGTCGAGTATTTCTCGGAGTACTTTACAGAAGACTTCCTTCAACAAATAGTATATTCAACAAACCATGCATCAATGGCTAAATGTGGAAAGTCTCTAAATTTATCAAAGGATGAACTAATAAATTTTATAGCTCTAGAAATACTGATTGGTACCATTGGATATCCGCGTTTGGATATGTATTGGAAAATGGGCACCGTAATACCATCATTCCCAGAAAATATGAGCAAGAATAGATTTCATTCTTTGTGAAATAATTTAAAGTTTACAGTAGACCAACCAGCAGACGACAAGCTCTTTAAGGTTCGTCCTATAATAAATATGTTCACAAAAAAGTCTTATCATATTCCAAAAGATGAAAATCTTTGTGTGGATGAAATGATGGTCCCTTTTAAGGGAAGAACTTCATTGAGACAGTATATGCCTAAAAAACCCATCAAATGGGGAATGAAAATATTTTGCCTATGCAGTTCAAAGGGTATAGTTTATGATTTTGAGATATATCAGGGAAAAGGAACAATACTTTCAGGCGAAGGGCTAGGTTTTTGTTCTGATATTGTAATTCATCTTGTGAAAACTGTTCCAGAGGAAAAGAATCATAAACTATATTTTGATAATTATTTTACGACTCTTAATTTGTTATTATATTTACGGCAGAAAGGAATTTGGGCTACTGGTACTATAAGAGGAAATAGAGTCGGCAAAGTTGAATTAAAATCTGAAAAGGATTTGAAAAAAGAAGGACGTGGTAGTTTTGACTACCGGGTAGAAAGAACAGATAATATTTTTCTTCTTCGATGGCTTGATGGAGGAATTGTGCAACTCGTGTCATCAATTCATGGCCATGAGCCCATTAATAAAGTGTCCTGATTTTGTGTTGAAAAAAAGAAAAGTATTAATGTAACACAACCACACATTGTATCAGAGTACAACAAGAATATGGGAGGAGTAGATAAAATGGATTTTCTTCTTTCGTTGTATAGAATTTCTATTAGAACTGGAAAGTGGACTCTAAAAATATTTGACCACTTTATTGATTTGGTTGTATGTAACTCGTGGTTAGAATATAGAATGGACCACGAGAAAAATAATATGAAAAATCAGCATGTGGACTTACTGTGCTTTCGAAATGATATTGCTGATGGCCTTTTAGCTCGATCAAAGCAGCAGGCAAGTTCTCGTGGGCGTGGACGCCCAACATTATGCCAAAATGAAGAATCTTCAACTAACGCAATGACCCTCAAGAGGAAACGTCAAGCCACACCTTCAAATTCTGTTCGATATGACGGTTATCAGCATTGGCCAGAACACATGACAAATAAAGGTAGATGTAAAGTCGAAGGATGTAAAGGACAAACACGATTTAAATGTTCAAAGTGCAATATTTTCCTGTGCATTCCCAATGGATCGAGAAACTGCTTTAAGGAATACCATCATGTGAAGTGAATAATTTTTTCTTTTCAGATTATACTTTATATATTAAATATGGATTAATAATTTATTTTGTGTTATTTTATTGTAATGATATGCATTATATTTTTACTTGTTTTAGTTTCTACATAAAGCAAAATTTGCTCATAATCAAAAAATTACTTTTGTATTTCAAAACTACTAATAAAAATAAAATTTCAATAATTAAATAAAATAACATACCAGCATTTTTATTTACCACTCAGTACTTTTGTATCCATATGGATACATTCTGAAAAACACATTTAGGATTAAAATTTTTAAAATGTAAGTATTGATTGTTATTTACACAGCAAATAATAGTAGAAATCCAAAAAATTCGATTTTTTTAGCAACCCAGTAAAAACTTGTAGCGAAAGGGTTAAACTCAAAAGAACAGTGGCACAATTACAGCAAATAAATGAGCAATTCCATTCATGTTTTTTTCTATACCTATGTGTCGCCATGTTATTTCATTGTGTTGTATAGACAGTTACTAAAAGTATTGTTTTCATTTCACTTCATACACCCTGTGTGTTCCATTCCTGTTGTTCCGTTAACGACAACACACAAAGAACAAGAAAACTACCCAAGACAAGCATTACTCGACAAATTTACAGAGGTTTGTGCAAATTATATTTTTTTCCGAACAAAAGCCAACAAATATCGCTGTTTCTTCAGGAATATAGAAAAGGAAAGCAATCACATTATGACGGTTACCGAAGCAAATGTAAAGGATACCGAAATGGAGGTGGATCCAAGTGAGGATACCACAAATAAAGATCAAGATGTGGTGCATATTTTAGAAATCCGTGAACATATTCGCAAAATTGATAAGGCCGTCATTAGCAATGAATACCGGTAAGATTTACATTGAGTTATTAGGAACACAATTAATATGTTGATAATTCCAGCTTCATTGCCCGTGTATTGCGGACATTGCCCAGCACAAGGCGTAAACTGAACGGTGTTGTTCTACGTTTCTTGGCCACAATTGTTTATCCACCTGGGGCTGAACGTGAAGCTGCCTTGGCATTTGCCCCAGCCGTGGCTGCTGGTAGCCAAGAGCCCAAAGTGCAAAAGGTGCGCACCGCCACCTCTACTCCAATTATTGAAATTGATGCATATTTCCATTTGTTGTTGCTGGTGAAACTCATCGATGACAACGAATTGAAAAAAGCCTCAGCCTGTTCCGACGCCTTGTTGGCTAAGATTCAGGGACAAAATCGCCGTAGTTTAGATTTGATTTTGGCCAAATTCTATTTCTATCATTCTCGTGTAGCCGAGCTTACCAACAACTTGGAGGGTATACGTCCTTTCTTGCATGCCCGCCTACGCACTGCTACTCTACGTAATGATTTTGAAGGTCAAGCTGTCCTGCTGAATTGTTTATTAAGGAATTATCTACACTATTCGCTGTATGATCAGGCTGATAAATTGGTTAAGAAGTCAGTGTACCCGGAATCGGCCAGCAATAATGAATGGGCCCGATTCTTGTACTATTTGGGTCGCATCAAGGCAGCCAAATTGGAATACAGTGATGCCCATAAACATTTGGTACAGGCTTTGCGTAAAGCCCCCCAAACTGCAGCGGTTGGTTTTCGTCAAACTGTTCAGAAATTAATTATTGTGGTGGAGTTGCTTTTGGGTAACATCCCGGAGCGTCAAGTTTTCCGTCAGGCCGCATTGCGCAAGTCATTGGCACCCTATTTCCAACTAACCCAAGCTGTGAGATTGGGTAATTTAAAACGATTTGGCGAAGTTGTGGAGAATTTTGGTCCCAAATTTCAACAGGATCATACCTATACTTTGATAATACGTTTGCGTCATAATGTCATTAAGACTGCCATCCGTTCGATTGGTTTGTCATATTCCCGTATCTCGCCGTCAGATATTGCCAAGCGCCTTATGCTTGACTCACCCGAAGATGCAGAATTCATTGTGGCAAAGGCCATACGTGATGGCGTCATTGAGGCCACTCTAGATCCTGCCAATAATTTTATGCGTAGCAAAGAAAGTACTGATATCTATAGCACCCGAGAACCACAGCTGGCCTTCCATGAACGTATATCATTCTGTTTGAATTTACACAATCAAAGTGTTAAGGCTATGCGTTATCCTCCCAAATCGTATGGTAAGGACTTGGAAAGTGCCGAGGAGCGTCGTGAACGTGAACAGCAGGATTTGGAACTGGCCAAGGAAATGGCTGAGGATGAAGATGATGGTTTTTAAACTAACGAACGCAGTTCTTTAAATTTTGATATGGCATATAAAAAGCTGTGCTTTCTTATTAACGATTTATCGAGTTCATTCTATACCATTTATTATCGCAAACTTAACAGTAATTAAAAATAAAATAATCGAAAATTAAGATTTAAATATTTTACATTTTTTGGAAAGAAAAGGAAGCTATTTAATTTCGAAAAAATGTAAAAATAAATTCAATATTGAAAGACTGGAAAGGTTTATAAAAACTATTCGAAAAACCCACAATTTTTAAAGAAACTGTGAAGGCTTCTTTTTTTCTATTCTAAATAGGATTCTTCTCCCAAAAGGCATATGGAGGCAACACCCTCTCCCCAATAAATTTGTTTTTGGTTAGCCTTCAAATTAGTGTTGTCGCCTTAAAAATCCAGTTTTGTTCTATTTTTCTTGTTTTATTAAATAAGTGCTGGAAATGCAGATACATAAACAATTAATGATGCTTTATGTAGGCTTGTATAAATGTTTACATTTCATGATGCTTTTAATGCTCGCTGACCCTTTCGAAAACACTTATGTACTCTCCATGGGTTCTATGGTTTTTGGCAGTAGCTTGGGTCCGTACAATAGAACGTAGGCACAGTGCCAGTCTCCACCACCCGAGAGACGTAAAATTTCTTCACTCGTTACCGATGACACCACATCGTCATCAAACTTGAACCAAACCTCATCGGTGTGCTTAACCCAAGCCACATAATGGCCGGATGTCGATGAACGTCCCTTGTGTGTTAATACCGCCTGGAGTGTATAAAAACCGGAATTATTGCTACCCACATCATCTTCAAAATAGTATGGTTCATATTCTATTTTAGGTTTTTCATCGCCCTCTTTCGACTTAACTTCCGCCAAAGGATCTTTGATCTGTTTTTCCAGCTTCTTATCTTCTAATTCCTTGAATTTCGCCCTCACTGGACAAAGTTTGTTCTGCAAATCCGGGGTACACAAGTCAAAAGCATCAAATTCCAAGGGGAACTTAATGTCTTTCAAGACTTTTGCATTGATTCCCTCCTTGCCTTTGTATTGGAAACGTACAAAATTGATGGTCAGATATGCAGGCAGACGGCTAATTAAATACTGGAGATAAAAATTATTACTAAAATAAAATTTCAAGCATTTACTTTTCAAATCCCTACCGATCTTGTGTAGTTGGCATCTCTTCCCAGAGATTCGGAACGCTTTACTAAAGTCTCATTCAGTTTTGATTTCAAACCGCTGTGCATGTATTTCACTTCGGGCGAAATAAAACAACTTAATTGCAAAAAGTTTTCCTTGGATGTGGTTGTTTCTTCCTCAGGCGCTTCGTTACAGCTCATTTTTACCTCAAAACTTCCACCGAAATATTGTTCTATGAAAGAACTGTAAATGAATTTCAATATTATTAGTAGACGTTTCAAAACCCTGGTGTTACAAAATCAACTTACTTGTACTTCTTAACTTGCTTTTCGCCTTCCCCTCCTTCCGCTTCTTTCTTATTGGATGATGGCAATTTTTGTTGCAGCATCTTCAAGAGTTCAGACCAACATTCATTGGCATCTTGTTGACGGTATGTGCCATTTTCACCGGTTTGGGCAAATTGTGGAAAGGCACGATGCAAAGTACCCAATAAAACAAAGGGGGTCACAGTACTTCCGGTACGTTCCATTTGCTTGAAGAGGAATTTCATGGCCGAGGTAATGGCCAATGGCATTGAATCAGCATCGGCCGTTTCCACACGGAAGTTGTCTAAAGCCTCACGCAATTCAGGAATTGCCCTTAAACACTGGAGCGTGGCATTCATATAACAGGTATTGCCTAAGTTTGTTAGGCCGGCTGGTACTTCCATCTACAAATCAAATATGACAATATAACAAAAACATAGAAAAACAACAACACGAAAATATACTTACAGCTGTGGCCATTTCCGCCTCATTCATATCTTCGATAAATTTAACTTGTTCTACTGGTTTTTCAGGCACTTGTTCCTTTGTGCCCAGCAACAATATGGTGGCTCCCTGGAAACAAAATAAAAAAGCTTATCTCTCTCCATCTTTCATTTAATTTCCATACAAAGTCACACCTCTTTAATTTGCAAATTCCATTGGTCATCTTTCAATATACCTCCCTTACACATAACCTTTTGTCTATCCGGAGCCACCCCCGTCAATGCAAACAGTTGTGCCTTAAACAAGATGGGTTCCTCATCCGTGTTGACTTCAATGTCGGGAAACAATTCACGACCCCACTTAACTTTTACTGCAAATAAAAAAACAAAGGAATTGTTTGCAAAAAATTTTGTGCAAAATTTGTATTCCATGCCAGGATTACTCACCTTTGAATTGTGGCATTTTTATTTAGATTTTATGATATTTATTTTATTACCGGCTTATAAATCTACTAAATTACAATGTTTTTTACAAAAATTAATATGCTTCTAGGCTACTCGGCAAAGTGAAAAATTTAAAAGTCATTTAATTTTGGCATTTGCAAGCAAAGATAATCACGTCGTTTCCATGCACTGCAGAAACGATGGGGAAACGAAACACTACAGGGTGCATTTGGGAAATATTTTTTGACATTAAATCAAATGTAGTTAATGAATAGCAAGAGTAAAACAGAATCTTTATCAAAAGCTGTCAGTTTGCCGCATATTAAGCTCATTTTTGTTTTGTGGAGTCAGAGGTACTTTAACTGCCTTAATTGTGTGAGAGATGCAGGGAATTGCTTCAATAATCAATTTCTAAAAGGTAAGTCAGTAAAAAAAGAAGTGACCTGTTGATGTATTACACGGTAACACATTCATTATAAATCAGTTGTATTCTTCCAATTGGGAGAGAATTAGTATTTAGTATTTGTGTTAGTATTGTGATGCATACTTCTAGGCGCTTATCGCAATTTCTGAAGTAAAAAGGAACGCTTTGTACCATTGTGTAAATATATAGTAAAACATTGGAAAAATTAAAGAGGTAATCTCATTTGCAGATCGGTTAAAAACCCCTTTTTACATTGGAACTTATTAATTATTTTAAAATTAATTCCTTAACTATTTACGCAAGACGAGTGACATATTATTGTAAAATTATGTCAATTGGCTTTAACGTATTAAAAATTAGATCAGTAGTACGATTCTCATCTCTTTTTTCACCTTTACTTTATGTGCCACCCTTCATACCATAAATTTTCAATTATTCTAATCGCACTTCGTACTGTTGTACTCACCTATGAAGATTTATTTCGCATCCGCAGAAGCCTGTTATAATAGATTATATTCGCACACATTGTAATTTGTAAATTAAGGAACATATCAGATAAAAAACCACTACGGTTTCTGTTATTTTTATTTGTATACAATAAGCCAATTAAATTAATTGGTTTTATTGCCGTTGATGAATACTATTCATAACACACAAATTCGCACAATGTACTGATTAAAGCGACATCACACATCATTGTTTACCTCTTTGGCTTTGCACACTTCAAACTTGGTTACCCTATATCGTTTTCAATATAAACATCTGTTTTGGTGGTAAATAAAGCGGTTTATATCACCCTGCATTGTTTCTCTCTCTCACATATTTGTCTCACGGCAACACTGGCTGTCATAACGGTTGCCACTGAGTAAAAAAATTATTGTCTGCCAAAGTGTTCCGAAAATGATTGGACTTTAAATCAAAATCGGATAATATTCTTTTTATTCAAAACAAGTTCTTGCGTGACTTGTTTCTTTTGAGTAAAGACACATTGTATGCAGTTTCTTTGACAAAGATATTAAAACTACCCTAGTCTCTCAGTTGCTGGACAATTCCTACTGGAAAAGTACAAATGTTGCCAAAACATAAGCTTGTTACTGAATATAAACGAGCCTTTTGATTCTGAGGAATCACCATCATCTCCCTTGAACAAGAACATCGCTTTAAAGTAAAAAAAAAATACCAAATTATTAACCCCAACAAAATTTACCTATTTTGGAAGAATTCAACCAACAACGGCAACACTGGCTGTTATCAGCTAGCTCCAACAACTTGCATATGGTCGCGTAATAGTTTATATAGTTTATAAAGAATTTAATTGTGTTCTGGACGATTTAGTCTAGTCTAAATATCCAAGTGATAACACAAACTTTGGTTCGGACGTTGCATACGTTTGGAAAATGCTAAGATTACCTAGTTTCGTGCGACCATTAAGCCGACAACTGCGGTGTTTTTCCACTGGCTCGTCTTCCTGTTGGGCCAAATCGAGCAACGACAAAAACGGGCAAAATGATCCACAAGCACCCAACGAAGAAAATCCAATGTCAAGAACATTCAACATTTTAAAGACGGATTTAAATAAATTTACGGATAAATTCAAATCCAACAAAACATCGACTCAGGAGGAAATAAGTGATGAAGAAAAACTGAAACGTTTTGAAGGTTGCAGTTCGCATGATGGCCCCCAGGATATCTTTCAAACACATTGTGATGTTCTGGTGATTGGAGGTGGTGGGGTCGGTTCTTCAGTGGCCTATTGGCTCAAACAAAGGGCCAGGGATGGTCTAAATGTCGTCGTAGTGGAAAGGGACTCCACGGTAAGTAAGGCAATTCAAAAAGCCCTATAAATAAAAAAAATTATCAATTTATAGCCCCTTTATTTATCTCAAATCAACAACTAATTTGAAGTGTTTTTTTTTTTTGGATGTGTCTGTCTTTCTCTCTGTTCGTCCGCACTTAGTATGAACGAGCCTCTTCAGTTTTATCAGTTGGCGGGCTACGACAACAATTCTCACTGCCGGAAAACATACAAATGTCTTTGTATGGTGCGGATTTTATGCGAGATGTAAAGGAGCATTTAGGCGACGATGTTGAGTTGAATTTTACGCCACACGGTAAGCTTATCTGAAAGTGGGTGTGCTTTGTTTTTGGTATTAATTTGATTTTTTTGCTAAAGGTTATCTGGTTCTGGCCTCTGAGGAAGGTGCTGAAACACTGACGCGTAATTCTAAGTTACAAAATGAATTGGGTGCCCGCAATGAATTGCTGAATGCGAATCAATTGAAGGCGAAATTCCCCTGGATCAATACAGATGGCATTGTTTTGGGTAAGTGTTGTAAATATTTAGCCACTTGGGAAAGGGGTTAGATAATTAGCAATGTAGGAGAGTAAAAAAGAATAATTTGATTTAATACATATGGATCTTTCTAATGTCGAATGGACTACGATATTAGAAAAGATTTTTTCTCCTTTATGAAGAGAACTCTTCCCCATCACAAAACTGTCTTTAAGAACTTCTTCGTTTTTCTATTATCTTGTCTTCTATATGAGTAGATCATCGTTAAAATTACAAGAATGGCAGAATTTTCCATCTGCATTACAAGGTCATTTTTTAAATTTAGAATTCAATCCCTCGTTCCCCGTATTTTTACTCAAGAACACTACATCTCTAAACAATGTTTTGTTGTTATGTTATGTTCGTCAAAAAATAAACATTTTCCATTTTTGTTTCTAGGTTGTCATGGTCTAGAAAAAGAAGGATGGTTCGATCCCTGGGCCCTGCTGATGGCCTACAAAAAACGTGCCAAAGAATATGGCGCCCATTTCGTAAATGGTGAAGTCGTGGGTTTCGAAATGAAAGATCAACCCGACATTATTGTGCGAGGCAATACGGAAGGCGATTATCAGGCCTTGGATAAAGTTGTGGTTAAAATGGCCGATGGTGAAACAAGAACAATTAAATTTGCCATTTGTGTTTTGGCAGCGGGAGCATACTCAGGAAATATTGCTCGCATGGCCAACATTGGTATGGGAAAAGGACTGCTGGCTTTCCCATTGCCTGTGGAGCCAAGAAAACGTTATGTCTATGTTATAAACACCCAAGGAACAAATGCTCCTGGATTGGGTACACCCTTAACTGTGGATCCTTGCGGCACCTATTTCCGACGTGATGGCTTGGGTGGCAACTATTTGTGTGGCCGTAGCCCCACATGTGAGCAGGAGCCTCCGGTGGATAATTTGGATGTGGATCATGAATATTTCGAAACAGATATCTGGCCTAGTTTGGCAAATCGTTGCCAGGCCTTCGAATCGGCCAAGGTTGTGAATTGCTGGGCCGGCTATTATGAATATAATGTTTTCGATGAGAACGGCATCATTGGGGCCCATCCATATTATAATAATATGCTTATTGCCACAGGATTCAGTGGCCATGGCATACAACAGACACCAGCCGTGGGCAGAGCCATATCGGAATTAATTATTGATGGACAATTTCGTAGCATAGATCTGACACGTTTGGGTTTCGATCGCATTGTTGTGGATCGGCCCATGTTTGAGACGAATATTGTGTAGCAAAATGCAAAAAAATGTGATGTCCTTAGGAAGGCTATAATAATTTCAATGAAATAAAGTGTTAAATAAATTTAGTGTAAAATTTTTTTTGATAATCAAACTATTGTTGTTGTTTTTTTAATGTTTACACAATAAACATGATTTTTAAAAACAAAACTTTAAAAATTGTAACTAAGAAATTTGTTTTTTTTTTTTGTTCTAAGAAAAAAAAATTATTTAAATTGTCCTGGGGCGGGTCCAAATAAGCCACCACCTTGTTTGCTGGCTGCCCGGGATGGGGCAAAGCCCAATAGTTTTTGTATATTCTGTCGGATGGACATGGTGCACAGAATATAAAGGAAAATGAAAGAGCAATCCGTGTAATCATCACCGGATAGATTACGATGACTTAGACCTTGAATCCATGAAATTGGTGTAAAGGGTAATTGGGCAACCACACGACCATCAAAGCTAAAGAACAAAAAAATAAGGATTATTTTATTGTTTACATAGTGGGTGGTGGTGGTTGTGATTGTTCACTTACATGCTATTGAACATACTCAATAGAGCTGTAAAGGCAAAACCTGTTGCAAACATTGACTTCATTTTTACCAAGGACAGGTCTCGGTTATTGTTTTTCAATTTTTCCTCATCACGTTCGATTTTCTTCTTTTGATGTTTATCCAGCGATTCGCCATGGATTTCCTTTCTTCTTTCCACTGCAAAAAAAAATCAAAAAAATAAAAGGAAAGATAAGAATTGAAATTTAAACACCATTTGTTTTTAATCTAATCTAAAAGTAAAACAAATGAAAATTTGTTTACATTAATTAAAATAAGCGCGCAATCTTCTACCATGGATTAAGCAAGTGATGGAGTTACTGAATTTCACAACCGGTTATAATTGAAGCTGTAAAATTTAATTTTCAAATTGTGGGCTATAAAAGTTATTTATGGAAAGGTTTTCAGAAGAAAATACAAGTTAAATAGTATCAGTCGGTTTTGCCGACAAATGTATACCCCCAGCCTTGAGTTATGATTATTCCAACTTTTGACCCTTTTTTGGGGAGTTTTCGAAGCAGTTGGCCACTTTTGTCCAATTCGTATCTGACCTCAGACTAATTGTTAAAGTTGGATGTTTATTTCGCGTTTTATGAGCGTTTTGTCTTTCAAACTTTTGAACCCTTTGTGGGGGAGGTACTAGAAGGAGTGGACCGATATATCCCATCTTCACACCTGACCTGTGGGCTTATAAAAATATTGTGATGTGTGTAATTTGAAGGGAATCGGATGCTTATTTCGGATTTTATGATCGTTTTTGATTATTCAAAATTTTAACCCTTTGTGGGAGAGGTACCAGAAGAAATGGTCCGATCTCTACCATCTTTGTAACAGATCTTGTGTTCATAGAAATATTGAGATGTTCTAAGTCTGAACGGAATCTGATGTTTATTTCGCGCCTTAGAAGCTTCATAGATACTCAAAAATTTGACCCTTTTGTGGGGGAGGTATCAGAAGGAGTGGACCGATATATCCCATCTTCACTGTAGATCTTGTGTTAATAGAAATAATGGGGTGTGTGTAATTAGAAGCGAACCGGATGCTTATTTCGGATTTTATGATCATTTTTGATTATTCAAAATTTTAACCCTTTGTGGGGGAGGTACCAGAAGAAATGGTCCGATATCTACCAGCTTTATAACAGATCTTGTATTGATAGAAATATTGAGATGTATCAAGTTTGAATGGAATCTGATGTTAATTTCGCGTTTTATGAACTTCATAGATATTCAAAATTTTAGACCAGAAGGTAGGGAGGTACCAGAAGGAGTGGACCGATATATCCCATCTTCACTGTAGATCTTGTGTTAATAGAAATAATGGGATGTGTGAAATATGAAGAGATCCGGATGATTATTTCGGATTTTATGATCGTTTTTGATTATTCAAAATTTTAACCCTTTGTGGGGGAGGTACCAGAAGAAATGATCCGATTTCTACCATCTTTGTAACAGATCTTGCGTTGATAGAAATATTGAGGTATACTAAGTCTGAATGGAATCGCATGTTAGTTTCGCGTCTTATGAGCTTCATGAATATTCAAAATTTTGACTCTTTGTGGGGGTTAATAAAAATATTGAGATATGTGTAATTTGAAGACAATCTGACTCTTACATCAAATTCTATAAGAGTTGTTATTATTCAAAATTTTGTCTCTTTGTGTGACCGATATTGTCCATTTTCGCACCTGGCCTAGAACTGATTCAAATATTAGGATTTGCAAAGTTGGAGCAAAATGGGATCATCCTTCCTCTTTCTGCGCAGTAAAATATTTTCTTTGAAAATATTGACATTTTGTGGGGAAGGTACCAGATGGAGTGGACCAATATTGCCCATCTCCCATCTCGATCTAAGTTTGAGAATAATATTACGATGTACCAAGTTTGGATCAAATCGGAATTGTCGTGCGCACCATCTAGTCAGACTGACGGCGGGCGGACGGTCACTGCTAGATCGACTCCAAATGTCCTGAAATTGATTTGGTCCAAAGAGATCTAGGTTCTAAAACCATTATTTCGATGAGGCACGTTTTGGATATATGGCTGAGGGTATAAAAACAATTGCAAAATTACAGATATATTGCCAATCTTCCTCTGGCATATTTACACGTTTAAAAGATGTTTGCAAGCCAGCAAGCCTTAGTATCAAGGCCACACTGTTTAGTGGTTAAAATATTCCTCAAAATTATCCTCCCTTTCCTAAGGAATGTTTTGTTGCCATTTTGTTTTTTAATTCCCGTTTTGCACTTCCCAACTAATTGATCATTTTTACACATCCACATGCAACACAAAGGACAGTGAAAGTCTTTTTTTTTGCTTTTGCATTAGGGGATGGACCTAGGAAACAGGTCGTGGCATTTATTATTTATTGTGTCTTCAATTGGCCCAGACGAACACAACATAAACAAGAATATTTTCTATAGTGACCTAGTCCAAATAAAAAATAACAAATACTGCAATATGTTGATGTGGTTTCGGTCTGTCGGTCGGTGTATGTGCATGTTAGATGAAGTTTTGAAGAAGGGTCGTTGTAATCATGAACGATGAAAAATATACACTCTAAGCTAATATCGAAAACCACTTGGCAAAGTTCTGAAACATGAAACAAGTAGAGTGGTTGAGTTATAATCATGGTTCGATTCGGGGTCCCTCAACTGACTACATAATGGATAGACGTACCGGATCCTAAAGCCATCGAATCCATAAAAATTAAATTTGACGTCGTCCTGAAATATAGATTAAATCTGGTAAACCCTTATATGGGTTTCCGTCTCTAAAGAAGCGGTTTAGCGTCTTAAGATCAAGAAATCATAATATACCTTTGAAACGATCAACAAAAATATATTCAAATTTTTGTTTGACCTTTTAGAACACATTTCCATGGTGAATAAGGTAATAATAATAATAATAATAATAATAATAATAAGGAATAATAAGGCTATAACATTTGTTTTCGTTCGTTCTGAATATATATTCTCAAATCTTACTCTGCTTCAAACTCCAGTTCAAAAAGGAAGCGACCTCTATAGGATGAATCCATAGCCATGCGGAAGTTAGGTTAGTAGGTTTGTCTAGCTGTTGAAGAGATGCAGCGTGTCATGTGGACCTGTATCGCAGACGTTTCCGCACATCTTTGTAGCAATAGAGTGAAACAGGGAGTTCCCTACGGAACTGTTTAACCTCTACCTTTCTGGAATTCCTCGCCCTCCAGACGGATGATTTTACGATCATGGCATCGGGCCCAATGGACGATGGCATATGAAAGGTTGAACCCCTATCTCGCGGAGCTTGTCGCATACTTCCATGCAAGGAATATCGAAATATTCGTCACAAAATCAACGGCCACACTCTTTACCACATAGTCAGCGGAGATAAGAACACAGCTAAATGTGCAGGTCGAGGGAAATTTAATACCGACCATGAACTACCCCAAGATTCTAGGGGCCACTTTCGACAGCATTTTCAAGTCTTCCGCGCAAGCCACTGCTATCTGCGACAAGATGAAAAGTAGGAACAAGGTCCTCAAGGCGTTAGTCGGCACCTGCGGACAAAGAAACCTTGTTGATCTCTTATAACGCAATATGTCGGTCTGTGGTCAGCTATGCGACTCCAGTGTGGTCTGCGAATACTAGTGGAAGCACATTCAGACTTGCCAAAATGCTGCCCTGATAACTGCGACAGACTGCCTCTACATGAGGAGGCAAAAGTCCTTGCCTTACGTCAGCATAATCATATGCTTTCGTTGCATTACTTGGTTGGGTGTTATTGTGAGAGTCATCCCAACCATCATATGGTGGATACAACTCGTCCACGCAGGCGTGCCAAGAAGGACATACACGATCTGAAGAGGGAGGTCCAACGCTATAAGAGAGAACCCTTAGGTCAAGAAGCCTATCAGGCAGGTCTGTGTGACATTCATACCGATGGAGTTGCAGAGGCTATCAGCAATTAAAGAATTATTGCCATCCTCGGAGTCCATCCCCCATCTATTGCAGCTGAAGAACGCCAGGGTAGCTTTGGCGCAATAACGTTCAGGATGGTGTAGTCGTCTCAATTCGTATGGGGCACAAATTGACGAAGATGTGCATGACGTCTGCAGGCCGGCACAATACGCTGCACATCTTTAATTGCACAGCCAAACCTACCCAACTCACTCCAGAAGATCTCTGGTTACAGCCCATTAAAATAGACGAATTTTCAAAGCTGGAGAACCAAATTAGCAGAAAGCAAACACCCACATCTACAAGTGCTACAACAACAACTGATTGAGAATACTGTTAAACCACAAATATGATATTATGTCAGCTGCTTCAAAAAATTTCTCATAGAAGAAGCTGGAAGAAGATGGCACTTAGAGACCGGTTTCAAGATTATTATTTCAGCAGCTTCAAACAAATTTCCATCAAAGAAGACGGAGGAAGATTGCACCGGTTGTAGTGTATATAAGGCCACCTGACCGATAATTTCGATAAGAATAAGAAGCTTCCTTCTATCACTTAGGTCTGATCTAAGAATCGCGGTAGGCATGCTGACTGGCCTCAACATGGGAGAACAGTTTTCCCGACTACTGTAAACTATGTGAAGATGAAGAAGAGATAGAGACGACTGAACACCTACTATGCAAATGTCCCATCTTATCCAACAAGAGACATGGGCTATTTGGCTGGTAGGATATAGAAATTCTTAAATCTTTTCAAACCTTTATCCCACCGTTATCTTTAAATTTGCCAAAAAAAATTTCCTGTCTGAGCAGAGCACCCTTCCAACTATACTCTCTTTTCTCTATAAACCCTTCTTTCTCTATCTCTCCTATCACCAACAACTTTATTCTTCCTAGGAAGAACAAAATTGGACCAAAGGTTTCTCAGTGAAGCAGTTGCCGACGTAAGTGCAGCAGCGCATCCTTAAATCAATTCAATCCAAAGCACCTTTATTCAAAAAGTGCCTGAAAATATTTTACAAAGCAGTGTAAGAAATCAACCACACTTGCTCAAAGTTGAGTAGGGGAGCCAACACACCATGAAAGGTCACAAACATTTCAAGACTACAATCCTAAATTAATTTACAAACACACAAACTTTCTCACAACACAACACACCATACCCTAGCAGCTTTCTAGAAATTCCTTGTTGTTCAAAGTAAAAAAAAAAAATACAAATATCTATCCCCCTACTACGACCGACAACCACCGAAAAATTGTAACGTCTGTTAATGTAGTTGCCATGACAGCGGCTATGTTTGAAATAAACAAACTGCCATCAGCAAAAGGATATGAAATTTTTCCCTTTAATACGTTTGTAACGAAAAAACAGCATACGGAACAAAAGTGTGGAAAAATCGACTTAATTTTATGAAGAAGAAATAAAACTGAGTAAGGAAAGAAAATTTGTTGATTATAGAGTGTAATTTGTTTGAAAATGTTCCCACAATCGGAATTGGAAAATTACAAATTACAAGTGGAATTATTGCAAGAAAAATTGCAAAGAAGGTATAAGAGAGAATCGTTATTTGATTTTGTGGAGCATAAAGTGATTTCATGTTTTGCATTATTTTTTTTTAGTGAAATATCACGCCAACAATTGGAACATAAATTGGATAAAATTTTACAAAAACGTGATGAACAGTAAGTATGAATTTAAAACCTATGTAATACAGAATTCACAACGAGGTTTAAAATACAAAAATATTGTCTGAAGACCTGAGTTTGATTGGAAAAATATATAGATTAATTCGAAAGATTTAGTATGAACTCGAAACAACGACGCAGTTAGAATTAAGTAGATAGTGTCGTAAGTGGAGTATACAAGCTGCCTTTATAAAATTGTGTACTTTAGCTCAATTCTAGGTCACTAGAAAGAAAAAGAACATTAAAATTTTTAAGAGAATATTATTTTCATGGAACGTCAACGAGAACCATTCCCTGATATTTATTATTCAGACTATTGGTATGTCAACGTGGAAGAATCTTTTCCAAGAATTTTTTTTTGAAGGCAGCCAAAGGAAGATATTAAAAAAAATTTGTCAGCCAAAGGAAGAAATTAAGAAACTTTTGTCAACATATTTAATTTAAAAATAATCTGACCAAAAAGGGCCGATAAAAAAACTCTCATAAATAATTAAAATTGGTCAGAAATCAGAAAAAAAAACATCTTATTTTGGAAAGGTGAGTAAAAGCTTTTAGGCTGCAAAATTAATAAAAAAGAAGTTAAATAGCCAGGTGTTTTTGCCGACTGAGGTATACCTCCAGGCTTGAGTTATGATTATTCAAACTGTTGGCCCTTTATGGGAGAGGTTCCGAAGCAGTTGGCCAATATTGAGCAATACGTATCTGACCTAAGACGGATATAAATATTACAACGTGCCAGATTTAGACTATATCGACTACTTCCTATACACATAAATATACCTATGTGCAAATTTTTGGAAAATATAGAAATATGCTTGAGGTAACAGTTATGTAGCAGACCGAGGTATTCCATTTTCATACTTCATCTAATAAAGATTAAAATATTGGTGTGGGCAATGAAATCGAACATTAATATCCAATTTTATGCGAAATCACAAATTTCGATATATAACATATTCATATCAGACTTCTGGCTAAGGGAAATTTTTGTCTCTTTGTCTTTCAAACTTTTGAACCCTTTGTGGGGGAAGTACTAGAAGGAGTGCGCCGTTTTATCCCATCTTCACAGCAGATTTTGTGTTAGTAGAAATAATGGGATGTGTGAAATATGAAGAGAACCGGATGCTTATTTCGAATTTTATAAACGTTCTAGTTATTCAAAACTTTTGCCCTTTGTGGGGGAGGTACCAGAAGTAATGATCCGATCTCTACCACCTTTATAACAGATCTTGTTTAGACGGAGATATTGAGATTTGCCAAGTCTGAAAGAATTTTGTGTTTTATGAGCTTCAGGAATATTAAAAGTTTTAACCATTTGTGGGGGAGGTACCAGAAAGAGTGGACCGAAATTGCCCATCTCCGAACTCGATCTAAGTTTGACAAAAATTTTATGATGTACCAAGTTTGGACCAAATCGGATACTCCCTTCGAGAGTTATCGTGCGCATCAGCCAGACAGACAGACGGACGGACGGACATCGCTAGATCGACTCCAAATGTCCTGAAACGGATTTATTCCAAAAAGACCTAGGGTCTAAGACCATTATTTTGACTAGGCAGATTTTGACCGTATCAAATGATATATATATATATATATATATATATATATATATATATATATATATATATATATATATATATATATATATATATATATATATATATATATGTATATATATATATATATATATATATATATATATATATATATATATATATATATATATCCTCTCTAGCCATATGGCTGAGGGTATAAAAATACACTTCCATCAATTTAACTTCAAGTTTTTAGAAGCTGGCCACAGAGATTAGATTTTGAAATGTAGGTTGAATTCATTTACACATATCTCCCACGTTAATTCACCCGCTGGTTATTGAAAGATCCTTTTGTACTTGCAGCGATAAAATCGTGCGGGCAAAATCCAAACAAAAATATCAACAATTTTTGGAAGAACAGCAAAGACGTAATGAACGTAACAAACAATTGGTTGAAATGCTTGAACGTATCGAACAGCAGACGGCAGCGATGAATGCACGCAGTGAGCGACTTAAAATGATGAAGGTACAACAAATATTGACAAACATTAAAAAATTCAAATTCGAATAATGTTTTTCTCCACTCTAGCTCCAATATGAGATGTACTTTGCCAAATTGGTTCATTCTCAGACTCGCAGATGTTTGCAAACATCTGTCATGGCCATGACAACACCACAAATGATGGCTGCAGCATCAACAACATCCATACCCGCCAGTGTGATTGGTGGAGTTTCCGCACAGCCCATGACAATGACAAATATTCATACCCCTGTCGCGGATGGACGTTATCCCGGAGGCTATCCTCCTAAAGTTTATGAAGAGCCAACGTTTATGCCGAACAATTATCAAAGATATGAAATGGATGCGACATTTGATCAACGACGAAAGGATAATTCATCCGATTCTCCGCTAATGGGAATGTCCAATTCCGATATTACTTTCAACTCTTCCTTCAGAAGTAGTGACAGCGCTGATGTGCAAAAAGTTGATATTCCAAGGCCTTATCTAGCACAGGAAAGGCGTACAGAAGTTAATATGAAAATGGATAATGGTACCAGGGGAAACTTTAATTTTCCCAATACCCGAGGATATGAATTGAAATCCCATCCTTCAGAGATTTTGGAAAACTCTAATAAGGTTCAAGAGCTTGATATGTCAATAACTACTACAACTCCATCTTCCATAAGTGATGCCAACAATTATGATGTGGTGATATCTAAACAAAATATGGTACCCCATACTGGGGATACTTTTAAGGGTTTTGAAAATAAAAATGGAACTATTAAGGATAACGAAGAACCAAACCAACGGCCTAGAAACATAATTCCCACACAAAACCCATTGGAATTAAAAAGTGAAATTGTTGTAGACAAAAAGGATAAGGAACAAATTCAGGGCATAGCAACCAAGCCAGCAGTAGTGGAAGACTCTCAAAGAGAAAACACAGAACTCCCTAATATAGAAAAGCAGGATAAGCCTGAAACTATGAACACCGAACAACAAAAATCAAGTGTGGAAATTCCTGATGAAATACCAGAAAAGTCAAGTGTGGAAATTTCTCAACAAAGGCAGTCTGAAGAGGAAACGCAAGCAAAAGAACAGACACCAATAATTGAAGATAAAACCCCAACTACTAGTGCTCCTTCAATGTCAATTGAAAATATTGAAAATGCAATCTACGGGGAATTAGTAAATTCTTCTGAAGGAACAGAGAAAATACCACCCGCAGACATGGCCACAGTACCATCCACTTTGCTGGAAAATTTGGTAACAGAAGCCGCTGCAGCTTCTGAAGAAGTGAACAAACCCGAAATCCAACAACCTAGCGATAATGGCGAAAAATATAACGTAGAAATACCATATGATAGAGAAAAACTTATGCAGGAAATTCCAATGCCCCCGGAAACATATGAATATGTTACAGCCGACACAGTGGCGGATGATGATAATAATGTTACAACAACTGAAGAATATGCTGGCTATGACAGCAATGCCAACATCACAGACGATGGACAGCAGGAACAACAAGAATATGATTATAGTAATTATGATCCATCACAGTATAGCTATCCCGGTTATATTTATGATGAGACTACAGGGGAATATAAACCCGATCCAAATGCCAGTGCCGAACAGTATGCCCAAGATCAACAATATGCCGAGGACTATGACCAACAATATCAGCAACAAGAGGCTTATGATTATAATCAAACATACGATCAGCAGGAAATTCAGGAATCAGATGCAACACAAGATACAGCTGCAACATATGAAAATTATGATACCACCCAGCAGGTGGAACCAACAAGTGCCGTAACTGAAGAACCAGTTCAGGAAGGGGGACAAGAAACACAACAAAATCAAGATGCAACAGAAACCGAATTAACCACTAAGCCCCAGACCACTACTACCAAACCCACATCAATTCTGGCCACGGGTGACAAGAAAGATGGACAGAAAAACAAGAAACGTGTTAACTTTGTGGACAGCAGTGAAACGGATGAGAGCTCAGTGGATAAGGCAAAAACAGTGCCGGCAGCTGCAAAACCAAGTGGTGGAAATGAAAGCGATTTTGATTTTTCCTCAAGCAGTGACATTGCTCCAGAAGCAAAATAAATTTACTTAATTTTTAAACAAGTTATTATTCTGTGAAACACACTTAAATGTTATCTAAATGCTTAAATGAAATTAAAATAAAGGAAAACATTTAAAATATATGTTTAAAAACGTTTTTAGTGGCAATTTTCTAAACGGAAACTAGAGAACTTGCTCATTGCTATTTATTAATTTTCCGCCCGCATCTGCCATTAATGGATATTGATGTAACAATTGTAGAAATACTACTTTTCTTCCCTTATCACAATTAAAACAACAACCCCAAACATCATTTCTAGGCTCGCACGTTTACCCTAATATTTATACAGGCTAAGAGAATTCCTTCCAAACTCCAATTAACTTCCAATCAATATTAAAATCCCATGACTTTCGCTTAACTAGGTCAAGTGCATTTGTTGTGACGGCAGGTGTTACTACTTACATTTCTTGCTCTGCTTTTCCACTTCACCCTTTAGTTTTTGGTACTTTTCAGTGCGGTAGACAAGAACCCATGTAAGACCTGTCAAATAAATAGAACAAAAAACTCTTCAAATTGAATGGACATTACTTCCAAATTTCAAATACATACCTTCGCCCAAAAAAGCGGTACAAATTGATATGAATACAATTAAAATTGTATCGCCCCACATAATGTAAATTTTATAATTAGTTATTAATAAATTCGTTTTATTCGGCTAGTCAGCAAAAAAAAAAAAAAGAGTGAACAGGGCAACGTAGTGCTGGCAGAAAAACGATGGTAGTACCGATAACATTGATAGTTTAAAAGGGACTATCGATATATATAATAATAGGTTCGTTCTGTTACTTTCTCAAAATTTTTGTTAATGATGGAAAATTGTTATCCATTGGGATGGATAGCAAAAATAGATAAAAAAGAGACAGATCCCACTCGTAATTGTTATTCATGATCGTCGAAATATTGTTCCATTCCCTTACGTTTTGGATACTACAGTCTTTGACAGAAAATTATCTATGCAGGTCCAGGTCTTCGTATAGCCCCGATAGGACAAAAGTTGCCACGTCGTCCTATAGACCCTAAAATAACGGCTACATACTGTATTTTTAAGATTTAAACAGAATTTTTAACGTATTTTATTTTTTTGAAAATTGACAAATTTCTTCCAAATCGTGGAGGGTATGCAAAGTTCGGCCCAGCCAAAGTTAGTTGGAAATACATAAAGCGCATATTTGGCTGTCCATCGGCTGGCTTCTTCGTAGATAAACAAAGGGGTTTTTGGTTGACTTAGTTCGATTTTGGGCCTAGGCTCCTTTGTTCATTTTCGAAGAAGCCAGCCGATAAGCGCTTTTGAATAGTTCATTTGCACAGTTGGGTTGTTCTGTGTCACCATGTGAATTTCGATAACCCATTGTTATCAAAAGTTAGCGTTTTTGCTAACTTCCCCTTTTCCCTTTATGATTTCGAAAAAATTGCAAAACTCATGGTAGAAAAATACAGGAAGATGCATCAAAGCTTGGGAACATTGATATGTCAAAAAATGTAAAATGCTTTTTCAAATATAAGTAGATGTTTATATGTTTTCTTATACAATGTCCTTCGGAAGTTATTATAATTCGCGCTTTTTTACAATTTTTACAAATTTAAATAATTTTTCATTCAACATTTTCAATTCCAAAAATGATTTGACAGTTTGTTGTCCCAGCAGCTGTGTCGATGTGTCTACCTAGATTCTTCTAGCGTGGCAAAACTAGTAGATTCTTGCAGCTTATGGAACAGACCAAATATGAACCAAGTCAACTAAGGACTCCATTGTTCTGTTACGTAAAAGCCATCCGATGACCTAAGACAGTAAAAAAAGCGTTTTATTATATTCTCACATTTAACATAATAACATGTTTACATTCTTGCAGGTCCTTCAAAAGAGCTGAATTTAACACTAGTTCCTCCATTTCTATTCAGTGAACAGAAACTGTCGAAAACGTATTTCCATATCCATTTAGCTTAAATTTTTCGATCTTCTAGAACCCTCCATTAATCGCTTGTACTTTGTTTTGATTTCTATTTTTATCATGCATTTCTACATTGATGCTTATTTCTTTTTGCTTCTTTTTCTTACTGCTTTTCTTTACTATTGTCTTGTGTGAGCTTCGGTGGCTTCTAAAGTGAAAAAATAACACTTTTTTTATTAATTCATTAAATTACCAATTAATTTTTTTATATAATTTAATCAAAAATTACCAAATTGCTGCCTGCCTGCCTTGTAGATTCACTCATCTTGGAATGAGAAGTAGCAATCCCATATATTCAACGGCTAACTATACCGATGTACAGCTCAAGGAACAGGGTAATTGCCTGTTTGCGGCACGAAAATATGACGATGCAATCAAGTGCTATACAAAGGCAATTATTAAGAATCCCGATGTTGCAACATACTTCACCAATCGAGCGTTGTGCTATTTAAAGCTAAAACGATGGGATCTATCTTGCCAGGATTGCAGACGGGCCCTGGACATCGAGCCGAATATGCTGAAGGCCCATTTCTTTGCGGGACAATCGTTAATGGAGATGGAATTGTACGATGAGGCAATTACACATTTGCAACGGGCCTACGATTTGTCCAAGGAACTAAAGCAAAATTTTGGTGACGATATAACATCACAGTTGCGCTTGGCTCGGAAAAAACGTTGGCGTGCCTTGGAAGATAAACAAATATCCCGGGAAATTGAGTTACAATCATATATAAATCGCCTTATCAAACAGGATATGGAGAAACGTTTGTCCAAACTTTCCCTTGAGCAGGCGGAGAACTGCAATGAGCTGGAGTTAAAGGAAAAACAACAGGAAATTGAACAACAATGTGATGACTATGTTAAGGAGGTAAACAATTTATTTGCCAAGGTCGATGAAAAACGTCGAGAACGTGATGTGCCCGACTATTTGTGTGGTAAAATAAGTTTTGAAATTTTAACGGATCCTGTGATCACACCATCTGGCATAACCTATGAACGTAAAGATATTGAGGAACATTTGCAACGGGTGGGACATTTTGATCCGGTAACACGTGTCGAATTGACACAGGAACAACTGATACCCAATTATGCTATGAAAGAAGTGGTCGAGTCGTTTATTGCGGAAAATGAATGGTCCTTGGATTATTAGCATGTGTTGAGTATTCGTTTCGGACTTCTGATTTTATTGTTATAATAAGAAATATGTCCCCCCTCAAACTCCCTGAAAACTATTTATTATAAACACTTTTGGCCAAAAACCCAGTGAATATTAGCCAATAAGAAAGGGTTTTCGAAATATGTATAGTTTGGTACATACGTTTGTGTAAATGTAATTTTTGAATCTTACAAAATCGGTATTTAGATTATCTAATGTAAAAAGGAACCATAAGGCAGACTTTGCAAAGGTAACCAGGTAATCTAAAAAAATGTGTGATAAACAATTTGTATTGAAATTATTTTCCCTATGATTTTCGTTAACTAATGATGATGATTAAGAGAAATAAAACCTTCATAAAAAACTAGTTTGTTGTTTTTCAAATCGAAACGTATCGAAAGCAAAGTAGTTGATTAGGTATTGCGAGAACATATGGGTTGTCCACTTTTGATATATGGGGTTTTGAACAAGATATTTAAATCCTTTTTAAAGCAAATGCCCTTTTGATAGTCAGCGCAATGTTTCATACCAAATACAGGGTGAGATGAAAAAACCAAAAAAAAAAAAACAACTTCCGACTGCTGTCATTTCTAAGCCACTCGTTTGACAGCTTTTAAAATTATTCCAGTGACAGTTCATTATATTGTTTACAAGCGTACGAAAGCATTTTGGTGAGAATTTTCCAAAAAGTTATTCGTGATGGAATTCAAGCGTGATAGTATTGTTTCTTTATATTTGGCTGGAAAACCACATGTAGCTATCGTTAGAGCAGTCCAGCATTTAAATGTTAAAAAAATCTTTTGTGTTTCGTACCATCGCTTATGTGTCTCCGTACCATTGCGCGTAGCCTGATGTCAAGTATACGGACGGAAGAAAACAGTAATATCAGCAGAAATGCTTCGAAAAGTAAAGAAGCGACTTCGAATCGAAACCCCCGTCGCAGTGTCCGAAAAATGGCTCGTGAGCTGAACATATCGCAATATCCCATTCGACAAATATTTAAAAATGAGCTGGGGGTAATAAAGCAATTGAAATTTCAAAAAGTGCAGAAACTTACGCCGCAACAGAAAGAAAATAGACTCAAAAGGGCTAAAGAGTTGCTTCACGGCTTGGCCGAAAATGGTGACCTGCCGAATTTGGTTTTCTCCGTCTCCGATGAGAAAACATTCGTTGTCCAGCAGTTTGTAAACAAACAAAAGTGATCGTGTTTACTTGCCAAAGAGGTCAGCCACCTGAACTGAAACGACGGCTGTGGTGATGATGTGGGCCGCATTAAAAGCCGATGATCGCTCTCCGCTCGTATTAATCGACCGAGGAATCAGAATAAATGCCTTATATTATTGTGAAAATATTCTGTGGAACTGAACGCGCCACCCAAGAATGGTTACAAAATGAGGTTCCTCGCTTCATTTTCAGCGCAAAATTGCCACTAAAATCTCTGGATACCAATCCGTTGGACTATTGTGTCTGGAGTATTTTGGAAAACAAGGCTGGCACTAAAAAATACCAAAGTGTCGATCACCTCAAGCAAACACTGCGCCGAGAATGGGCCAAAATACAGAGCAGAGCAACATTCGGACAGCGTGTGACGGTTTCATTGGCAGTTTGAAGTTCATAATTCTTGCCAAAGGTGACCAATTCGAACAAATCTAAAGTGATTCTAAAAATTGTTGCTATTTCCGGCATTTTTGCTTGCATTCAATAAAATTTAAAAAAAAATGTTATTTCCGACATTTTTTGCTTTCATTCAAGAAAATTTGAAAAAAATGTAAAAATTATCGCGTTTGATTTCGTTGCAGTTTTTTTTATACCTCACCCTGTATATGTACACATATTTGATCTGTTTCAGAACCTGCAAGAATCTACTAGTTTTGAAAAAATTTTCGATCTCATAAAGTGAAAATCGGTTATCGTAGTAAAAACTTTTAAATTCTTGCAATTCTGGAACAGGGGTGATACAAAAAAATTTTTAAATCCTTTTTTTAACAAATTTCCTTTTGAAAGTCATTTCAATGTCTCATATCAAATATTATCCATGTAGGAGACATGTTATGACTTAGGTGTGTAGTAAGCCTAAGATCTGGAAGACATACATATATTGGAGCTATAACTAAATCTGGATTTATTTCAGCTATATTTAGCATATTTATATCTAAAATTTGTCGAGCTTTACTTTAGACCAAATTCTTTATTTCTATTCTGTTTTCAGCTATATTTGGCATATTTATATCTAAAACTTTTCTAGCCCTTCTTTAGGCCAAATTCTTTGAGTGCGCAAAGTCTAATAAAACGAAAAAATCTTCGAATCGATCGATATATGGGAGCTAGGGTCTTGCTGTTGGGTATTTTTGAAAAATATAAAATATTTTTTTCTTTTGAATTTTTCAAATATATTTTTGCCAGGTTTCCAGGGTCCTCACAATTCCATTTTCTTAGCCTCTCGTAAAGTTGTCCTTCTATAAAAACCAAAAACAACACCTTCTTAAAAAGACACATTTTTTTATTCTTAACTTTTTTGTGTTTGTGTGTGTGTGTGGTTTTTCTGTTTTACATGATTAGTCTTTTTACATTGATTTGTATTATTTTTAAGGGGCGAGGGGCGGGAGCAGGGGGATGATAAATTTAGTGTTCTTTTTCTCGTTTTTTTTTTTTATATAATAAATTTTGGAAATTTTTTATTTTTATTAAAAATAAAAAAATATAACGTGAATATTTCAACATTCAAAAAACTCTACATTGGCATACTATTATTATTATTATTATTTTATATCATACTTATCAAATAAACTTTTATATTTTATTTTTCTTGTAATTATGTATGGGGTTTTGTTTTCGGTTGTTGTTTTTTTTTTTTTTGTTGTTACTTTTGTTTTTTGAGTTTTGTGTGTGTGTTTTGCGTTTTTTTGATGATTTTAAGAAATTTTTAAAATTTTTTGTTGTTTGGGTGGGGAGTTTTTGTTTTAGAAAAACTCCTTCTCATTGTTGTGTTCATCATCATTATCATCGATTTCTTCGGGATAATACGGTGACGACCGGTACTGTTGTCAGTCGGAGTCATTGGTGGTTTTCTTGCGTTTTTTAGCCTGGGAAATTTTCTGCTTGGACCAGTCCTCCTTGGAGGAAAACATACAATTAATTAAACGTTTTTCAAAAACAAGAAATGCCCAATATTTTCTTACCTCACTTGAATCCTCATCTGATGTATATACTGTTTTGACAGGATCTGAATTTTTCTTGCTATTAGCACTAGAACTGCTTGAATCCTTTTTCGATGTTGGTTGCTTGCGGCCACGCCCACTGCCACCCCGACGACCCACCGCAGTGGTTTCATCTTCGGCAGCCAAAGAAAACAAATCGCTGTATTGTTTCTGTGGGAAAATAAATTAAATTTTTTTCTTTTTTTTTTCAAGGAAATAAACTAAAACTTACCTTTGTGCTTTCAGTACTATGCGTATAGGCCGTTTGCAGGGCCCTCTGCATGGTATCGTGTACATATAAACCCGTGCCAGTGCCATGGCGACAGCTCCTTCGATAATGCTCTAAATGACTTAATACCTGGAATTAAAAAACAATTGGAATCAAATAACATCTCCATGACATTTATTGTGGCGGATCATTTACCTGATCGGCTGAGGGGGTACTGTTTAATGCTGAACTTCCTTTGAGCGGCCTTTTTCTTTTGTTTGGCGATGATGAGGGGTATTTAGATGTTAATAGTGATGCAATGATTTCCGATAATTTTTCCTCACTTCGTTGACACCAAAATCTGCAAAAGATACGATTTATTAATAACAAGTAAAGAAGCAGCTAAGTTCCGGGCCTGCTCGAACATTTTATACCCTCCACCACTCGGAAGGAACTTAAAAATGTTCAAAAAAAATCCGTCGAAAAATACCGCTCAAATGAAAACCTATATATGGAGGTTATTCAAGTAGGGTTGGATAAGTAATTTATTGTGAAAGCCTGTGGTAACGATTCCGAACTTCAAATACGAAATTTGACGCAATTCCGGTGAATAATGTCGATAATATCATCAAAATACCGAATAAAGGGAGGTACCGTTGTATGGGGCTTATACTAAGATGTGGATCTACATAGACAATTTTCCGTCATAGGTTGTAGTACCCATTAAGAACTTCTAATACGAACTTTGACACAATTCCAGTGTATAAAGTTGCGAACATTCTAGAAATATCGAATATCTCCGGATAGCGTTATATGGGTGCTATAGTAAAACGTAGACCTATATAGACAATTCTCTTCCAGGGGGTAAAGTACTCAGATGGAACTCTTTGTGTGGATTTTCAGACTATTCCATTGAAAAGTGTGGCTAAAATGATCAAAATACCGAATATCGGTGGCACTATTGTATGGGGGCTATACGATATCGTGGACCTATATATACAATTCTCTTTCAGGGGGTAAAGTACTCACAGAGAACTCCTTGTGTAGAATTTCAGACAAATCTATTAAAAAATGTGACTCAAATCGTCAGAATACCAAATATCGGGAGGTACAGTTATATGGGGGCTATACGATATCGTGGACCTATATAGACAATATTCTTTCAGGAGGTTAGCTACTCAGAAGGAACTTTTTGTATGGACTTTAAGCCAATTCCATTGAAAATGGGGCCAAATTCATCCAAATACGAAATATCGGGAGATACAGTTATATGGGGGCTATACGATATCGAGGACCTATATAGACAATATTCTTTTAGGGGGTTAGCTACTCAGAAGGAACTTCTTGTGTGGATTTTAAAACAATTCCATTAAAAAATGTGGCACCATTGTTTGGGGGCCATATGATATCGTGGACCTATGTAGACAATTCTCTTTCAGGGACATGTTAATCTCTAAAGCTCTACAAAAGCACCTCAATAAAAGAACAGGATTTAAGCTCTGATAGTTCCTCAACAATCCACGGCCTACGAGTGTTCTCAAATACTAACTAAAACATCCGCGATTTTAAAATCTTCTCAAACTTCTAAATTGATCCATCACATCCGTTTTCCCTTTTCTCACCTTAAAGCCGATGTCACAAAAGGATCGCCACGTGATTTTGTTTCCCGGCTGAGTAGCAAACGTATTAACTCATTAGTTGGCTCTTCGCTTTTCAGCAACAGCAATAAGTAGCCCAATGCTTCCGGATGATTGGCAGATTCTAATTCAGGTAAAATATCCTGCAAAACACAAACAAAAATATTAACAATTGGAAATAGTTCAAACTACAACATTTCTCACTTGCAGACATTTGAGAGGCACATCATGGGCCTGAACCAATTGCCACAGACACAACTGTTCAAATGTCTCATAGACCAGGCTATCACGTATACACTCAATGAGACCATCCGCTTTGAACAGTGTCAGTTTTCCCTGGGCCACATAATACATAAGATCTCGTAGATTTCTTGCATCTATGCAGCGTAATGTTATGCGCAGCAAATCACTATTATTGATTGCTATCGATTTGAATTCACGATAGATATCCGGCAGCAGCCACAGATATATGTTGGTATTTTCCTTTTCCAACAAATCCAAATCTCGTGCCAGACAATCGTCCAATTTCTTATCCACAGCATCGCAAATCATGCGATAAATGTTCGTCTTGAATTGGGCCGATTGTTGGGCATTTTTTCGTGTCTGCAATTTGACATGGACCTTCATGAAGTACAACAACAGAAAACCGGTTTCTGGAATACGTGTGCAGATTTCGGTGAGCAATGTCTGAAAGGGTTTTTTGCTTTTATCCTCGTTCTCGTAGAGAAACCGATACAGTCCAAATATCGGATAGCTTATACTTTTGGCTAGATTCTTTTCGTCCGTCTTGCTCTCGGGAAAGATGTTTTGCACTGGTAACGTTTCGCGTAAGATTAAATGCGTATTCGAGATCACATACTGCAACTGTGCATCGTCTAAAGCTGAAGCGGGTAAAGAGCGAAAGTCCTCTAGAAATGCCTCCCACGTAAATGAGTTACGTTTCGTGACAAACGTTTCGAATGTATCACTAATCGAGGCAGGAAGATCGACTTTTTCCGGTTTTTCGGGTTTCTCTTTTAAACGGACCTTTGACAGCGGCAGATCATCGTCATCGTCGGTGTTCTCTTCATTTTTGACATCTTTGATGTCTTCATCGTCTTCACTAAAGGCCGCTTCGGTTTCCCCGTCATTATTTTCGGGAGGTATTATGGACAGTTTGTTATCTTCATCGGCCATATTTGTTGTTACAATACCGCCCACAACAGGTCCACCACCCGCCACACCACCGCCACCACCACCGCTGTCTATTGCATGTGAATGTTCAAGCAAATCGGCTGTATTCGTCATGTGAGGCTGGTAATGATTTTGCATGTGTTGCAGGTCATGTTGAGGCTGAGGCTGTTGTTGGGTTGCCGCACCACCACTGCCAAACATTATCGCCCCCTGATGCAAAGAACGTTGATCGGCTTCTTTCTTAAAGACGGGAGCTTGTATAACTGATGAGGCGCCCGGATACATGGGTGGTCCAACATTACCAGTTGGCGCTGCCGGCGATACAAATTCTCGGAAATTTTCACGTATCAGCATACGTAATTCACGATCCAATTTTGGGGATTCAAACAGAGGTTGGATATTTGGAATGACCTGGAAGAATACATACATTAAATTGAATTTAATAGAATATTTCTAATAACAACTGAATACCCACCTGTTTTTCTAAAATTTTATTCAATGAATTATATACGCCCATTCGAATTTTGTCCTCATGTTTCAAACAGAAATTCTTCATTATTCGACACAAGAAATCCAGCAGGGTGCTACTAACACTCGGATGACTCCTTATCGAATGATACATCACCAATATGCCGGGCTCGACATTCATGATATTATCTTTGAGCGGATCAAAAAATAACCAATCATAGAATAGCGACAGCTTGGCATTGGCCGATGCAATGGTATTTGTACACGATGATATTAGCCAACCGATAATGGCCCATCTTGGTATTATATCCGAACACAACATATCATTTGATGGATGAATGACATTGATGATGAAACGTATTAAATCGGAACGCAATGAATGCGATTCTGGGGTGGCAAAGTATTTATCTTGAAACCAATCTTGATAACGCTTTTGATTACCAAATTTAACTGAAGATGTTAAGAAGTGAAGTTTGCGTTCCACCTCGGGCGTGAGTCGACACTGTAGATATCGACGGCTAGTTCGTATTTGTAGCAGTTGCCAAATGCCATTGAACGTCGGATGAAGACTTTTGGGATTGTGCAAAATATCACGCCAGAGTTGTTCGAACTCGGGTATGCGAGCCACGTTTTGTAATAGTCTGAAATAGTGCAATACGTTATTATTCTGAAATTTGAAAATAATTTCCACTACTCACCTTACAAAATCCCTACCCAATGGTATGACATCTGAAAATCTTTCTCGTATCAACGATATAACAAACTTCACCTCCTTATGACGTAATGCCGTCAACGCTGGACTAGCATGATCTTCGATGAGACGCACATAATTGTACACCACTGTTTGTATGAGTAATGATTGTGTCTCCAGCCATGGCCGATATTCAATGAATATATCTAACAGGCTTTCAACGAGAAAGAGATTTTTTGGTGTCACATCGCCACCACCCGCCTGCCGCAAACAATTCCATATAATGTTCTCCACATTAAGGACCTGATGTTTAACCAGCTCACGCAGCAGCCAAATCAATTGACGTCTGGCGATTTCCGTTAGCTTATTATATTTCTCAGCAACAAGCATGGTCAAATTGGAAACCACCATGTTCATGCCGTCGCGTGCAACCAGTGTCAGATCTCGATAGCTTTTTGGAGCCAATGCCGGATCCGTCAACATAATGTACAGAAAGCCAATGGATATTTCTTCATGTTGTTTCTCTTTGCACACCAGCTGGGATAGCTTATCGTGCATATCCTTGTCACTGAGACCATTGATTTGTTGCTGCAAATTAATGTAGGCTCGTTCAAAGCGCTGTAATGAAACGGAAAATTAATGCACATTCGATTTATTACTTATTGTTAATATAGATACCTCTTCCAATTCATCTTTAATATCAACGGCAGTGCTTTGGAATAATTTCGAAATGTATTGGATTTTTTGAGTTGTTTCCATTTGTTGTTGCATTATTTCACCAGGATTTTTGGTAGCTATTTTTTGCCTAAACTCTATCGATCCTATGCCCTCTGGATCAATCAACCAGTCAAAGATGACAACAATGACCGATTGGACAAAACGTCAACAATTGAGACTTCTTCTGTCGGTTGTGTTGTGCGCCCGCAGCAGTCGAGCAGCAGCACCCAACCAATCATACGCACACACAAACACACGCACACGTACTAACTACTCTTGCTCGCACACACTGGCCACCAACCAAATAGCTATGGAAGTGTCCAATGTTTACATTCACTTTTGTTAAAACTATTTATTCGCCTAACTGTTAACTCTGCCAATAATGGAACATGTTTTAGCAGATATAGAAATAAAAGTGAAATGTTTCCAGCGTAAAAGCTGCTGCCTTAAAATATAAAATCTTTTTGGGTAAAACTCAGTTCTCAGAGTTCTCAAGTCTCAACAGATAATGAAGCCGACCGAATGGTGACGCCGTTCAAAAAGCAGAGTCGATCAAATGTTGGCCATCGACGATATTTGATTGTTCACATCGACGATATTTGAATGGTTATGATTTCTATTGTATTTAATTTATAATTTCTTGTAGACGCCCATAAACCGAGCAAGTTGAAGAAACTAGGGGTATTCTGTTAGAAACTTATTACGATAGATTGCGAAACATTCATAAGTTTTATTTTGAAATTTGCCACATGTTGACGCCGTATGAATATCTAATTGGTACGATTTTTGTTATGGTTGGTTGTTAGGGCAGTTATCGATAATTGTGATAAACGGCGCTTGCCAAAGCAGGCCTCTCGATTATTGTTAAAAGAAAAAGCTGTGATTTCGTGTGCGGTGGCAAAAATACCTATAATTATTCATTTCATTGCATTTTAAAAGCCAAATCAGCACAAAATGCCATACGCCAATCAACCATCGGTTACCATAACCGAGCTAACAGATGACAATGTAAAGTTTGTGTTGGAAGACACCGAGCTTAGCGTGGCCAATAGTTTGCGGCGCGTTTTTATTGCTGAGACACCGACGCTGGCGATTGATTGGGTACAATTGGAAGCAAACTCCACAGTTCTATCAGATGAATTCCTGGCACATCGCATTGGCCTGATACCCCTGATATCAGATGAAGTGGTGGAACGCTTGCAGTATACCCGTGATTGCATTTGCTTGGATTTTTGTCCAGAATGTAGTGTGGAGTTTACCTTGGATGTTAAGTGTACGGAAGATTCGACCAGGCATGTAACTACGGCGGATTTAAAATCAAGCAATCCCAAGGTGTTGCCGGTTACTTCTCGCCATCAAAATGATGAAGATAATGAGTATGGTGAAAGTACCGATGAAATTTTAATTATCAAATTACGCAAAGGCCAGGAACTCAAGTTGAGAGCCTATGCCAAGAAAGGTTTTGGCAAGGAACATGCAAAATGGAATCCCACAGCCGGTGTATGTTTTGAATATGATCCAGATAATTCCATGCGTCATACTTTGTATCCCAAACCCGATGAATGGCCAAAGAGTGAGCATACTGAATTGGATGATGACCAATATGAGGCTCCGTACAATTGGGAAGCTAAACCGAATAAATTTTTCTACAATGTGGAATCTTCGGGTGCCCTGAAACCAGAAAATATCGTAATTATGGGTGTACAGGTGCTGAAAAATAAACTGTCCAATTTACAAACACAGCTCAGTCATGAAACCCAAAATGACGCCTTAGCAGTTTAGGAGGAAAACAGTTCAGGATTTTAACAATTATATTTTATTTTTCGTAATAATATAGACATTTAACAAAATACCGTTTGTGTTTTAGTCCTTAAACAGATTTTCAATATTAATGCCTCCAATTTTGCTTTTGGAATCTCCTTTCGTGGGACTTGGGCTTGTTGTTGCACTTGTAGCTGTGGCCTTAGAATCACTGGAGTCTTTGGCTTCACTAAATGCTTCGCTTAAGCTTTGAGTGCTGCCTTCATCAGAGTCTGTTGTACTGATTTGTTGGGCATCCAGTTTCATTTGTGCCCGTTGTTCTTGCAACAAATCCAAAGAGGTTTCGAAAATTTTTTCTTCATCCAAAGCACCCTGAGATTTCAAGCCTTGATAAATTTGAATGAATTGTTGTGTTTGTGTTTTACGCTGCCTATCGAACAAGCTGACCATTTCAGTTTGTTTTTGTGACTTGTGGAATTTACTGCAAAGAAAAGTTTGGGATTATTAAAATAAACATATTTAACTTGTTGCTTTTTCTTTACTTACGCGCGAACTTGATCTTCCTCGTAGAAAATATTCCTAATTGGTATCTGGGGTGCAGGTCTGTCGAATCGTGGTTCCAATTTTGGTGGGAATGCAGCATATACTTCATACCATAGTGGCTTGTCTTCGGGTTTCATGGCCCCCGAACGAAGTAAACCAGAAACTCTTAAAAGAGAAATGTAATTATTGCAGTTTTTGTCTGTTGGAATCAACGGGAAATTACCTGGTGAAAATTGTTCCAATTTTTTCTAATCTACTTTGGGCCATTTTAATTGAATTTTGGTATTTTTTCTTCTAAATATTACGAAATAACCTTAATTTGGGGGCTATTGGCTTGGTTCCGTTGGGGATGAGTATTTACAAAGCAGCTGATTTGCCTAGTGTTATCGATAAAAATATATTTGTTAACAGTGATCTGTTCTCTTTTGTTATAAGAGGAAGATATGTAAACAAAGTTCGTCTTATGTAGAAGTTTTTATTACTTTGCTTTATCAATATATCTGTGGAATGTGTAATGTTACCGTTAAAAAATGTTGTATTTGCCCAGTTACAAAATACCATTGGGGATAAGTATTTGGGAGACATCTGTAGTCCTGTCAGTTATCGATAATTGAATACATGTTAACATCGTACTGTGAATTAAATGCATTTAGTAAGAAGAAGAGCAGATGTAAACAAAAGCACGTTTTGATATTAGTCGAGCTCTGGGAAGGAGTTATTCTTTTCTTCTAAGAAAAAATCCACACATATATTAATTTACTATACAAAGAATATGGGTGCTTTAGCGGAAGTAAGTTTTCTTTTCATATGTGCTACAAAAGAACGTCGTTTAATCAAGGTTTCCCTATAATAGGTTGCTGGTGACGAAAACAACGGAGAGGGTTCACGTACATTTGTGTTCCAGGATGAAGGCCATACCTTGGGCAATGCCTTAAAGACAATTATTAGTCGTTATCCCGATGTTGATTTCTGTGGCTATACAATACCCCATCCCACCGAGAATAAGTTACACTTTCGCATCCAATCTTCACAGGGTAGAGCCATTGACATACTGAAACGTGGCCTAGAAGATTTGGAAAAGATCTGTGATCATACCATCGATACATTTGAAAAAGAAGTTAAACAATTTAAAGTACCAGTTACGTAAATACTTTAGTATGTCTTTTTACAAAATTTATTTCATAAATAAATTAGTTTTATAAATTTAAATTAAGCTAAACAACGGAACGTGTCCTTTTGGGGTCCTGATTTGGTTTCCGCAAGTGGTGATAGTTTGGCAGCACTTTACGTAGGAAATCTATTTGCAATGTTTGGTACTGTAATGAAGAGAAGAAAGGACATTTTATTATAGGTAAATTAATTTCACCGACTAATTATAATTAAATTGATTTAGTGGTTCTACTCGAATAGCTTTTCTGGGAATTGATGGCCTAAAGATCAAAAATAAACTTGCGTAGAAAATAAAATGAAAACAAGTCCACAATTTTGAATGAAGCTATAAAATGTCCTCTTACCGCATATTTATCAATAGCTTCTCGTTGCTGGCAGTCGCGTCCATAGATAACAGTGCTCTCTGGTAATACTTGTTTACATTTCAAACTGACAGCGGCGCCTACAACACAACCATTGGTCACTACCACCTCAGGTCCCACATAACATTTGCATTCGAAGACATTTTTGTCGCCAATTTTCTGTGCTTCCACAATGCAGCCCACTTCGAAAACATTATTGGAGCCAACAACCAAAGGTGGGCAGGGTTCTAGGTTACCCTCTTCCTTTTGACGTTTTTGTTCCTCGGTCAGACGATAAGCAATCGTGGCATATTCTTCAACAATACAATTTTCACCCAATATTATTGGTCCAGCCTCAGCCAAAATGGACGCACTGGGATGTATGACACATCCTTGTGATATGGTGATGTCACCTCGCAAAGTGCTGTCTTCGCAGACAATGGATTTGTTCATTATTTTGACACTAGGGGGAAATGAGGTTGTTTATTCACATAATTTATGTTTTTAGGCTATCCTTACTCATTACTCTCCGCTGGAGGCATATTGCTGGTACTCTTTTTATTATATTTTGTGAAATTGCAAATTTTTCCGAAAATTATTTGTTTTGTTTAGTGATGGCCATGTAACGATAATTGGAAACGATAATCTTGTCGTAAGTGTGTTATCGAAAAGAGCTCACTCACTACGATTTAATGCAACTCTTGAGAGAGAGGTAGTAGTTCTTAACGGCCGACTGTCGTTGAAATTCCTTTAAAAATTAAGAAAAATGTGAAAATATTTATTAAAAATTTGAATAAAAGTGAATGATTAATATATTTAGTGCAATAAACTCTTGAAATATTTGTAAAAAACTTATAATTTGTGCTCTGCTTGGTGTTGCTTGTTCTCTCTTTGGATATGGCATCAATTGCTGTGCTTTCCCGCCATTTTCGTTCTCTTCCTGTTGTCAAAATGATAAATACATGTTGGCAGCTTAATAAAAAAGCGAAAGGTAAAAGTTTGTTAAGTCATGGCTATGTACGGATGAATAATGGTCAAATAGATGGAAAAGGTATAAAATTATGAATTCCACAGCATTGTAAGTTGTTTTGTAAACTCTTGTTGTGTTATTGTAATAGTTATAGTGCGAAACCAACATACATCTTAATGGAACATCAAGTGTTGTTGCGTGGCCCCACCACTTTTTAAGAATGGGCTGATGGTAATCTCTGATGAGATACTAAGACGAATTGTTTCTATTTGCTAGCAATTTGCGTTTTTTATACCCGACTATAGAGGAGTAGATGGAATTGGAAAGCAAAAATATTGTTCAGCAAAATTTTCCAGCTAAAGTAACTTAAAGGACAAGAGGTATGTACATTGCCCCAACCATTGCCATAGTTTTGACACCAAACACCATCAAGTTCTACTAAGGAGGGATTACCTGAACTTCTATTAAGGTCTTTCACCTATGTTCCCTCTGTGGATCATAAAATAAAACAAATTTAAGGGCTTTAGGGATTTTACTTCGACATTTTTTTATCTTCCCCAAAAGGCCTTTTGGTCCTCTATGAAGATATATTTAAGACTTCAATCAGAAGAACTCTTCATGTGGAAGATGTTTCAGTTGTTTCTATTTGAAGTCATTTTTTCTGGAATTAGAAAATCTTTTGGCATCCTATAGGAGGACTTCTTTTAATTTTTGTAATCTTCTCTTAAAACGAATTTAATCAGGACTAGTCAATCCTCTATAAATATACAGGTTGTTACCCTATTAGAAGAAACGACATTGCTTTCGAAAAGTAGAAAATCTCCCGGGTGCTTGCACACATCCATACCTACCTTGTAAATAACATTTCAATTAAAAATTCTATTAAAAAGTTATAAGCTCACCTCCTTGGGCCATATAAAACCTTAAGCTTCTTTTGCAAACTGTCAAATGTGTAATAATATATCCAGCTGCAGGCGATTAAATTTTGAAAGATTTGCTTTAGCTGTCTTTAACACAATTTGCCAAAGATTATTTAATCACAATACACCGCGTGTCATACAACTCCAACCCTAGACCCTGTTAATAGGAAAAAATGAAGGAAATGATTTTCATTTTCACAATAAGGATATGCCCTTATTTGTATTTGTCTACTTAACATATTCTGAAAAGGAAAATTACTTTTTTTGTTCTTTTCTTTTTAGACAGACATTTTATTTGCATGCGGGTGGTTTAAGGACCTTGCAAGCGTTGTTGCTTGTGGCTGCTGTTGGTTCGTTCGTTATGCTGTCGTCTATTTCAATTTATAGCAGTGGAAAAAAAAATAAACACAACAACCACAAAATACCACTTGAGAAAAATGTTAATTTTCCTAGAGGATGAAAAAAAGAGAGGAATCAAATCACCAATGTTGTAACAACAACGAGTACGGTGTCGTCAATGTATTAAATCTGCTAACAAAGGAAAATAAATTGAAGTACGACGATGGCATTAATCCAAGGAGAACAAATAAATTGCATGAATAGATGGAATACATTTTGTTTTCTAAAGGTTATGATTGCCGTTCAAGGAAAAAGCATTGCTACAGGTAAGCTTTTAAAAGTTTCTTTTTATAGAGCCTTAAAAACATATTTTCCCTTCTCTTTTAAAGATCCAATGGGAATTCTTGTAGATTAAGAAGATCTAATTAGAGAGTGTGCAAGGATCTTCCTAACGAGAATCAATGTGACAAGATCATCATAAAAAATCATTTTTGTGAGGCATATTCAAATTTTAAGAGCCATGCCACCACATAGGTGGCTAAATTTAGTAGGTAATACATATTGGATTTTTTGTACAGCTTTACTGAACATATATTTTCCTTACAGACATCTCGACTACTTGCAAAACTTTGCCATGAAAACTGCAGCTGGGAGAAGATATTGTCTCAATAACCTTTCCACTAACAAAACGTGTACACACCTCCACTATGAGTCAGCCAACCAACTACCCACCAAGTATACACATATAAAATACTGCATCAAGTAAATGACAGGATTATCGAATGGAAAATGGAACTGGTAGAATGGAAAGAAATGCTCCATAATCTTGTAGTATTGAGGAAGGTTTAATGCACAGATTTCAGTCCAGATTAAAAAAGAGTGGGAGCTGCTTGTTGTCTGGAGTTTATGTAATCAAAAAACAACAAAAACAACAATAACAACAATGAATGCAAGCAATTTCATTGAAAGTCTTGTAGTGCGTTGTGTCTGCTGCAGATGATGATGATATTTTTTTTGTTGCTGTGGGTAAGTATGTGTGCTGAAATTCTATTTTGTTTTGGGGAAAAGTTTTTAAATATTTTCTGTATTTCAAAAGGGAAACTTTATACGGAACTTCGTAGACATGAAAGAGGATGAACAATGAAGGGATTAAGAGTATTTAAGGAAGTTTAAAGACAGAACTTAGTTTAGCTAAAAGTCATTTTGTATGAATGAAGAAGACTAAAAGGGCTTTTACTTTTGCAGAAGAAAAGGTCAACAACGAACGAATTTATTTGGCAAAATAAGAGAAGATTTCAAAGTAATGGGCTAATATTCAAAACAAATTTAGAAGAGCGGTATCCTTGCTCAAATAACAATACTGCTTCTAAGAAGGAAACTCTCATTGTACAGAAATTTTCATCTAAAACAACAGGCCTTAAAGAGGGGAAGATTTCAATTCTACCAAAACTACTTACATTTGTCAATCTAATAATTCCAGAACATAGAAGTTCGTTTCTGTCCATTCTCCCACTCTTTCGACATGTTTGATTCCAGAATGCTATCGGTATCAACTGGTCACAAGCTTAGAATTCTCGCAAGGTTGATAGTTGTTTCATCAAAGTAATTTCAGGAGTATCGAGAAGCTCTGTGAACATTTAAATTTTTTGATGCTATTTTAATTTTTTTATTTTCAGCAATGAACAAAATGGTAGAATAATGTGAAAAAGCTGCTGCACAGCAAAAAACCTAATAATAAGGTCTTCAAGCTATATATTTCTGCCGAAACTCCAATAAGATTGTCCGGATTTACAAAGGTATTTAAAGACTTATAAAAAAATTATATGAATGTTACCTTTTTACTTTTCGAAGTTCCAATAGCTTGGATGTACATCCTTCTAATATCATAAAACTTGACTACTGAAAGCGAATCTAATTTATATAATCAGTACATCAGGCATTCTTTTAAGGAATCCTTTTATCACAGATTGAAAGGACTACAATATATGTTCTTCTTGAAAACGTTTTCATCTGACTTATCAAAGGAGATCTTCCAAAATTGCTAGGGTATTCAAAAACTCATAAAAAGCACGAAGACCCAATGACATTACAACCACGCCCCATAGCTCCCACAATTTACAAGCCCTAATACCATTTTTCGACATCCTTAAGAGGAATTTTTCCTATGGAATACTTTATGAAAATGATCCTCATTTTAATTATGAGTACACCCGAAGGGGCATTTTTTAAGAAATGCAGAGCTGAACAATGACCTCTTTTATTACAGATTTTAAGATCTGCAATACATATTCATTTAGCCAAAGTTTTCAAATGTGTTTTCCACAGACACATCAAAATTTCTAGGGTATCTAAAAGCCTATAAGAAAAAGCACTAAAGCCTAATGGCATTACAACCACTAATTACCACTCCCCACACCTCCCACAATTTACAAGACCTAATAGCATCTATCGACATCCTTGTTACAACTTCAATTACAGCTCCATAATACCTCAAGATTAACATAACTCAACAACTTAACAAGCTGTCCAACTATGGAAAAAAAGTTTATATTAATATGCGGCATACGCCATCCTTCTGCTGCGCTAATTACCTATTCAGGATTCACTATTCCTCTCCACGATAGCATTTGGTTAATTGCTTCATAAAGATTCAACAAAGTAAATGAAGAAAGAAAAATAAAACACAACAATATTAGAAATTATTGCCAAAAACAAAATCTCATTAAAGAGCCCAGCTGTCATGAACCCTAGACCCTTAGACATCAGCAGTGACCCTATGCAATTAAATTCATGAAATTCATTCAGATTATATTCTCTACAACAACATCGACGAGACAAAATATGCATTGAGAACATTAACCCAACATTGATTACACTGGGCAGGGGTGAATGGGGGTTGGGGTGAAATAACTTCCTTTAGTCGTTGTCTCCTTTAATGGGCCTTGAAAAAAAATGAAACAAAACCAATAATGATTCATCATCCACCCCATCAACAAGCAATATCGGCTACCGTTGAATTCTAAGCAACAGCCGCAGATAGAAAATACATCGGCAATAACAACTTCATGAAAAATGTATAGCAGTAATAATAATTATTCGAAATAAGTTAAGTGAAACGAAGGCAAGAAAAGTTCGAACCAAGCGATTGCTCCTTAAAGGGAATCTTTTTCCTAGTACTGCTGTCTGTATATAAAGACATTTTGTTTGGAACATTTAACAACAAATATTTAAACCCCGGGGGGAATTGAATTATAGACGGTGCTCAAATGAAATAAAATAAAACACACGTCTCATATACGAGGGAGGAATAGATGAATGCAGATGAGGATTTTTTGCGACTCCATCAAGAGTTGATTTGAAAAAGATTTTAGGACTAAAGTTGAGGTACCTAACATAAGGACAACTATGTAAAAAATACCTCT